TATAATTCCAAAATAGTCGTTTCCGGAGCTTAAAGCTTGGCAGGGAGAAGTAAGGGATGTTCTGGGTCTCGTATAGATCCTTGTGGGCAAACTTGATCATATCAGCCGCCTAGACGATTCGTTAGTTTTGCTTCAAAATACTGTAAGGGCGACGACAAACCTTCTCGCCGATCATGTAGACCGAATTTTGGATTCGACAATCAGGAATAACAGGGATCACAGAGGCATCCGCAATCCGCAAGTTGCTTATTCCATGAACGCGGAGCTTCGAGTCAACCACGCCTTGATTAATATTCTTCGAGAGGCGTGCAGTACCGCATGGGTCTAGAAGCATATTAGCACATATAGAAATCAACAAAAAGGCTCCATCACTCACGGAATCCAGTCTGACTGCGATCCAGAACAGCTCTCTTCATCTCTTCGTCAGACTGAAGGGGCATTTTCCAAGGATACTCCCCAATGACAAGATCCTTGAAGCCGACTCCATTGGTGAGTACATCATAGCTCCAGCGAACACCTTCGCGCATGGCCAGAATATCCAAATCATTGCCGAAGAAGTTGAGGTTGATGTTGGGCTGCACCTGCGAGTTGTTGCTATTCAGGGTTACTTCACCCTCAGAAAGAGGTCGTAGTAGATCCACGATAACAGTCATGTAGTTTCCCTTCTCGGGAACTGGATAATGCCACTGGAAAGCAGTGCTGAACATCCCAACAAAATCAAGCTCGAAATGAGGCTGGCCTGCTGGTCCGAATGGATCCAAACCGCCATTCGCAGCCTTTGCCTCCCGGTAAGCAGGAGATTTCTCAAGTCGCTCATCAATACGTGGGAATCCAACAAGCTCCAAAAGGCCAGAGCTGAGAGGTCCTGTCTTATCACGGTTGTAGCTGGCAATTGTTGCGTCGTTGAGAGGACCGGGGCGAAGTATGTGATCGTCAAGGCCGAAGCCATCCTTGATCTGCAATACAAAGGGAACAATCGGGTGATCGAGTAGATGCTGACCAACGTGAGGAGAATCCAAAACGGGCTTGATTTCGTGCTTGGCCAGTTCTTTGATGGGACCAATACCACTAAGCATCAGAAGCTTAGGGGTCTCGAAGACACCCTGAGACAGGATAACCTCTCGGCTCGCATAGACACTGATTTCAGTGCTAAATTCCTGGCTGGTCACAGTGACACCAGAGCAGATCTTTGTAGCAGGATTGATAATCAAGCACTTTGACTGAACTCCGTAAAGAATCGTCACGTTGGGCTTGTTTTTCAAATATAGAAAGCTACCCTGGCGCTGGCCCTGGTAGATGGTATCCATACAGTGTGTGAGACCTTTCATTTCGCCGGAGTAGATATCTTCGGTAAGAGGCTGGCCCTTAGAAACCCACGCTTGAGTGAGGGCATCGCGAAAAGGCTTCATCTCTGGGACCAATTCCGCATGAGAAATATTCACAGGGCCTCCAGATCCAACCTTGGTCAACTCGGTAGGATAGAGTTTTTCATCGTCGTGATACGTTGCACACTTGCGCAGATAGTCCACGCAGCTGTTCCAAGTCCAATCGGGACCACCAAAAGCTTCCCAGTCGTCAAACGTGGGCTTTGATCCAGGAATCCAGGTAAAATAATTAGCGCAGGAGCTGCCACCAAGAGCTTTTCCACGGGTGTTGGGCTTTTCCACACGCTCGTAGTCATCACGTTTGATCATCGTGGTTTTGTAGGCCCAGTCGTATTTACTTCCGCGCAAGTTGAAAGCTTTCGCAGGAGTAGTGATTTCGTCGATCTGGTCTGGGTTGGGAATACCGGCTTCAACGACCAAAATTCGGACGTTTGGGTTTTCAGCCAGACGGCCTGCAACAGCATTCCCGGCCGTGCCGCCGCCCACGACGATGAAGTCGTACTCAGAGCCGTTTGAAACAAATGCCATTGTTAAAAGGCGGATTTATCGATGGAGCTAAGTTGAAGTTGAGTGTTCTTGCTGAATATTCTTGAGAGATCGAGGGTGGAAAACAGAGATTGATGCGACAGTTGATTGATGCGACAGTTGGTTTGCTTTATATTCAGTTCGCAGACTCGGACTTGAGATATATCTCTGCGCCGTCGAACAGGCCGAGTCTGTGTCGCTGCCGGTATCCGAGATGACATCCTGTCGCCGAGTAAAGACCGCTGTGAATATTGGTATTTTTGCAGTGCGTTTGTGGTGCGTTTGTTTTGGATGCTTCCGGTGACCACTGCAGTGCAGGAGGCTGCTTATTCTTACCCCTCATGAGGGGAAGTAAAGTACCATCTCCCCTCACTGCTAACACCGGGGCCAATAACATAATTCCCTCTTCACTGTAGTTCCCATTGCTAAGCTTGGGATTAGGATGAATCCATGAACCGTTCTAGCGCCCAGTCATACCTTGAAATTTTTAAACGTGCTATTTTTTTGGGCCTGCTATGCAATGACCATCGGCTCTCAAAACTACTGTCAGGGTAAGGAATCGTAGGGGAACCAGTAATTCCAATCTCTTGGCATGCTTCTTTCATGGTTGTTTTTGTCTTCTTTTGCCTTGATATTTATTTTTAGGTGCCAGTTCATCATTATGCGGATAATTTCTTATCTGCTTTAGCGACGACGCCTTCAAAGGTAAGTCTAACCCTTGGAAATTCGCTTACTAAGAGCATGGGGAATATATTAGCCCTGCAGTTCACCGCGATTTTCGGATGTCAGCCGGATAAATTCGTTAAGATCTATCTATCGAAACAGCTTTTGAATGTAGCATCTACTCTCCGATCTGAGGGAATGGCAATCCTCACGTCATTGTGAGGTTTGGCATCTAGAGAGACGTCACTGTGTAAATATCGACAAAGTCAAATCCTTGCCTTTTCAAGGTTGTACTACGGGGGCTCGCGGAATTTTCTCGGCGGTAGATCGGCATTGCGCCCGGCTCTCCCACAGGCTCATGCATTTGTCCACGGTCGGCCCGAGAATCAAACATCTGGCCCAAGTGATGGACATGAAATATACGTCTGACAGAATCAAGATGCAGATTAGCTTTTTGCCTAGAACCCGTCCCTCGTGCTTTTTTCGGCCTCTGCTGACATCATGATGTTTCCCAATATTCATATGTCAAATTCGGAACTCGGCATTGTTGAAATTGAGCTTCTTAGGTGCCTACGTTCTAGACATATTATCATTTTCCCCCTCTCGGGCGTTTTCCCCTCGTGGAGGTCCCAAAATAGAGGTATCAACAGCTCGGAGATTCATCGGATAGCGGCCATTCCTCTCTCTCTCGTGCGAAGATGACATGATACGAATTTAAATCTGCCAAGGCTAGCTTCTTTCGTCGAGATGAAACCATTGATCAGTTATCTACTCTATGCTATAATGGCAACACTATAAGATTTTTCATGTCGATATCACGAATATTAGTGAACCATCTTACGTGAGCTTCCAATAAACTGATCAATTCGAGGCTCATGGATACATGTGAGTACACCCTGTCTATTTATAGCGGTAGGGCGTGCATGCATATACGAGAATAGCCTTTCGTGTTGATTTAATTTAACCGTAGGTATTTTCTAGGAAGGCATGATTATGAGGGCTGCTACTACGAGCATCGACTTTCACTGGTCCTATAAATTGTCATTGTATGATGGATAAAACGCACCAGAAGCTTGAGATTCATTCATGGCCATGGCAGATACTGGGCTCTGGCATCTATGGACCTTTTCTGATGGAGTTAGAAGGAGTGCCAGTTTAAAGTAGTAGCACTGACGACTTGCGTAAAATTAATGTAACTATTGCGGCAATGAATGCTTGTTATCCAGTAAGAGTATCATTTTCTATGAATTTCCCAGGTGCATCAATCTTGAGAATTCATCGCAATCACATTTCTACTAGTAGTAGTAGTAGTAGATATTATATACTCTTCCCCACTGTTACTAGTAGGTAGAACTCATATATATGTATTAGTAGAATATACTATTAGTACCAGCAGGAAGTTCAACCGCCCCCCCCCCCCGGGGGGGGGGGCTTGAGCTTCAAATTGTTCCTGGCATAAAATCGGGCCCTCTTCATCTTCTTCCCATCGCTCAATTGGGTCATTGGGTCCTCTTAACTGGCGCATAATTTCCCGAAAGAAATCAGAGGCTTCAATTGATGAACAAGGCTTTTCGAGTTTTTGGAATCATGCGTATTCCTCATAATCGAGAGAAACCATATCCTAGTGTACTTTTAAAATCCTTGGGGTATCATAAATCAACTTTTTGTGCCAGAAGGTCAGTTATCAATGCCTTCAGGTTGAGAATTAAAGGTTTCTAATTCCTTACTAGATTCTCCGCTTTCTGTCTTCGTTCAAAAGTCCTATGATCGGCCTCGTCAAGTACCAACTATTCGCAAAACAGAAGCAAGCCCAATGGGTATCTTCTTCTTTTTATTTAAGTCGAATCTACTTAGGTATTTACTCAATCCTAGATATCACAACCATGTCTCCACCGAAACATATCTCGATGTTTTCAATCATCTTTTTCGTTTTTCAATACCAATGACATATTGATCTAAGAGCCAAGATAGACCGTCTACTTGGCGGGCCATGCCAAGGTCAGAACCCAGCTAAAGATATTTAGATCCAAGCACAGGAGACATAACAAACGTCCCCAAGGTTCTCAATACTCCTGGGCAGCGGCATATTCCGAATTGTATGTGACAACTCGTCTCGGCCTAATGAACGATCATGACCTTGGGACAAGTTATTGAAATATCGCATATGAAGCATGCGTTAAAGCAGCGGGCAATCACATTTGAGACTTTGATCTCCTCATTTCTGTCAAACTAAATTATATCAAAGGGACAATATCAACATAAGTAGGATGAGGTCCGAGGACGCCAAGTAGTTGACCCTACTTGGCACATTCGGGTCTATGAACGGATCGGAAATGAAGTCGTCTGGGAAGCATATAAAATCGGAAGCCCTGGCCGCATCAGAGCATTCCGATTCATCACGATAAATATCTTTGAAAAATTGCCACTATGAAATTCACTCTTCTTGCCATGATTGCCCTGGCCTCGGGCGCCATTGCTCAGACAACTACAACTGAAGACCCAGGCCCTTCTCCTACCGCTTCGGTTGGCTGTGAACCGCACGGGAATCACTGGTAAGACTGAATTTTTCCCCTTCCAAGCTTTCTCTTTCATTTTGCTTATAATACTGGTAGGCACTGCGACGGTCCCGCACTGGCAACAGCAACTACATCCGCATCCACATCCTCCAGTGAGGAAACCACAACAAGTGTCACCCCAACTGCCCCCAGTCCGACCGAGTCAGTGGGATGCCAGCCTCATGGTGATCATTGGCACTGCGATGGCCCAGCAGAGACTGGCACAGATAGCTCGTCAACCGCTTCCGCCTCTGATGCGGCGGAAACTGGAGCTGCTGGTATGGTGGGCGCCAACTTGATCCCCGTCTTCGGTCTCGCAGTTGGTGCTGCCGCACTCTTTGTCTAATCGAGACCGAATCATATTCTTGTTGAGCCTTTGGATTTGTCTAGTCTCGCCAAACCTCATGTACTGTCAGGGCGTCACAATGCCTGTGAAGCAATTGATTTCAATGTTTAACATTCGGCGACAGAGAGTCATTGTCGGTCATATCGGATAGTACATAATTTGAATAATTCAAAATTTGCTTTCAGATACGCCTCCTAATTTTAGACTAAATATAAAACACTTTAAGAATTCTCATAACATAGGCAATCTAGTATTCGAAACTGACAATCCAGTCATCGATGCGAGGATGGAATCCCCGTCCTTCGACTCTTTCATCGACATGGTGAGAAGAGAGTAGCATCTCCTAAATTATAATTACCAGACCCTCAGCCTAAGGAATTTTCAATTCCCGCAACTCATAACGAAGAAACTGCGAGGAAGACTGATGCTCCGCTCTTGGCGAGACCCTGAACCCTCTTGGCGTGAGGACCCCGGGGAAGCCAAGAGTCTCTAAACCAATACAAGCGAGAGTCTATCTTGTATTTAAATTTCAAGCAAGATGAAGTCTAGCATTTTTCTATCAGTGCTGTTCATGCTAGCCTCGGTCGAATTGAGCGAATCAATCGCCCCCATTTCCAAGGTGAGAAACTTTCTAAACAAACATTAAAAGTAGCTAAGAAAATATAGGACGCCATACCAAAATTTGTCGAAATTATTACGAATGCCGATACTCGAGATCTGAGACATGAAGAAGAGTATACGCGGTTGCAAGCACGGCTCGATCGTGAAAGCCAGGTGTGGGATGGAAACCATCCGCGACAACGGCTGTTGACTGCATTGTACGGATACCGCCAATACAAAGAGCGACATCTTGAAGAAGTCCAACGATGGCGCTCTCTTTACAAAAAAGTTTCAAAGAGCCAACGAAAGGTTTGTTTCATACAGTCGATAGTGAAAACGGCTTCTACCCTGATGACAGCTTTTCTTTTCCCGGGCACTGCCAAGGACTAGCGCGGATCTTATATTGGCCAGGCCGTACCAATCTGAGGGCCACCGTAAAATTCCGCTTAATTAATATCACAACGATAAAACTTTATCATTTGAAATTCAGAGCGAAAAGTGTAATATTATACAGTAGATACAGTATAATTCGAAAACAGATTACCCCTTGCACAGTCTTTCTTTATTTCCCGCAATTAAGATGCGCTTAACTGAATTCGGTCAGAGAAAGTCCCCACCGTTCTTTTTGGTGTATCTCTTACATCACCAAAATAACTGCTGGTACAATCAAGTGGTATATTGCAGTAATGCACCTTTCTGTTGGTATATGTATAGTAGCCCGCTCTTTTTCAATGATCGATTTCAGCCCGATTAGAGATACTTTTTCGCGCAAAATCTCTCTCTTCCAGCCTTTGACTTGCAGATATTAAGCCTGGGAAGAACTTTCATCTGCATCCGTCTGCGGTCTTCTCACTCCAAAGTGATACTTATAGTGCATAGGTAGTGGTACATACTTGGTGAACACAAAACCAAACTTCTCATAAACCCGTTTACCTCGAGGGCTCGAATCAATATAACATTCTAGTTTATCCTTGTCGGCTAGTTCACAGCCGTGTTGCAAGATGAGACTTCCGGCCCCTTGTCCTTTGTAAGCCTCGGCTGTACACAATAACTCCATGTCTTACAAATCAGCACAGTTGTTAAAAGTTAGAAGCAACTTCTACAAAAGGGTTTGTACATACAATAGTGGGGGCGATCATTCATGAAATCTTCCCTGTTCTTTTCGAATGCTCCAAATAGAGCGGTGGCAGTTTCTTCGTCACAGCAGGCCATAAAATCGTTTGTATACTTAATCTGTTAATACTCCGATTCAGAGAAGGGGCAAGACCCACGAGATTCAGGTGATAGTATATAATAATACAAATAGTGAGTAGACTTACTCGCCCTTCCTCATACCCTGGTTGATGCCGATCCTCTTCCTTCTTGGGCTTTAGCCAGAGTCCCATGCTGACGATCTTGTTGACGTCAGAGTCAGTCACTTTAAGCACAATAGTGTAAGGATCTTGAAGACAGTATATTATATGATCTGTCCAGCATTTGCGAGCCTGAGATGTATCTGGCATCATTTTGCGGAAGTAGGGATGATCGTGAAAGCCAGCAAAAAAAAGATTCCCAATAGCTTCGGCGTCGGATGGGTCGGCAGCATCGAGATTCAGATTGTGCTTACTTGCGAGAGGCATGGTGTCTTCTGATTGTTTATACAGAGGACAAAAGTATGATGAGAACAGAAACTGTGCGACACTTGTGATTGATTGGTTAATGTGTAGATGTGAAGTTACGACACAATGAAGGTCGACGGGAAACTTTCAGTTCGTGGAGACGATGTAAATGACGTCACGAGAGGATATCTGCTGAAAGGTAATGGTCTAACAGTGCCGGGATAGTTTAATTACGGTAAATTTGGTTATCTGCCAGAAATACATGCTGAAAAGATGATGGGGACTTTCTCTCATTATTTGATGTTTGGCGTTTGGCGCAATCGGAGTAGGGCACTGGGAAAGAAAGATTGCGTGTGCAAGGGGTAATCTGTTTTCGAATGCTACTGTATATTACCGTACACGGGCACGGCACACGAATCCTCAACTTAGTGTACCCCGATCAATAGATGATCTGCGCTAAGGACTTGGCAGTGGGGCCTGGGAGAATAAAAGCAGTCTGGGGGGGGTAGAAGCCGTTTTCGCTATCAACTGTACAACCGCACTACCACCATTGACTGTATGCTAACGGAGACAGACAATTGAATCAACTATCAAATACAACCATAAATTGAACACAGCGGAGCATCTAATCGATGTAGATGACAGGCTTGCACAAGAAGGCTTGCATTTTTATGGGATATCGCAAGCTGAGCTGGATAAGTTCAGTACGGATCAAATCCGCGAAGGCAAGAAAACTGATCGAACGAGCGTTGCACAAGCGATGAAGCATTTCGTGCGTGATTGGGCCGAGGAAGGGCAAAATGAACGTGAAGAATCATTCACATGTCTTCTAAGCCAGTTGGATAGTATGGATAGAGAAATCAACGCGCCGCTAAAAGTTTTGGTTCCAGGTGGTGGTGTTGGGCGACTAGCACATGAGATTGCTCGGCTGGATGGTGAGTTCTCCCAAATTTTTCTCATGTGTCCAACAATATTCTAAATAAAACAGTCTTTGAGGTGACAATGAATGAATGGTCTCTCATCATGCCACAACGTCCGATATGCAGCGATCTGTTTCCTTTCCTGACTCATCTATCAATGAACTAGCAGTATTATTGGTTGAGGGTGATTTCACAACGGTGTTCAATGGCGAAGAAGGAAAATATGACGTGCTTGTAACGCTCTTTTTCATTGACACTGCGCGAAATCTCTTGACCTATCTCGAGACAATTCACCGGCTGTTGCAACCTGAGGGATCGTGGGTTAATCTGGGACCTTTACTTTACGGAACGGCACCCTTCCTACAGTTATCCCTTACTGAAATTATATCGCTAGAAGAGGCGGTGGGGTTCAAAATCGAAGACCCAGGTGATGTGTGCGGCGATATTTCTTTGAACGGATTGCCTGTGCGTGCCAAGGAGGTATCGTATGGAAGAAATGTGCGAGGGTTGAATAGGAATGGGTTCTTAGCGCAGAGCTGGCGAGCCATCAAATTATGATGCTGTCAAAAAATAGATTGGGATGTACTCGCAAGCCGTTCGAGGACAGGTTTGGTTTGTGCAGTTCTTTCAGCTCTTTGATACTCAATTTTGGCAGCTTGTCTCCATTGAGGCCAGTTTTAAAACCGTGGCGGGTATTACTTCCATGGTCTACCTTCAAAGAAGTCACAGGTTTGATCGAGTGACTCTTTCGATGTTTTCATTGTTAGTGGCGGTTTTCCTTGCGCAGTGGACTGCTAGAATGTTATATTATTGCACATGACAAAGATCCAAATTTAGTAGTATCTAATCTCACATTCAAGTTTCTTTATTGGGCCCAAATTCTCAAGTCTCCTCGGGCTACAATATATCAGACCGACATTTGCCCCTCGCAGTCAAATCGAGCAAAACTACAAAAGCCAAATTCTCAAGTTTTCTTGTACGAAGTTAGATTTTCACTACGCAGATTTTATCCGTTCTAGGTGAAATCCATAGCCATGTCTGAAGAATTAGTCGATGCTTCAGACTTTATCCAGGTTAGAGCAGACACGGTGCTCACATTTCACAAATGGTCTCATCCGATGTTTGAAGCCGGTTTCAAGCGTGAAGTTATGACAATGGCGATGTATGACATAGCCGACGACTTTGAAAAGTTTAAACAGCTAGCAAGTGAGGAAACAGGATTATGCTTTGTTGAAAGATGTACACGCATAACAGAGTCGCTTCACGTCATTGGCAAAGTGGTGGAGTTTATTGACAACCTTCCTCTACGAGCCCAGGTATCAGCTTTGAATATGTTCAACGTTCTTGCTGATCAAATTGGCAGACTCACTCTGCATGGCTACACCGAAGAAGATGAATTTTCAGTTATAATGCGCGAGAAAGCTAAATCCGAGACCTATCGATGGCATCTTAGATGTAGTGATCCTGACTGTGACCAAATACAAAAGACACTTCTTGAATATTGGGAATACCTTCACTTTTTTCTCGCGGGTTGCACTTGTTACAATTGTAAGTGGGAATATCAGCTCCGGAGTGAGTTGAAATAATTGAGACCATTGCCTTCGAATTTGTTATGGGGCGGATATACTACCCTCGGTGTTTTTTTCTGTGGTGATTTTGTGCCTCTATGGTTTTATGATTATACCTTATTTCACATTTTGTGCTTTGTCGGATACTTGTTACCATAAAGGTCTCATTATTTGTATGTTGAAATAACCTTGGAGTTCTTTTTGAATTGATACAATGCTTTTCTATGTAACGTTTTCACTAAGCAAACCATCGGCCACGGGTTCAACTCTACTAACCAGCGGTGGAAGCGAACTAGTAGAGGAGGACACTAAACTGACTAGTGACAAATTTCTTAATGGAATACTTTAGAATATTCTTTGAACTGCCTGGTCATAGAGCATCCTACCTCTCATAGATAACCTTTGAAGTCTGAGATGAATACCACTCATTCTTCGACCTTGCCGTAGACATTTCATTCCTTATATTCAACATGGGTGGGTCCAGGGAGCTTGGCGTCAGCCTGAGCTGGCTCAATATCACCCAACGCCTCAGCAAGACCGGCTTTCTTTCTTGCCTTGGCCTCTTCGACTGCAACTCGAGCCCTGGGAACAACATTCCACTGTAGAGCTTTCTGGTAGAAATTGCGCTTCGCTTCGATCTCCTGGTCCCGGTCCTCATCCGGCAGAAAGATAAGATCGACCGACTCCAGGTTTAGGTAAGACGTCTCTGGGTAGAAACAATAGACAATGAAAGCGGCAACGATGTTGAAGACGGCAAAAATGATATAGGTCTTGTAGCCTATATTCTCAAGAGCGGGAGGTGTTATTTCGACAACCTTTGTTATGGTTACAATATTAGTATAAATTAATGTGAAAAATTTTTAGAATAGGAGTTTACCAAGAAGTTTCCAAGGAAATCTGCGGCTGCTGCTAGTGCGGCGCCCTTGGAGCGAATCTTGAGCGGGAGAATCTCGGCGGGATAAACCCAGACCGTGGCCATCCATCCTGTGGAATGCCTCGTTAGCTCGTGTGTCCACATGCATAACTGCTGTTTTTGAAGATAAGACGGAATGTGACTCACCCCAAGTGAAACAGGCTTCGAAAGCAAAAACAAAGAAGACGGCTGCGATGCCTGATGATTTGCTGTCAATGGCCACGGTGATGGCTTCGCAGACTAGCACAATGCACATTCCAAGTGCCATGATAATGAACAGTCGACGTCTTCCAACTGAGTCAATCATATACCACTGCGTGCTGTCAGATTGTGATCAAGGTTCCTTCTTCGGGAAGAAAGATATCATACTGTTAAAAAGGAAGCGATGATATACCACAGTTGTAGGAAACATCCCACGAACAAGGCTCGTTCCTGGTCCATACCCAGGCTATCCTGGAATAGTGTGGGAGCATAGTAGCTCACAATGTTGATTCCTAAAAAAGCGATATTTTCAGTGGTTGCAATGGCACAGACCTTAACAAGATTGTTTACCTGAAGTCTGTTGCATAAATTGAATACCAAGCGCCAGGAAGAACCGCTTGTTGGCAGCACACCCTCCATCCATAAATAAAGACTTCCAGGTTCCTTCCTCCTCGGACTCAATATTTATCGCAGATAGAATATCCGACTTCTCTTTCTGTACAACAGGGTCGTGTTCCGGCTTGTTGCGTAGCTTGGCCAGGACTGCAGTGCCTCGGTCGGGTGTAGATTCATGTAACATCAACCATCGAGGCGTATCGGGTAGAAATGGCGTCATGAATAGAACGTAAAGGGCAAATACAGCCTGAAAAAGGAGCGGGAATCGCCACTGTATAGCGCCTGGATGGAAATAGAATGCGTAGTTGATCCAATATGCCAACATCAAACCGAATAACATCATTGTCAACTGACAGCAAAGATGCCAACCTCGCTGGCTAGGTAGACATATCTCACTTTGGTAAACGGGTGCAACAGAGGTCAAGAATCCAATGCCTATTTGTCATGAGAATCAAGTCAGTATAGGGTGGCCTCGTATACGATCATGTTGAAGATATTTTGACTAACCCAACCCAGTTATAATTCGGCCGACTATCATCAACACTCGCTCAACGGATGCCCCCATTAAGACAGATCCAATGACGATCAGGGCAGCCCCAACCATCAGCCCACGCTTGCGGCCAAGGCTCTCAACTGTGAAGGCAGCAATAATCGCACCAAAAACACCTCCAACATCGTACAACGCGGTAATTGTACCGGTCATCACGGTGCTTGGGTTTCCCATCTCATCAAGCCAATACTCCGAAATGACCACTCCGGACATGACTCCTTGATCATATCCAAAAAGGCTAGAATATACCACTCACTATACCGCGACCAGTATTCTCAACATGATGTGAGAACTGATCGGGACAGCGGAAGTGGTAGTTAGTCAGTATGGCTGAGAGCCAGAATAGAAGAGAACAAACTTACAGAAATGAAGCAGAACATACTGTCGTAATGGCTACCACAAGTGGCGCTCCTTTGAGACCACTAAGCCCAGTCTTGTCAACCATATCAGACAACGCGTAAGACAGGTAGAACCAAAATCAACTAGGTATTCCGACCCGGCACAGGGCCTTGGACGGACGGATATAAGTACTACACTATTCACCCCTCGCAATCGGGCCGACTATGAGGTATTTTGCTCGCAAGACCGAAATGCGTGGGGGTCGATCTGGGAATGTGGGGGAGGACAACGAAGGCAGCTAATCAGGACCAAATCAAGAACTCCAGGTGGCACAAGACACCCGCTACCTTTCGCGACATTGGATATTATCCGGGCCAAGAACAGCCAAGCATCGTCAAGCATTGAGGATGTGGAGTGGAGCCCGAGGGGATCGCACTGTCAATTGCCTCTTCCAGGGTAACCCCCGCGTGTCGCGTGTCGATCAAAGCTTCACTGTAGCAAGGCAATGTTGTCCGGGGTCTGCTCTGACCTCACGAGGCCCCACCATCGGACTTGGGCCGGTTGGGGGGTGGGCAGTGATTTTTTGCATTAGGGGTTGCGTGGGAGGAACCTGATCAGGGTGGTTCCAAGGTTGTTGACTTGGTTGCGTGTTCAGGCTATATGTGCTCGATAGATGAAACACACTATCCCTCCCCGCGCTTTCTGAGCTAGAACAGACGGTGCATGGAAAATCAACATATGACTACTCAATAAGAACAATGTTGTTTTGACCGAATTCTAATGATTTCTTGAAAAACAAAACGAAATTTATAACCGAAAGATTTTGTTACCCAGATTAACTCCCGCAACAAGAGTTGCAGGAAATGAGAGCTTCAAATTCACATGTAGAAACAGGGCCAACAGCTTTTGAAGTGCCAATGCAGAAAGTCAGATGCGAAAAGTGTGCGGGAAGAGAACCAAGACTCTTAAACAGAGTCACACGTATGTGACCCAAAGGACGTTTCCCGTCCTTGCCATAATATACCAAGAAACAACATTAAATAACGACACTATCAAGATGGTTAGCATTTGAATTCCATGTCGCAATAAGTGGCAGATATGCATACCTCCAGTCGTTGTTCTCGTCACCGTATTGGATACCCTCGATCCAGTTCTTCATCTGGAGAGCAATCTCACCAGCTTCCTCGGTCTCCTTCAGACCGCAATCAACCATCTTACCGCGGTAGCTGATGTTCCGCACAGGGCTGACAATAGCGGCGGTACCGGCACCGAAGACCTCAATCAAGCGGCCCTCCTCGGCGGCCTGGGCAACGTCGGCCATGCGGATCTTGCGCTCAGAGATGTCCCAGCCCTGGGGGATAAGACGCTCACGAGCCAGGGTGAGAACGGAGTCTCTGGTGACACCCTCCAGAATGGTACCATCCAGAGGAGCAGTAATGAGCTCCTTCTTTCCGGTCTCCTTGTTCTTAATGGCGATGAAGAGGTTCATAGTACCGACTTCAGTGACATACTCCTCCTCGCCGAAAAGCCAGAGGTTCTGCTGGAAGCCGCGGGACGCAGCCTCGAGCTGGGGGAGAATGCAGGGGGCATAGTTGGCACCGAGCTTCTTGTCACCGACACCACCGGGCCAGGCACGGACAGCATAGTCAGTGGCCTCGAGAGAGATGGCCTTGAAGCCGGTAGGGTAGTAAGGACCGACGGGGCTAGCAATCACGAAAAGCAGAGCAGAGCCAGGAGGGCCAACGCCGAGAGTCTTTTGTGTACCGATCATGGTAGGTCGCAGGTAAAGTGAGTAGCCGCGGGCACTATTGCAATTAGCTACATTTTTTTTTGACCGGAGGGTCAGAATCAGGAGCTTCTTACTTGGGGATGAAGCGGTCGTCCAGCTTGACAAACTCTCCAATCAGCTTGGTCAGAGCCTCGCCATCAAATGTCGGCAGTGCGATACGTGCAGAGGACTTGTTCAGACGCTCCATGTTCTTGTTCGGCCGGAACAGACGAGTTCCTCCGTTGTTATCTTTATAGGCCTTCATTCCCTCGAAACACTCGAATGCGTAGTGGAAAACACATGTGGACGGGTCCAGGCTGAGGTTCTGGTAAGGGACGATTTGGGGAGTTTGCCAGCCATCCTTAGCGGTCCATTCGATCGAGAGCATGTGGTCTAAGAGAATAACCCTGTCAGAAATCGCTATAGTGCGTCCCGCCGCAAAAGGAGGTAGGTACCAGTGAAAGTCGCGCCGAAGACAAGTTCATTGTTAGGGGTCAGCTCCTTTGGGGTGCTTGTCTTGGTGATTTCCAGCTTCGAAGCATCCAGGGCAGCCTGCTGAGCCGCCGCAGCCGTCGCGCCGAAGTTGCGCTGCCAGAGGCGGGTGGATGGGATCTGCGATGACAGGCGAGGGTTTGCGAGCCCGGTCAACGCCGTACGGCGGGTCAATTGCTGGAATAATCTCATCTCTGTGATATGAGTGTCAGTCCCACTGCCAATGATTGATTTTCCAGAGGAGGGGAAGGGAAAACCGACTGTTTTTAAACGATGACTCCGCACGACTTCGGAGTTGGACCTTGCACTCCGAAAGTTCCAAATGGGGAAATGGCAGACAAGGCTTCACCGCCCACGGCTACCCCCGGCATCGGCCTCGACCAATCAGATCGCCCGGATTGGGCGTAGCCCCGCCGAAATCGGATCTCGACGCGCGGGGAGGTCACCTGACCGGCCTTTGAAGTATGCAGTGAAGGGATATACACTGAGTCAACCCTATATATTTTAGATAAGGACAATGAATGAGTCAAATTGGGGAAAATAAGCATGTACCATGTTACACTTCACTTAGAGTACTACTGGTGCAAGCAACATACCTAGGTATACTATGTAAGCACTCCATGCTAGAAGAAGATTCTGCCATGTTTAGTTCACACCGTGACTTTCTCAGAGAGACCTAATCGGTGTAGTTGTTAAGTCTCCCATATACTACTTGTAAGAAAAAATATAAAAACCATTTCTTATTTACCAATTGCCCACTATTCATCTGCACCCACCTCTACTACCCTAAAGTACACCGAAGTACTCCACCGCAGTGCCGAGGGCGGAGAAGTACCTGATTGGTACACAGTTTCCTCGATATGTCATAGCTACACTTTGAATGCTCCTCCAAATGCAATTGATGCGTGGCATTGCGCCGCGTTTGTCGCTTACCCGGAGCTCCGTTCGACCTCCGCTACCCCTCCATTCTCTCCATCGCCTGCATCGTTTCCCTCTTTCCTCCCCGACTACCATCCACTCTAAACACTTCTCCCTCTCCCATTCATACCGCGTGCCCACCATGGATGACAACGTTAAACAACACTATCTGGCCGACTCGCCCCCTTCCGTCGTCAAGCTGGAGATCAAGACACACTGGGACACTTTGAAGGATGAGAGCCTGAAGCGATATGCTCACTACATGAGCCGGTATGACGCCTCCCCGAGGTCCACTGCAAAGCTCTAGGTAGCGCACGACCGGAATCGTGCCACCTGCGCAACATTGAATTAAGCTGACCGCTGCGGGGAAATCCATACAGAGCTGCATTCGAAGGTACTCGTGTTACCTTGCGTCAAGTTTCGCCCGAATCCGAACCTATCTACGACCTCATCCTTGCCCTTCACCGTGCGGCCAATGGAGATTGGGCCAGCCTGGCTAAGAAGACCTCCGTCAGCGACGAACACCTCCGTTTCTTCCTCGAATATTCCGCCCAGTTCTTGGGTAACTGTGGTAACTACAAAGGCTTTGGTGACTCCAAGTTCATTCCCCGCCTGCCAGCTTCGGCCTTTGAGGCGCTTTCCTCCGCCACATCGGAGACCAAGGCTGCTTTCCAAAAGGCGAGCACCACTGGGGGTGGTATCTATGAGACTGCTGAGCAGTCATTGATGCACTTGGGATACCCGGCTAGTGGACATATGACAACGTATTACCCCGACTCGCCCTCCATCACTAAGGATGAAATCACCGCTGTTGGAGACCTGATGGAGAAGAAGGGTTTGGCATTGGAGAACACAAGACTGCGCAAGACCTCCTCAGGTGACTTTGAACTTTTGATTGCTTCTGGCGTATCAAACCCACCTGCACGGGATCGCGATCTGGGCGAGACCGACACTTTTTGAGTTGGAGGGATCTCTGAAGGGCAAGACCTTGCGTCTGGTCTTTGGTGACTACCTGGAGGAAATGGCCAAGGTTGCCCACAGCATTAAGCGAGCTGAACTCAATGCGGCCAACGATAACCAGAAGCGCATGTTGGAAGCTTACGCTCGCCACTTTGGCGCTGGTTCCATCGAATCCTTCAAGGAGAGCCAGCGTGTCTGGGTGAAAGACCAGAAGCCTGTCTTGGAGACAAACATTGGCTTTGTAGAGACCTACAGAGACCCTCATGGTGTTCGTGGAGAGTGGGAGGGCTTTGTTGCACTGGTGAGTGTCTTTCAACCCGGATCAGCTACATGGATCTCATTTCTAACCAACACTAGGTCAATCTTGAACGTACCCGGGCATTTGGAACCCTGGTTGACAGCGCTGAGAGCATGATCCCGAAACTTCCCTGGGGTACCGACTTCGAGAAAGACACGTTCCTCAGCCCCGACTTCACCTCCCTGGAGGTTCTAAGCTTTGCCTGCTCGGGTCTTCCAGCCGGCATCAACCTTCCCAACTACGATGATATTCGTCAGAATCTGGGCTTCAAGAACGTTTCCTTGGGCAATGTTCTCAGTGCAAAGGCTCCCAACGAGCCCATCCCTTTCGTCGCCGAACAGGATCAAGAAGTCTACCGCCGATGCCGTGACCCGGCATTCGAGGTCCAGGTTGGCATTCACGAGCTGCTCGGTCACGGAACTGGCAAGCTCCTGCAGGAGACTGCACCCGGCGAGTACAACTTCGACATCTCCAACCCTCCCATCAGCCCTGTCGACAACAAGCCCGTCAAGAGCTGGTACAAGCCCGGACAGACATGGAGTTCTGTTTTCGGCGCCATCGCCTCATCTTACGAAGAGTGCCGCGCCGAGTGCGTTGCGATGGCTCTTGGCTGTGACTTTGAAATTCTGAAGATTTTCGGTTTCGGCGATGGTACTGTTGATATGGACGGCGAGGCTGGAGATGTCCTCTTCGCGGCCTACCTCCAGATGGCTCGCGCGGGACTGGTTGCCGTTGAGTTCTGGGATCCCAAGACTCAGAAGTGGGGACAGGCTCACATGCAGGCTCGCTACAGTATCTTGCGTACCTTCCTGGATGCGGGCGATGACTTTGTCAAGCTGCATTACACCAAGGACGACCTATCGGACCTCGAGATCCGCTTGGATCGATCTAAGATTCTGTGTCCACGGCCGCCCGGCCGTCGAGAAGTATCTCCAGAAGCTGCACGTTTACAAGAGCACGGCAGATGTCGTGGCGGGCAAGGGCCTGTACGATGAGATCACCTCGGTCGATAGCTGGTGGGCGTCTCAGGTCCGTGAGGTTGTTCTGAAGAACAAGGTTCCTCGCAAGGTCTTTGTGCAAGCCAACACCATTCTGGAGGGGGACAAGGTCACCTTGAAGGAGTATGAACCTACTCTGGAGGGTATTATCCAGAGCTTTGCAGAGCGCAATGTGTAAAAACCAGGCTCCAGAAGCATAACATAACAAGCCATCAATAATATGATACCAGGGCCTCGATTTAATGTATAACATTGCGGAAAAATCCAAATAGCAGAAGTAGGCCGATAATTATTATTCAGAAGGAGTGAGATATGTGTAAATCTTCTACTTGCCAGGACTCGATGCTCTTTTGTTCTCCTCGTGCTCCTTGTCCACCTCGTGCAGTAGCGTGGCGGACTTAGCTTACCGCCAGGGTGATCTACGCCTCGCCTCTAAGCGCTGTCCATCCCTCCCCAACCCCTCTCAAACTGCCACGAGGTCCTGCAACTCCCAAGTTTCCAAGGAACTTTTATTTCCAGCCTGAAGGTTTACATATATACATCCGAAGCAGTGGCCACTCCCCAACCTGGCCAAGCGTTGTCCAGACCGTTCGACTCCTGATCGACAAACATCGGACCCTTTAGGGCGCAAGTCCGGAACTCATCAGATCAACCGCGTCGCAGCGATTGGATCTGATCCCCCATAGCACTAGCACCGTGTCGGAAGAAACATCCCCTCGACGCTCATCAACCACGGCGCGACCGCCATCACCAACGGACTCCCTCGCGGAGGACGACTATTACACCGCACCCCCGCCGCCGCATTTACTATCCGAAGCATCTCCCTCTAGCTCCGTCGGCCCACCACCTTTCTCCTCTCTCTTCTTCGCCCCCTCCGATTCCGACTTCAATCGCCTTGAGCTTACCGAATCCTCCGCCTCCGCTTCGCTCCCAGCTTTTGCGCCGCCCCCTGTTGAGGAGTCGCTCGACCCGGCCCCTTCGTCGTCGGTTGTCGCAGATACCAAAGCGTCTTTCTCAGATCCCAAGGGGGACACTGGCAAGAGTTCTGACGACGGAGAACCACCGCCTCCCTATACCGAAGGATACAGCCCACTTGAATCTTTCAACTACGTTATGGCTGCCGCTGGTGGAGCTTCCAGCATCATCACCCAGGTCCAGCAGACCGGGGACCGCCGATCAACACCCTTGGTGGTATGTGCAGTACTGGTTGGAGGGGAGGCCCACGATGAGCCATGCTAATGATTTCTGACTACATGTAGATATCGGCGGAGATGAGCACATCACCCTTGACCTTCGGTATGAGTTTCCTTTCACCCAGGGGCCAATCGACATGATACTGACTTGATATAGGGGTACCCGCTTTACACTATCCCGAGATGAACTACTGACATTACCCGAATTTGTATTGCTATCCCTCTTCCCCAATGGTCTTCTTCCTGACGGCCACATTGGCGGATTCCACGAAGGAGATATCTACCCAGTCGATGTAAGTGAATCTGGCTTCAATGAACTCTCAGAATGCAATTGATCCATTGCTAATACCGCTTTAGTATGACCCTCTCTCCCTTCAGTACATGCTGGATTTCTTCCGCACGGTGGCCCAGTCCATTCCATCAACGGCACCTTCCGAGTCGACATCGCCAGACCTGGAAATGTCCGACACAATGCAGAACTCTGCGCGTGATATGCTCCAGGATCGCGCTGGTATCATTGTTCTCCGTGAAGACTTGGACTTTTATGTTATTCCCCTCGACCTGAGATCGGTCACGAAGAGATGCTTGAGGTTAAGCGGGCGGCTGGCCGAGCCCTTTTGAGGCAGGATGGCATTTTCTCTGGACTGCGTAAAAGCGAGGAGATTGGATCTACAGAACAACACCTGATCGAAATGCTGACTGCTGGGTAAGTCAAAATACCCTGAAGTTGATTTCAATATACTAATCTCCTGGGTAGTGGTTTTGATCGCGAGGACCAATGGGGCCATCGGGCTCCAGAACCTAACAAGGCGGTCATCTGCAGTTTGGCTCTGGCGAAGCTTCGCACCGACATTCGAGGAGATCTGTCTAACAACAATGCCGTCGGCATGGCCCAGAAACTACTTCTCTTCTGGCGAAAGCCCGCTCGCCGGTGCTGGTGGGAGGGAATCGACCTCGATGATGTGGAAGGGGTGGAGGGCCAAGTCAAGGTCTGGATCCGGAGGGTCTGGACATTGGAAATGGTAAGTTTCACCGTGTCCCCATCGGGGATAAATTAGTGACTAACTTTATACCTTTACAGAGTGTAATCGGTCTCCGGTGATCAATATCGTCTTTGCTCTTCTTCTCTGCATCTGTACTGCTATACCCAGATCCAATGGCTCTCGCCATGAAAGTTATCCCGTCTCTCTTTTGGCAATTTTGGGCTTGATACAAGTCTGCTACCGCGATGCCTTCTTCTGTTCTTTTCTTTCCCCCATCTGTGTCATTGATTGATTGTTTTTATTCGACAGCAGGGCTGGCGTACTAAGCAATTTGGTGTCTCTGTGTTGTTTCCCATATTCTCCATCTGTTAGTTGAGTATCATTGAAAACACGCCCATGGACATATGGTATGAGGCAACAAATCAATTTCCTGTGCTGCTTGAATTTAGTCTATATCTAGGTTAAAATTCATATATTTCGTTGTAATATTGCATCTAGACACTATTAAGTATTTACAGTATTCACAGCATTCACGGAGAGCATATTGTGGCCTCAGGCACTAACACGTGACCATGGAATGGGCCCGCCTCAATTGGGCAAAACGCGACGGCGCAGATTCCAAGCTCAGTGAATTCAATACCATACCATCCACCTCAATCCCATTCCAGCTTACGAGCTTGCGACTAACTGGGATTTGAGCTCGCTGTCCTTTTAAACAGCTTTCTCTACAATCCCTCATCTTTCTCCCTTCCACCCGTCACCCCGTCAACGTCGATCAACAGAAGCTTTCGCGATCGCAATCCCCGCGAAGGGGCATGTATCAGTCGAAATAAATCGCCAACATGTCCCCTCTTCGTGGATATATCACTTCATACCCGCCACGCGTGCGCCAGTATGGCAATGCGTTGCTCACCCCAGTCTACCCAGTGCAGACTGGTCCGACGCCGCGAACCACTAAGCGCGGAACGACCGCGATCAATTACGCCGAAGACGGATACGATGATGGGGACTTTGATGATGAGAGTGATGCTCTTCGAAGGCCCACGGGTCTGAGGAGTCTCCGACGTGAAGAATCCTCTGGTGGTCCTGGTGCTGGCGGGGGCGCCCTGCCAGCAACCCAGAAACTGGGCAAAGAAGCGCATGCGCCTGTGGAAGTGCAGGGAGTCTTTCGCGAATGGATGATCAAGCGAATGCTGCGACCAGCGTATGTCTTTCATTGTTGTAGTCTTGTGCTCGATACGACAGAGGCAATGCCCAACTCCCTCGTCCCTGTGTCTCCTAGCTAACTTTCTTCGATTTACAGATGCGCGGATCAATTACAAATCCAAGCTCAGCTTCCTCTTACCCTCGTTCCCATTCGAATTGATGTCGAGGTTCCCGCTCACACACCTCTCGAACCCTTTCCTATCCCACGCGGCGCTGATAACAGCCTCAATGGCCTCCTCAACCTTCCTGCATACCGCCGTCCAGAGCCCCTGCCTCCCTTCCGAATCAAGGACACTTTCCTTTGGAACCTCCATGAAGCACTCGCGACGCCAGAGGAGTTCGCTGTCGGGTTCGTTCGCGACCTCGATCTACCGAATCCTCAAGCGACCACAATGACAATCAGCAACCAGATTCGCCAGCAACTGGAAGAATATGCTGGTGTGGCATTGCATCCTCTTTTCTCGAGCACCCAACCACCTCATGAACAAAGCATGCCTCCACAAACGGAATTCTCTCGGGACACCTCTATGACCCCTGCTGCTACCACAAATGTTGCCACACCTGACAGCCGGCCCAATGGAGCATCAGTAACAGCGACGAAGGAGGCACTAGTCAATGACAGTCTACTAAACCCAGATGATGCGTATCGTTGCCTGATCAACCTCAACATTAACTTACAAAATAAGCTTTATACCGACAAGTTCGAGTGGTCACTATTGCACCCACCCGGTATGGCGGAAGACTTTGCCAAGATCACTTGTGCAGACTTGCACCTTGGCGGCGAATGGGTCAGCGCCATTTCACACGGCATTTACGAGGCGGTTCTGAAGCTCAAGAAGGAGGTCTGCGAAAGTGGCGGCCTCGTAAGCGGAATCAACGGCTACGGCAACGAGATCGATAACCAAGCAGCGAACGGTGTCGAAGCCGGTTGGCGGTATGACCCCGAGACCCTCGGCGACGAATGGGAGCCCAAGGTCGAGACTCTCTCCAAAGACGAAATCGAAAGACGAGAAGGCGACCGCGAACGACAAATCCGGCGCTTGCGTCGAGAGACTGCTCGATTCTCCTCTACCACCGGAATTACTACCGGTACGCCAGAGGCATCCAGGCAGAGCAGTGGTGGATTCTTCGATGTCGACAGCGAGACTCCTCTCGGTAGGGGTGAGCGAAATAAGCGGAAGCGTCGATTCCGCAGCCTCAGTCCTTTGGGTCGGAGCACTCCAGGTGGCCGAGGCACCCCGGAAACAAGCTCTGGTGCTGGATATGGCGGCGGCGGTGGTACACTTTCCGAATGGTACGTCATTCTCAAATACTTACCTTAACTATCGCTGACTTTTTTTTGTTACAGGGAACGGCAAAGCTGGAGATGCTTTAACTGCATGGTATGGGGCACAGCAGTGTGGGCGGTGCGAGACGGCCCTGACGGTCCACGGGTAAGTCATTCATTGTCTCGCGAGCACAACAATATCCATATATTTAACCTCTTCCTTCTAGACACTTTGCCACAACTGTGGCTTCCTCTACGAGCGAGACAAGATCGCACCCGAGTGGTCAAAAGACCTCCATCGTCATGATATCCCCGTCGGGCGAATCGCCTAAGCATGCAGTTTTGCTCTTCTATTCCACAATCTACCACCTGCAAATCACGACAGATATCATAAACACTATCAGCCGTGCCTTCCAGTTGTTTTCCAACGCCATTCACCCCCTCTCACATTCTCTAATCCCGACCAAGCGACACATGCCCGTCAATCCCCTTCTATTTCAATAGCCCCCGCATATCGGCTCCCCTCGACCGATCGCTTCTTCTCTCGCCTTGGAGCCACCTGATTCTACTTGCTGGTATTGACGAAATGCACTTTCTCTCACCTTCCCCAAAATCACTGGTATAAAGGCCCAGGCCCAAAATAAGTGCAACGATTCGCATGTATTGGGGGCGGAACCCCTAGACTTGCCAGCTTGATGTACTCGTTTTTAGGGTGCTTCTTTATATGTCATATGCCTTGTTGTCCATTTGGACACCGGGAGGTTGTTGTTGGCAGTTATGATCTTCTTCATTGATTTTGGAAGTTCCCAAATAAAACCCCTTTCTAGGACTTGGAGGAGGGGAAGACAGGACAGGGACTGAATTCTGTAACCCCCTTTTCTTTTTTTATGAATTTTTCTCTCTTCTATTGCTGGTGCTATTGAGGTATTCATGGGTGGGCGTGGAGATGGTGCTTCTGTGAATTTTTCTAGGTTAATGTATGAATATGACCATGGGTCCATTGATTTTATACTCGATTTCTACTGCTTCCAATGTTTTTGGTGCTTTTTGGTCCGCTCTGCCGTATCAGTAGTAGTAGTAGTAGTAGTAGTAGTAGTACAAGACTGGGTTTAATTGGCACTGGCAGGAGACTTCCTGATGCGAAGAAGAGACGACCTAAGGTTTCTATTCGCTCTCGACCACGCATCCGGGTTGAAACGCCACTGGCAGGTGCAAGATCCATTCAAGTTAGAACACGGGCATCGATACCTATTCGTCAACTTGAAGTTTAACAGGATGTTGACACCGTGACCTGCGCAGGTATCTAGGTGGGAATCTCCGCCACTTATTAGGCAGATTGTTGAAATTTTCCCAAGAACCTCCAGGGCTTACTAGTACTAGTGAAATTTGAACCTTCAAGTTGGAACCATCAAGTTGGCACCTGGGCACTTGGAGTTATGGGAACCTCGAGATACTACCAGTACTCCCAGTAGGTATCTAATAGGTAATAGTAGTACCTCTTACTAGTATTTATATATATTTGTCAGCTGGGCTGTACTAGTAGATCCTACTGCTAGTACAAAATCGCTCACTAGTTCGAGAGATCGAGACGAACAATAGTAAATACCTAGGTAGTGCTGAGACCGACAGGTCCTAGACATCCGGGATAAAATGTCATGTCTTAGTAGTTGGTTGTTTGTTCTCTCTGCGTTGTTCCGTTCTCTATGTCCCCTAGCTCCAAGAGGCGCGAGGCGCGACGCCCGTGAGACCTTAGGCACCAAGGCACTAAGGCACTAGTATTGACTTTCTGTCTTTAGAGAACCTCGCGCTTTCATTTTAGCTCTGATCAGTGCTCCGATCACGACTTTGTAGTTTCTCTCTTCTCAATAAGTAACTGGAAAGGTAGAAAGAAGATGCGTCAATGATATCAGTTGACAGGGCACATAGGAGCCACGTGATATCAAACCTCAACTGACACCCCATCCTAAAACCCACAATTCTGGCGTCAATAAAATTCTAAAAATCCCCAAAAAATTCTATATACCAAATCAAAGAGTATTGGAAGCATTGGTCTTTAAAATGTAGTACAATAATGACTTGTTATCGAGCGAATCTTGGAACTCTCGCCCCGGCCTCAAATCTCCACGATTCGGCTTCAAAAAAAGTGAAATTGGTCCTCAGGTATCCATACTTGAAGGCAGCATTCATCAAGCGGCGATGATAGCTCAGTTGGGAGAGCGCACGACTGAAGAACAACTTCAATCAGCTGTCAAAGCAAATCGTGAGGTCGCTGGTTCGATCCCGGCTCGTCGCATTTTTTGGCATTTTTTGGCATTTTTTGCATCACTTTTTGACCCACTGTCTTCCTCTTCCCGATCGGGATGGAGAGATTTCTTCTCACCTTTTTTGTGGTCGAAATTGGCCTTGTTCTTAGAAATTTGTGGTGATACGTCAAGAGGGCGGTATAAACCGGAGTAGAGAAAGAAGTCCATATGTAATTGCAAGGTCACGGATCACTAGTATACTATACTATTTAAACAGGAGTAGAAAGTGAGAGACTGGTATATGAGTGCTGGTCCTTGTCTACTATAGTTACTAACTGTATCTGTATAATCTTGGAACGAAACAAAAGTGAACTTGAAGATGAAACCTTGGAAAGAGATTCTTAGGCGTTTAACACATATCAGATCGACAGCTCTTTTCAAGCTGTGAAGGCTGTCTCGATCTTGAAAATCCTCTTTTGTCACATCTTCACGCCCACGCGGGCGGAGCTTGGCCCACTCGAATAGTTCGCGGGGTCGCCGACGAGCCAATACGCTCAGGGCAGAAGGCAAGTCAAGCGTGGAGTATCCAAATAGGGCTTAGCCTTAGCAGTGTTTTGACAATGTGATGCCGCTTTGTTGTCAGTTCCGATTTTCGGTTACGTTAACCGATCGGGACTTGCAACCTATTTTGCAAATTATAGCAGTCTGGATTCGAATCATGACGCAAAGCAGACACCACTCAAGTCGGACTTCGAGACAGACACCACAAACAGCTGGATAGCGTCTCATTTGGCTGGCTGAAAACTAGCACTTTCTGTCTATCTTACCGAATGCGAGGGTATTGTGTATGGCTTCAAGATTTTGGCCCTGCCGAAAGAGATACAGCAGAAGCGTCAGTGAATGCGGCTATAGCTGAATTCCGCTTCATCGCACGTCTCTATTTTTGAAATGCACCTCGCCTCTTATGCGCCCCACTCCCACTCTGCATGTTCATGATATGTACCTGTTTAGCGAGTTACGACCGCAACTAACATCATATAATAGTTGAGGATTGCAGCCTCTTTCAACCTACCCTTGACCCCTGAAAACAAAAGCAGCTGCCTTCAAGTTGGTTTTTTTCTTCGCCCAATATGGTAAACTTATTTACTACCGTGGTCGGTATCTTCACACGTCTAGTTAATGCATGCATCGGCCTTGCTCCTTGGGTCTCATTTGCTATCTGGCTCGAAATTCGGGATCTTTTCTACCTCGTCAGTCATTCTTTTCGAATGCCTCTTTCTTAAAATTTTGTTTATTACTTTGAGTAAGTTCTCAGTCGGGCTGACGGAATCTTGCATAGATCGCAAACCGTTTCCGCCCTAGTCGGCCCGTTGGAAGTGTTGTGCCTCCCGGCCATCCCGGCCACGGTGGAATCTGGCCGAAGTACCTCCCCCGACGCAGGGCAAAGAGAGCCGATCCCCGTGTCCCGGGTACGTCTCCCTTCTGCAAATACTCCGTACCGTAGTTCGATCTCTAACGCGCATACTTTCTCGATAGACTCAACACCCTTGCCAACCATAGTACGTCTAGCAGAATCGCTTCTCGGGCTTTCTTTTGCTCATCTGTATCGTCTAGATATTTTACCCCGTGATGGCAGACATATCACCTATAAGCAGCTGTCATCTTCAATCCAGCACGCATTTAACTTTTCACCAACACTTGCCGACCAGCTCACTGCTTCTGCCAAACTCCTAGACCAAGGACGGGGTTGGATTGACCTGCATGATCTGAATGCGTTAAACGTGAGTAAAAACAGACATGCATAAGCTCATTTCAATCTCTGTTCACGCTGATAGTTTTCTGGTTGTTCAGGTTATCCAACACGACGCCTCAATCACCCGTCCTGACATTGCCTTCTGTCCTGATCAGGGTTATCCGCACCCTGATCTCGTCGAAAAGTTCCTCGCCCACTCCTCTAACGGGAAATCCCTATCACTGGGTGAAATTGCGGCCTTTTCTGGGAAACGCCGCGCCGAATGCAAACGAAGCAATGGCCAATACTCTATGGCAGGGAACTTCCTGCACGAGTTTATTGGTAGGTTACCCCGGTGATTCAATTGCAAGATTGTATCTAAATAATTCGTCTTTTCACTAGGCTCTGGGGGTGGTGAACTCATTTACTCTATATTTGGGGGCAATGTCGATGACCTGCGTGTCTTTCTTACCGAGGAGCGCTTTCCAGAAGGGTGGGAGCCAAGGACCAGGGAAGCGTTCGGTCATACCGTCACAGTAGGTTCCTTGTACTTCCTTTCCGATCAGTTCCGTTGTCTGATATTTTGGTGCGTATAGAAAGCGCAATTGATCTCACTCATTATCGAATTCAACATCAACGAGGCGCAAGAGTAGCCTGGAAATATTGTTTATTTTGAGCAGAATAATTTGTGAGGGTTAATCCTGCCGCTTAGATTGGTCAGATGTTCACTTCTTTAGTCAATTATTATATAGGTATGTAATCAGCCTAAAATCAGTTTCTTGATCTTGAAACACGCTTCTCATCGAAACCTACCTATGTGGAGTCTATATTATTGAGGATTGGATTGTATATGAGCGATATAGAAGACGTAAATCTGGTAAGATTCGCGCTTCGAATGTGATACAAAGCTAAAATGTTGCGAACAATCCCATTGAGCCGGTGATTGGAATTGCAGCAGCTTGAAGATTGCCATGGTATCTCCATTGAAATAGCCACGCAAAGGAAAAGTATAATGACGGGACCAAGGAAGCAAAGCTCCATTCGGAGTAGACAACCAGTGTCGGGCCTTTCCTTGATACCTACTAGTACAACTTAGTAGGTATCACGGATAACTGCCATATACGTAAAAGCATGGACCATAGTACATGTAGGGTTCTAGTCTTCCGTAATAATCTCAAGACCTTTTATGAACTCATACCGACATTCAAATCCGAGGAAAACGCATGGAAGAAAATTTAATGATTGGTAAAGTGGTCTTGCAGATTCAGGGGCCGAGATAGCATAGAATACATTTGTTAGAAATATTTGGAAAAATTATGATTATTATTAGGAGAACCTGATACTGCAGCCCTGCCTAGTATCTTATAATAGAACTGCTTCGTATCTCATCTGCGAGACATTCCTTTTATCCTGAAATGATCCGAAGCAATTCATCTCTGTCTGAATCTTTGTCTACCATTGCCCGAAAGATGCCATTCTCAAGGTTTATCAAGTCTCGAGGAGGCCCAAATTCCGCCGCCACGCCACGGTCTAAGACCAAGATATGATCAAAATCAGCAATCGTGCTCAAGCGGTGGGCAATCACTAGGAGGGTTGAAGAACCACGTCCAAATCTTTCCCGTACCGCCTGCTGAATCTTCTCATCCGTTGCATGATCGAGCGAAGAAGTGGCTTCGTCCAGCATGAGAATTTTTGGATTGGAAACAATCGCACGGGCGAGGCAAAGGAGCTGACGCTGGCCTTGAGAGAGATTCATACCACCCTCAGAAATGGGCATTTCGAGCTCTGATAATGGGAATTTTGCCGTAGAGGGCGTGCACCGCACCTCCGCCAGAGCAGAGAGAAGTTCGCTATCATCATGTTCCTGGAATGGATCCAGATTGGATCGAACAGTCCCTGAGAATAACACTGGATTTTGTGGGATGATGGCCAGTCGGCGACGCAAATGGGTCAGGTTAATCTTGGCAATGTCGAGTCCATCAATAATAATCTTGCCCTGGCTGGCTTCCAGGAATCGGAAGAGAGCTAGCGCCAGCGATGACTTGCCTGCCCCAGTTCGACCAACGATACCGACACGTTGATTTCCCTCAATGGCTATATTAAGACCACAAAGAACAGGCGGTAAGTCAGATTCGTACTGCACTGCCAGGTCGGTTATATCCAATCGGCCCTCAGTTGGCCACACGGCGGGCGGATCAATGCCGTCGTACTGTTCTGGCTCCACATCAGAGTACTCCAGGACGCGGTCGAGGGAATTCAAATCCAGTTCCAAAGCAGCGTAGACCTGAGTTAGCAGAGTGATGGCACTGTTCAGCTGGATCGTAAATCCGATCGCAAAGCCCGCCGCAGACGCATCCGCCCCATTTTGACTCGTAACTAAAAGGGCAACACATGTTGCAAAGATCGCCCCGATAATGTTGATTCTCGTTCCGAACCAGCGTGTTAACAGCCACTGATGCCAGTATGCTCGAGCGTGACTATCCACAACTTGCTGCATTTGCTCAATATAGATTTCCGACTTTCCATAGGCCCGGATTGTCCAAAGGCCAGTGAGCGATGTGTTGAATTTCTCAAATATTGAACTACGAGCGACGTTTTCCATGCGCCTTATTTCTCTGGCCGCGACAAGATATGTACGGGTGAAATAGACGCATGCTGACGCAAGGGAATGATGAGGATGATCAACAGAGGGTTCACGATAATACCGGCGACAACCACACTGCAAGATTCCAGGCCGGCGGCGAGCATGTTGATCAGATCGAGACATATCTGATAGTCGACGACGTTTAAGTCAGCTGAGAAACGATTCAAAATCTGACCAACGGGGACTGCATCAAGCCATTGGAGGGGTGCGCTGAGTACGCCGCGTAGAGACTGTCGGAAGAGACGCTCTGATGCACGGAGTGCGAGAAGGAAAACAATAAAGTTTACGGTTGATCCGACGAGCCACTCGCACATAGAAAAAGCCACGTAGATGCCAAAATAAAACTTCAAATTCCCCAATACCATGTTTGGTGCATTGAGGGCGGTCTCGGTATCATGGTTGTTCCAGACACGTAGCCACCAACTCTGTTCCTAGTTAGTATATTGAAAAGCACAATCGATGTCGACTGCGGGATGAGGTACTTACTCTTGCGAGTATAAGAAGCATATAAGACACACTAGCAGCGACGACTAGAGCCCATAGCCACCATCTACCACTTGCTTTCATATACTGGATAGAAAGCCGCAGAGAGGACTTGTTCGTCTTGCCTCGCTCCTTTTGAACAAATGTTCGTGGTGCATGGTCAATTAAGCGGCTGCTCTGTGACGTAGTAGGTCGAGCAGGCTCATCAAAGTGCTCGAGGGGAACCGAAGGCACATCTTCCAATGTCACCTCTCCGTTTTCATCTAGATTTTCATCTGGGTTGCAAGAACGCAGTAGACTGTCGAGCATTCCACTATCGTGTAATTGAGCAGCCGCACCAGTGAATTCAGCCGCGCCATCTTCCAAATGAACGATATATTCAGTTTGGGGCAAGCAAATACTGATGTGATGCGTGGTGAGAATTCGGGTTCGACCCGCAGCCAAAGGTCCGGTCAGTGCATGCTTGTACAAATGTTGCGCGGTATGAACGTCAACCGCGCTAAATATATCATCCAACAACAAAGTACCAGCACGGGAATATAACGCTCTTGCGAGGGAAATGCGGGCTTTTTGTCCACCACTCAAGTTCACTCCGTCGGGGCCAACTTCAGTTCGCTCGCCGTCAGGGAAGATTTCCAGGTCCTTTACCAGGGCGCATGCGTATAGTACATCCCTATACCGCTTTTCACAAAATGGAAGTCCAAACAGAATGTTCTGCTTGATAGTTGCTGCTTCAATCCATGGTATCTGAGCCACGTACGCCGTGACGGAGTCCAAGAGCCAGTCTCCACCAGATGCGTATGTACGCCAGATAATCTCAGGATGCGGTTGAAGAGGGGCCATTACCTGCCCTGTAATGATATCGCATTCCCCAAAATGGCGGCAAGCAAAAGACTCTTGCCCGATCCCGTTCGCCCGGAAATCAGACTTAATTTGCCCCGGGGAAACTCCAGATCAAGGTCCCTCAAGAACCAGGGAGATATTTGAGATGTTAAAGCCCCCGGCCAGGTAATTGTGGCATTCTGGAAGCCAATAGTGTCGGATGGAGTTATATTTGGCATCTTTTCGGGAGTGCGAAAATATTCATCCAGGCGGCGTGTGCTGATCAAAGTGTCCAACGCATTCGAGAGTAAAGTCGGAAGCACACTCAACGATATTGTTATAGAACCCATGATTGAAGTAGCAGTGAAAGTGACGGAAGCCGTCAGCCCATTGTGCAGATTGGCATAGACGCCCAATGAAGCGACAGACAGCACGATTGGGGCAAGTATGTAGAAGGACATGATGCCAGAATTCGCAATAAAGATCCGTCGCTGACCTGACAGCTCTTCCTTTTTCACCAAGCTTATTTTATCTAACCATTTATCTTCCAGTGCAGAAAATTTGATTTGACGAATTGCGTGCAGCACCTCAGTGAGAATAGCCATCCTCTTGTCTCGTACCGTCATCAATTGTCTACCAGCCTGTGCATACCTGCGACCGCAGGAATGATCATCGGCATCAGAACGGCGATACATGCAAGACCTGCCGCTAAGCTTTGCCAGCCAAGGATTTTCATCAACATAACAGAAGCAATGATCAGCCTCAAGGGAGCAAGCACCAAATGAAAGGCGTAGGTGGCAAACCGACCGATTCGCTTGCCATCAACTGCAACCAAATTAATTGTACTCTTAGCGCTGCAGTCTTCGTCATCGCCGCTCTCGTCTTTGCTTTTATCGGAGCTCCTGGACCCAGTTAGGCGCATTGCCTTGTCAAAAACCATTATAGATATCTGCTCGATCATTCGGACAGAGATCTTATTGAATGCAATCCAGTTTACACACTGCTCAAAAGCAGAGGAGCAAACAATTGCCAGGCCTAATAAAACTCCCCATACTCCCAACTGCAGGGAACTATTCTTTTCAGGCGGATCGGATTCCAAGACTTGCAGGATATGCAACAACGCCATATGCGGCGCGAAAGAAAGCAGCGCCAGGGGCAAGCACAGCATCGCTGCCAAGGTGAGATATGTACGATTGGATTGCACTAGTATCTTCCACATCGGTACCGGCATTGTACAACCGCATGGCATTTTGGTCGTGACTGCGCCTTTGGCCTCCGCAAACGATTCTCGGAGACTCTGCGATCGCGTGCTGTAGTCTAACCCTGGAAGCTGAGTTGGATCGAGTTCCTTTTCCTGATGGGTAAGGTGGATAACATTACTGGCCCAGCTGAATGTAATACGGCTGAGAACCGAGGTAGAAAGTTCGCGGTCGACCATAATGTCGTTGTGGTGGACATCGGGGCGGCGAGGAAAGAGCAAGCAGAGAGCCGCCGTAGCGAGGTGACAGAAACATTCTGCACCGACCAGTCTTCGTTGGAGGTTTTCTAGATCGGAAGGGTGGGGTGCATAAATCTCGAATGCGAGAGAAACCAGCCCCAGTACACAACTAAGACTCAATCGCAAGGCCAGGGAGTAGCGCACAGTACAATGCGACTCCAGAAGTAAGGCGACACTTTCAATGAGCAAGAAGAGCTGGTCCTGTCAGCAAAGGCAAGTGAATTACGGGGGAAAAATGTTGCGGCTGCACTACTTACCAAAATGCTAAAGTGTAGCCATTCCTTCCCTGGCGAGACGATGACAGCCCGTGATAACGAAATGGCCGCTGCGCTGGTTGTCAAGAGGGTAATCATAACACGCTGTTTCCACCTAGTAGTGGCCTGCACATCTTCGAGTTTACTCTCGCCATGGTGGTCGCGATAGAAATATTTGGCGAATTGATCGGTGGTGCGAAATGCTTGACGGGCCCAATTTGTCAGACTTTGGAGCGCAAAGTTGGTCAAGCAAGTCGTCAGGACAAGAATGGTTACTCTGAACTCCAGAGCGTAGTCCTTAATGTCCCACATTTCTCCAGCTTGAGGGCACAGGCATGGGAATTGCCAGGTGATTTGGACAGAACCTCGGAAGGAGGCAATCGATCATCACAAGTCCTGAACACATAGCTAGACACGTGATTAAGATCTTCGAACTATTGAAATCCTTGGGGGTAAGCCCCAGGGCTGATTTGTGGGTCATAGTGCTTTTGTTTTTCACATTTGTCCATACCAAGGTTAATACCACCCATGTAATGAGATGCATCTTTACCGCCACTTGCTTTAATTTGGAGTGGGGCAGACATATCAGTTGTAGTGTCCTACACATTTGTATAGGCAAGAAGCCCGATTGATGTATCCTGTCGCTCACGAATTGTATGATGAGTGATGTTGGGATTGGTAATTACATGGTCGGTATTTACAATAGCCTACCCCTTTGCATCATTGAATGATGGAGTTGTATGTACTGTAAGAAAATGCCCACATTACTTCCAAGGCTTGCTACCTTGCTCCACAGGCTGAGAACCGATCGCTTTTCTTGGTCCACAGGCTGAGAACCGATCGCTTTCTTGCTCCACAAGCTGAAAACCGATCGTCGGGAATTCGCCAAGAGATTTTTCAGAGGCGACGATCTGTTTCTATCCTATACTAGTGATAGTACGAGAAAACAGTGATACATACTCCATACAAGACCTTGCATTGTATGTACCTCATTGTAAATTCCCACCAGGGAAAAATACTTCTCTGCCTTTCATATTAAATTGCATATACGGCCCAGACACACCTTCAGAGCGTCCTATATTGGAATATTTCAAAATATTACCTATTTACTTGTAGCTTCACTGTGGAGAAGTGACAATAAATCCTTTGGCACCCTGTATGTATATTTACCTATTTTATGTACTCTGTACATAGGTGTGATGAAGGCTGGCGGGGCCTTTTCCCTACTGGATTTGCTCCTGCAAATGCAGTGACGTTTGTTAAAGAAAGAGTTGATGTTTGATCAACACAGAGCGGGATGTTGACCCATGTATCTTGAAGAGCCAAAAATGTACATACAAACATAAATGATATTCAATCGCCACACGAGAAAAGAAGCCGATGCTGGTATTACCACAGAGGACTTATTAGTGAACTGAGATCGAGAGACAATACTGGAGATTCAAAGATTTTCTTTTTCTTTTTTTAGTATTTTGTATTAGTAGGATAGATACCCGAAAAATGAAAATAGCATCTAACCTTAGTGCCGCGGCGGAAAGAACAGTTGACATCATGATAACAAGTCGGTGGCACTTCCAAGGTTGTTTCGCCAAAAAAAGTCTCCAAACACTCTCTAACATTCCTTCAGATGATTACCCCGGCCCATTAGTATACGGGTGCTTGAAACGGATCATCTTTACCATAGATCCACTTAATGAAGATCATGGTCCTTGCAGATGCCGTTAGAGCTACCCTGCATTTTAACCGCGTCTGCCGCCCGCAAAGCTCCTTTGATGTGCTCGAGAAGCACCTCTGGGTCTTCGAGACCGATGGAAATCCGAATTAGGGTCTCATTCAACCCATGCCCCTTTGCCCAGTCTTTTTGTTTCTGCATAACCAATTGGACATAAGGTAGTGCGATGGTAATATCCGCACCAAAGGAAGGCCCTTTGCATACTGGGAAGTTGTCAAAGAATGCCGAGGCCTGTTTAGGGTTCTCAAAATCAACGCCGAATACGGAGCCAAATCCCGGCTCGAACTCGTCCGTGGCGGGGCGCATGAAGCGGCAATAGTACTCCCGGCTCCAGCAGACGCGGGGCGAGTAAATGGTAGTCAGAGCGCTGCTGGGATCGGCGATGTAGGGGTGAAGAAAGTCAATAAGATAGGCAGCAGTTCGGTTTTGCTGCGTAAAACGCTCGAGGTAATTGCGACTGTTTACCTCCAACTGGATGGCATCCTCAGCATAGAGATTGTTCACATGAGTTCCAGCAAAGATAGTACTGAGCTCCTGGTGATAGCGGAAATTGGGATTCAGAGTAACACTGTCAATTTTGGCGTATTAGTCTGCTGATTGTGTATTGGAAAGCGTAAGGAAGGATTCAGGGACTTACCACCCTCCAAGAACGTCAGCATAGCCACTGAAATTCTTTGTCAAGGATGTGACAATAATATCAGCGACATCTGTCACGTCGATATTGGCCGCGCTCCCAATCGTATCGTCGATAACAAAGAGAAAATCGTACTTGTCTGCCAGATCACGCACCCTGCGCATGTCCGGCGTTCGCAAGACAGGGTTATTGGGACACTCGCACCATACAGATTGAATCTTTCGGCCTTCCTTAGCTCGCTCAATTAAGAGCGCTTCCAGATTATCGATGTCTTTATCGAGACCGAAGCTATAAAGGTGATAGGGTAGGCCAATGGTCTCAATCATCTTGATAGACAGCTCATACGGAAAACCGAGCATAACAATGTCAGAGCTTCGCCATTTTAGGAGTGACTGGTTGACATGATAGAGCGCAGCCATGCCCGATGCGCTGAGATACACATCATCGGGGGTCGGCAGGGTGTCCTTCTTGGTATTAATTGGGGCGCGCGACATCAGGTCGGCTACCCGCTTGCGAAGTGTTTCATAGAGGGGCAAATCCTTGATAGATGATGACTCTTGTAGCGAGCCTGTGATAGGTGTCAATTTGAATTTGCTACCTCGGAGGCATTGCTTTGCCAGTCTCGAAGAGATCCCACGGCCATTCAACCGCCAGAACGTCATTTTCTGTGCTTCTGCACTACGCGGATGCGTAACAGCATAGAGCTGAGGAATACAGGAAAAGTCGGCTTCGGACTGAGAAGGGCCCTTGCTGATATTCACAGCAAAGAGCACTGTATCCTTCTCATCGACGGCACCGTCTAGGTTGAGTGTCTTATCCATAAGGAAAGATCGGCAGTCTGCTGCGCTGTCATAATCAGGAAACACAGCAATGCTTTCCACGGGTGTTGGGATATTCCGGAGACACAGGTCAAAAAACTTTTTTTTCCGCGTACATTAATATCGGGATCAAGTAGGGCTCTGGTGCAATAGGGGTATAGATGTATACCTCTTGAACGTATGTATGCAGAAAGGTTCTGGGGTAACCATTCTGTAGAGCCTTTGCGACTTCTAAATTTCCTGCTCCATAACCCGCCACATCAGCCCAGGCAGGGAAGTGGACAGATATAGCGTGCTCCTTCGATATAGGAACGGCATGACCGAGAGGCGGGGGTAGCTGGTATTTCATAGCGAAGTACTCTGGATAGGGAAATGGGTGGTAAAAGTTTTGGACCGATGCAACCTATGGAACAGATTCTAAAGAGAACTAGGCGTAAGTGAATGAAAAGAAAGATGTGACAAATGGTAATCAGGTCAAAAGGGACTACTCACTGGTCTCCTGAGCTCAGGGAAGAGATCTGTCGTATACCCAGGTCATTTTTATAGCGGGAACGGCTCTCCTTGCCAGCCACGTTTTGCTGGTTTTACAGAGTGCGGTAAATACGGAATCTTCGAGATCACCTTGAATAGTGCCTGCGACTAAAAATTTTCGAAGAGGGGGCATTCATGGATCTTCATGGACGTATCGCCATTATCCACATTTTCATTAGGCGAGATCCATAATTAACCTTTTGTTTGCGAGGTTCGTCAACCGACGACAGGACACGGCGCAGCTGAGCGTCTCTCTGTGTGGACCCTACTCCGTACAAGTCGTCCCAATTAATCGAACGATGGGGCGATCGAAGAAATGATAATGCACCTGCCTAGGTGGGCATACGTACTTTGGGAAAGGGAAAAGTATCTCAACAATTTGTATTAGGCGAGATGTATCACTATGGTCCACATTTCATTACGGAGTAATCAAGATAAAATACATACATGGTACTGTAGAACTTACAGTACATATAGCGAAAACCTGGACATAACGAATTGGAGACGTTTAAAAATTAGTTCGTTACTTAAAGGTTCTACAGTACGGAATATACTTAATTAATTGCGTAAGAATCATCAAAATCTTGGTACATACAAGGCTGCCTACGATTAACTCTCGGGACAGCCTTAACTTTTAGTTAGCCTAAACTTTCGGGACGGCCTTACTCTTCAGCCCTGAAGAGCGGCCCCGTGCTAGTCCCGCAAAAAGTGGGACCGGACGTGGAAACAATGCAATCCACCTACTAGTCGTATGCAATGTACCTAGCACGTAATGCAAATCTCATTTAGCCCCTTAGCATACATCAGCCAATACTCGGATCACTTTCATAGCGAAAGCGGTCTGGTCGGCGGGGTCACGGCGGTCAGAAGTAACATTGTTCGTCAATACGTTGCCTGTAAGTTGATAAAAAAAATTGAAAAATCTTGAGGGAGTTCACCGTCCTCCCACTACTACTATTTTATATTTCTCTTTTGAGTGAAGGATTATATTCTAGCTCCAAAACCAAGCCAAAATTGGCCGCATTTAACAAGAATGACGGAATACGATATTGCCACTGCTTCGAACCACCTCCTATACACTGGCATCACTATATCGCCGGTGAAAGTTGTCAAAGCTCTGGGTACCTATATTTTTGACAATGATGGACGTCGAATTCTCGACTTCACCTCGGGCCAACGGAGCTCCCTACTCGGTCATTCTCATCCCGAAATTGTGGAAGTGATAAAAAGCCAGATTGAGACGGTTGATCACTTACACAGCACCATGATCACAAAGCCTGTGGCGGACCTCGTCATAAGATTGGCTCGCTTACTACCCCCGCCTCTTGAGAAAACACTTTTATTGAATACGGGATCGGAGAGCGTGGAAGCGGCGATCAGGCTGGCTAAGGCCTACACTGGAAAATTTGAGGTGATTGCTTTGACTGCGAGCTATCATGGTCAGACAAGCGGTGCCAGTTCCGCCACTTTCTCCAAGTATCGGAACACCGGGCTTCCATGCATGCCTGGCCAGCTGGCTTTCCCTGCACCATATGCATACGGATCGCCATTCCAGCGGAATGGGACTTATTGTTGGGAAACTGAATTTGACTATGGATGGTCCCTGATCGATCGCCAGACCGTCGGTTCACTGGCAGCCTTTATTATCGAGCCGATCCTTTCTGGCGGCGGGATTTTAGAGCTGCCTGAGCGGTTATTTGAGGCGACTGAGTGCCGAGTGCAAAAAGCGGGGGATAGTGCTGATTGTCGACGAGGCACAGACGGGTGTTGGACGGGCAGGCAAGATGTTCGCCTTTCAAGAGGAGGAGGGATTTGTGCCGGATATCCTTCTGTTGTCCAAGACACTAGGCTGTGGGGTTCCCCTTGCGGCTCTCGTCACAAGTGTCGAAATTGAGAAAGGCAGTCGACAGTCGGTATTCTACTGGAACACAACGCATCAGAATGACCCCTTGACTGCAGCCGTTGGGAATAAAACGCTTGAGATTGTCGAACGTGATGGGCTCTGTCAAAATTCAGCCGAGCGGGGTGCCCAGCTAGCCCAAGGTTTACTCCGACTTCAGGAGAAGTATGGGGATTGGGTTGGAGATACCCGTGGCCGAGGACTTCTACAGGGGTTGGAATTGGTGTCAAAGCCAGGGGCTGGGATGACTGCGAAGGATTTGGGGGCTGCAGTAGTTGAGAAAGCCTTGGCCAATGGACTGTCTTGTAGTGTTGTTCCGTCTCCCGCACAGGGATCTGTTATTCGCCTGGTCCCACCGATCACTATTTCGAGCGAGGAGATTGACGAGGCTCTTCGGATCCTAGACGATACTCTCGCAGCTGTACTAGTTCAGTAATTTTACATACCTGGTATCCGCCCTCAATCCATTCTATAAATGATTATTCCCACTCCCGGCGGACAAGCCCATGGTAAAAAATTAGCTATTTATGTACTGGGTCTAACCATAATCACTTAGGTAGTGACTAGGTATGAGATAGTTGAGAAGCCTGATATTTTGATTGTTATATTGACAGGCTTTGCTTCTCAGGGACCTATCATACAACAGTTAGAACTACTTGTAGATCTTCAAGATATCTTGGAGTTTTTCTAGGCCGTGACTTGCATATTAATGGCAGCGATAGCACCCCATTTCTCTTCTGGACAACTTTGTCGAACCTTATTATCGAGAGGCTAATATGCTACCAGTGTGGAAGAAAAAACCCCGAAAATATGATGCGATGAAGCTACAAAGGTGGAAGCTACCTACTAAATTAGAGAGCGGGCTTCTGACTGACGGAGGCCAGAGGCCTACACACGGCCAAAAGTTTCACCTCTCATTCTCATGTGCGAAGAACAAAATTCGGCACATCTATCACATGGCTCTGTTCAGTGTCAGCCGCATGCTAATTTCACTTGGGTTATTCTCGTCTGCAGAGATCACCAAAGACTTACCTCAATATAACGCCCAATCAATCGCATCCCCATGAAACCCGGGATGGGCATTGTTTTTTCGGTAAAAAACTCATACAAGGCTTTTCCATTGGGGTCCCCAGAAGGATCCAGTACCTTTTCCAGCTCTTCCCGAACAATCGACCAGGCTCCATGTGATTCCAGACCCAACATGTGCAAGACAGGGCCCAGATGATCCTGGATGAGGGAATGATGCACTTTATCCCAAGGGGAACGGATGTCATCGGAAACATTGCTGGAATTCTTGGGGAGCTCACTCAGATCATACCCAGAGCGGACGAAAGTAGGGTAATGGATTCTAGTTCCTTCTAAATCCCGGGCAGCGAACCCTGTAACCTCTTTTGTTGTGATATTGACACGGACGACAACGTTTTGAAGGTGGTTTTCGAACCCGATTCCGTATCGAACTAAGGGAGGTATGAAAGCGGCGAGCAATAGCGCAGTGTACCTATTTTGGAGGATTAGTCATGTTTGTTGGGCCATAAAGCCAAGCAAGCAAATTTAGGCCAGGAAATCTTGGGAGAACTTACCTTTTAAACCAATCGTGCTTCTTCTTCAAGTCATCAAGGCCAAATAAAATCTCCATGTATGTTTTATCCTCCTTGAAAGGTTTCTGGATGAGCCCAGCACCGGGGATAAGTACCTCATCGGGGCATTCGGCCTGCTGCTCTGGGAGCTTTCGAATGACACATGATATTTGAGCCGCTTTTAGCAATTCATCTTGCGCACCCGTGACAGATCCAGGCTCTCCGAAAATCCATAGATCTTGTGGAATCAAGTTTGGTAGCATTTTGCCAAACAGAGGACCAAGAACCGTAGCCGCGGGCTTAACAATCCTCAAACCAGAGGTGATCTGAACGTTTAGTGACAGCTTGACATGATGCGGAAAGCCAATTTCAGGCAAGAATGATACAGTGCGCATTGATATCTGTGCACGGCAGCAGTCTGGGACACTTTTGATAAGACGCGCTTGAGGGAATGAGGGCATGATAGCTGGCAGCTGGCGAGTGAAGCACGGCACGATGATATGATCAGGCTCTTCGAGCTCTGTAGGAACCCCGAGTGATTTCAGAAGCGGTTCCAGAAGCTGCTCGAAGGGCCCATTGACTCTTAATTCCGACCTTGGGACGGAGATAAACGATACTTCAGGCGATAGAAGTCCTGGAATGTCATCAGGCACGATGGGAACCAATGGGGATTGAGCAAAGCATGTTTTGTGGAGCTAAGCGTTGTTAATTCCAGTGTCACGCGCAAAGAGAAAATCGAGGAATAATACCGGATGTGTAGGATGCCCAGTCACGACCGACTGCTCCCAATCGGCGAATGGAGACGTCAGAGAGAGTCTAGGTTGAGTAGCGGCAATTTCCAGCCATTTCACTACCGCGATTCAGTCATGATCGATATTGTAGAAACTGCAGAACTTACACTGATTGTCGGTAGCACTTTGCACTTCTTTTATCAGCAGGTCTCCATAGCCCTTTTGAGCCGATTCAGGTTGCCAACTGCAAATGATGCGGCACAGCGGTATCGGGTCAAGCTCCTCAGTTGCCTCGCCCGTTGCGCTCCCGACTAGCACGGGGATGAGCAGGTCTTCGGCCCGCACAAATCCAATAGGCCTGAGGCCGTCCATTTCAATATAGGCGCCAGCACGGATACCGCACTTGATCCAAATTCCATCCTGGGTATTAGGTGCACGCAACAACAAAGTGGGGTTTGCAGATGTCTCGATAGTTCCGCTGGCCAGACGCTCGTTTACTGCAGCGGCAAGCACCCGCTTTGTTGTCTCGAAGTGCGCTAGTCGCCTCATGGACGATATGGAGGTTCCAAGAGCTGTTGCTGTGCTGAGCGTTTCCAAATATTGTGCCGCTTTAAGGTCGTGTGTAATTGATGCTGGCAATGTGTTTTCTCCGGCCGAAGGCAGGTGTTCTCCAAGGATAACCGACATTTTCGTGTGATGTCCGGCAAACTATACATTAAACAAGAAAGTGTCAGTCAGTATACGAGCAATAATGGCCTCACAGAAAGGGATATTAACAATTCCAGACCTCTTGATATCCGAAGGTGTCAGTGACTCGTAAGCGTGGCTCTGAGGTTTGATCGCATATTTTCCCTTTGGCAAATGCCACATCACTTATTAAGAGACCACAAAACTTACCGACACGAATCCTTTCGTTCGCCCCACCTTGAGTTTTGTCAGTCGTTCCAAGGTTAGTTCAAAGTCCTAGGTAATTTTTCCAAGTCCTTTCCCGGTGAATGAATGCCAAAGTTTCCGAAAGCAGGTTTCAACTCCCGATCACAGCCCTGGAGAGAAACGTCCATTCAGGGATTAGCGTTATGTCAATCGTATATAGTTTTGCCGATCGAAGATGTATCCAAAATTGCAAAAAGCAATGAGCGGGACCTCGGGAACGTACCCACTTTCCATCTCATCCGGAATGCATGGGGCGATCGGTTGGCGTTCGAAGGATGATTATCGGTGTACGATAGATGAGAGATCAGCGGTGCGAAAAAGTTACGTGGAATGCCCAGGTGCCTTGCAGCGCCTTTCGCGTGGGGTTGTGGACCCGCGGGATCGTGGAACCGTGGGGCAGCTGAGCTGTGGATTGTTTGCGTCCCACTTTATAGAATTCATAGAATTCTGCCGGTTTTTCAGCCAAAACTTCCACTTGTTACTAGTAATAACTAGTGCAAGATGTATGTACAGTACAGTAGGAAGAAAGCTAGGCTCTGATTGGAGGTATTTTTCCAATTGAATACCTGGGCAAAAGGCAGAATGTGTCACTTTTCTTACTCCGTACAAGGCGTGTGAACGCTTTCTTCGAAATATTGTATACCTCCATTCGGATGTAAACGTATTATCTCCTTGAAGTTCGAAATTTACATACTAAATAATAATACCTGTCTGTTTCTATTTGTTTCCCTTATAACTACGTAGGAGTACGAGTATTTTTCTGCCCAGAAGTGGATATCACTAACTAGTACCTACTAGTAAAATGGATGGTCCTTCTACAGAAATGACACCCGAGCTCCATTTACAGCACAACCCGAAGAATGGTGGTGTGGGCAATTACATAGGTAACTGATCAAAGAGCGAGGCACAGAGAGTGGAGCTGGAAGATATCTGGAAAATACAGTATGCAGGTTTGATCTTCACGAGTACGCATAGGGCGGCAGATACCCGCAGTTCAGCCCTGAACCATATGAGAGAGGGCGCGCGCGAACTGTGGAGATGCACTCAACATGGAGAGCCTGAGGTATCCAATCAGTAATTTTTGCCCTCTGGCCGCTATGAAATTTACCCCTCCGCTTCGCGTCCTAAGCTCGGAACTTTCACCATTATCACACGAAAGCTACGAGTATCTATCTCATCCAGTCTTAAAAAGATGCCTCAAGCTTATACGAACAATCATTCTCCCTCAGTCCTCCAGACATACACTTGGCGAGATGCCAATAATTCAGCGGCTTATCTTCTTCCACATTTGCGGCCACACATGAGCATCCTCGATGTTGGCTGCGGTCCAGGCTCTATCACAATCGACCTGGCACGAAAGGTTCCACAGGGGCATGTGGTGGGCGTGGAATATGTGTCCGATCCAATTGATGGAGCACGGTCGCTTGCTAGCTCCCAAGGAGTGACCAATGTCAAGTTTGAAGTCGGTGACATACACGATCTACCATTTCCTGAAAACACCTTTGATGTTGTCCATGCACACCAGGTTTTGCAACATATTGCAGATCCAGTCCAAGCATTCAAGGAGATGCGACGTGTTGTAAAACAAGGAGGCATCGTGGCAGTGCAGGAGACTATTGACTCAACAAGATACCCTGAGTCAGAGGGCCTGAAAGCCTGGAGTGATCTCCAGGACGATATGCGACAGACTAAGGGCAATCGTCTGAAGGCAGGTACTCAGCTACATGTTTGGGCAAGGAAGGCTGGCTTTCCCGTAGAGAATATGAAAAAGAGTACTGGGTCATGGTGTTTCAGCACCCCCGATGAACGAGAATACTGGGGCGGCGCAATGGAAGAAAGAGTCCGCTCCTCTGGCCTTGCAGCAACCGCGATCCGTGAAGGACTTGTCAGCGAAAAGGACTTGCAGCAGATGGCAGCAGCGTGGAGGACCTGGGTGGAGGATGAGGATGGGTGGCTTGGATTTTTACACGGGCAGATTCTCTGCTGGAAGTGATATATTATCTCATGCGCTTTCGCGACCCAGTCTTTGGGGGGCTCCTTGCCTTGGGGGCCCATGATAATATTGAATCTTGAATTAGATTGGCGATCCTCAAAAGGATCCATAATAAAAACCACAAAATTTAATCGGGAGTTAGCTGATGATCAAAACCTTACAAAAGACCGCCAAGTCGATACATCGTTTTGCAACTGCGTACCTAGATCTTTCTTATAAAAATAACAATTATCGGTCTATTAGCTGGTTCGTGTAAAAGTCGAAGCCTTGAGCTGCGATAAAGTTACTGAAGCCATGCAGCCTCAGCCTTGCGGCTCTAGGCAGGTCACACTTCATGCATGCAACATGCACAGCTAAAGTTCCCCTGTCGGCAATGCGTAACCGGCTTCGTTATCACTGCGCCTATTAGTCGCTTGCGACGTCGTCTACGCGTCGCCGTCGCCGTCGCCGTTTGTTCAGAGAATACTAGATATCGCGTGAGGCTATTCGCACTTTCTAGTCTAGTATCATCTCATCTTTTCACTTCGATAATTCTTTTTCAGCAAAACTACTAAGATACAGATTAGGCGCGGGTATTTCTAGACCGAGTGCAGGTAATTTTTGAATTAGAAGTCTTCCGTGTGTAATATCTGCTAAGCATAGTGAATCAAAACATCGTTTCATTGGTAGAATCTGATGCAAGAGTTAGTATAAACCACTGCATGCCAGGTAGATCTATATAGAAACGGCTACTCATTTTTTTTTTTTTTGCTGAGCTTTGACTTTTTTGTAAGCTATTCTACATAGAGACAGATGGCTAAATGTCCTTCACTGTAAGCTCTGGAGGTAGTACTAGTTAACAGGAATAAAGAATTTCCTGCCTCTGGCTAGCTTAATTTATACCTCTTTGAATGATTGTGTCTTAGATGAACCACTCACGATGACGTAGTAGCGTAGCAAGCCCCCAGTCACGGGGTGTTTAAATATCGGATCTTCCCATCTCTAGCCACTTTTGTTCTTTCTCTCGACAATCCTGTTCTTTTAAATATATGGACAATGATGAAATAAGTTCAAGTGAATACCATAGTGTACCACCCTACCATCTGGTCTCGGGTGGAACATTTGGATATACCGACTGAACTCGTGTACCTACGTGAACTGACTGAGTCCACTTCGGTACCAGATTCATTGCACACCACTAATGTCTTATAACCCCCCCCCTTCAGAGAATATCGGGAGCCTCTAGCTCCAAATATTGAGATCTTGTGGCAAGAGAAGGTTGTTGACCCCTTTATACAAAGTACCAGTACATAACAGCGCTATGTGACAGTAAAGTGAAATAAATTTATATGTGATAACCGAAGTAGCATATCGAAATTCATAGCTAGTCTTTATTTTGCGCAAAAACTTAATCAAGCCTACATGGATCCCGGCGAAACCCATAGTGGAAGGATTTGAAGTCCATCCCACAAGAAAAATGAAAATACGGGGGATCAATACTAGTTTCATATTGTCGGACTACTTAAGCTGACCCTGACTGCAGCTCCTCGATTTGGGTGCTGATTCAGGTCAGATATACTGATTAGTTGCATTGGTATTCGGCCCGTCCGGGGCCCTGCAGATGTACGAGACAATGGTTCACCTTCCTTCAAACCATTTTACATAACTAATAAAGAGCGATCCATACTAGGTAGTCATGATAACAGCAAAATAAATTATAGCTCAATCCTGCATTGGGAGCTTTCCTTTCTATTTTCTGACACTGATCCCATTTCGTCGTTACGAGATGAATTCAAGGGCAAAAGAAAAGAAAAGAAAACAAAAGAAGCAAGAGTGATCGGAGAATTGGAGGGATTTCGGATTTTATCGAGAGGGAAGGGTAGCAGAATGAAAATCCTTGTTGAACAAGAGATTATGGCAACGGATTAAGAGAGCGTAGCTGAGAATTAGCACAGCGGGGAAGATATTGCCGCATCGGATATATCGGCGTTTACCCCGTGACACATTTATTGGCCAGTATAGTAAATACCGTGAGGAAAGCCTTTGCAGATAGACGGAAACTAAATTGAAATAGAATCTCACTTATTGAGCCCACGATTGTACAGCATCTATTTCGAAAGGGTGGGCTGTAGGTTCCTATTTATCTTCCCATATTCCCCTTAGTGTTTTTAACCTCCTGAAACTTTCTGCGCTTGTTATTGTTATAACTAATAGGATACTGTAGCGACCCTTCTATTCTGCATCCTTCCAAGGCACCAGTCGCTGTAAGCAGCGAATTCGCTCTGCAGCCCTTTCTTATATTCCGGCTATCTTCTCTTCACCCTTCCTAATAAAAATACTTAGGATTGTATATCCTGAACTTTCAAGATATTCGCATACCCATGCCGATCTTGATTTCCTGTGAAACGATAAAATAAAGCTTAGCAGCGAACAGAATTGTCTTGACGGTCCTATTTTATGCCATTAACGGGATGGACCACGGCTAGTCATTACTACGTAAGTCAGCAAGCATCCTATTCTATACTCGTCCTTCACCAGATCGCGCCCGCTCCGAAACAAAGAACCCTAACCAACCATCCATCTGCAATAGCAAACCTAAACCCCGTCCACCCCGTTGAACATCCCGAAAGATATCGCAGATCATAGGCGTCTCGTGTGTCCCAGATTCTACCTGTGCATGGTACCGACGATAAAACTCCCTGCTTCCCGGTGCATCCCACAAGTATCCGCCGTCCGGGAGGGGGAACTCTAGGTCTGAGATGCTCAACATGCCAGTTTTATACAGGAGGTTCAGTTTGAAAAGAGCTAGCGCGAGTCGCTGGGCCTCTTCTACCCATGTCCAGGCGAACAAGAGGGATTCGCTTGACGTTAGTTGCGCGCGTATGCCGTCGTAGGAGAACAGTCCGCCGGCGATGCAGGTCGTTGTTAGTGCGCGGAGCATCGCCGAGCAACGGTCAAGGAGGTCTGGAGGGGCCTCTCTCACCAGTGCGAATATGGCGTTCAAAAGGACGGCTTGGAATGTCATCATTGGGCATAATTTATCCTTGAAGGATTTCTGTGACTTCCAGTCTCCCTGCTTATGTGTGAGCATCATTACGGAGGCCGACAGATCGAAGAAGATCCAGGGAGCTTACCTTGCGACTCTCTAACAATGCTACTAATTTGTCGTGCATATTCTCCGCTCTTGACTGCGCAGCCTTGTCTTCCGTAACCCATAGCCCAATCATAGCAATGCTCAAGACCAGAATATGTGGTTGCGAGTCCTTACTTCGCAGGAAGGAGGACTTGTGAATGATCGGCCATTGGAAATGGAAACTCGCAAAGTAAATCTCGACGTAGTAGTCGATGTCCAGCTGCCCTTGATCTCCACCATTTCTCTCTGTTCGAGCAAGCATGAAGTCTTCACGGAGATAGTTCTCGTGTTGCAGAAGCAGGGTTCGGATTTCCTCGCTGGCATCAGGGATAAGCGGTCTTTTAGAACTTTCGTGCTCCTGGTAGTCGACGGATGTATGTGAGGTTTGAACTTCGGGCTCGCTTATTAGCATCGACGCAGCAGCATCAGCTACCAGCGCTATATTCGGCCGTCTGTTGAAAGTACACCGTAACCCCCGCCGGAAACAGACATTACAAGGCTCCTCCCCGTGACAGCGTGTTTTGCTAGCGCGACAGTAATCACAGGCCCTCGCAGCCCGAGGCGTACTTTGCTGCTTATCCCTGAGATGTAACTGACGGTGTCGACGGAGCGTGTCCGACCGGTCGAACGGTTTACCACAGTCTTCACACGATAGTTGTGTAGACGGATAGTGTTTTCGCGCGTGGCGGTTCAAGTGCTCTTTCCGCCGATACTGTGCCGTGCATCCAGGATAGTCACACGCAATCATAGTGTCCAAGGCATCGAGGTATGTTGTAATCTCAAACTGCGAGAGAGATGGTCCGGTGGATGAGCCGAGTGGGATGGAGGCCACCATCTCGTCATCTGCCCGATTGTCCAATGAAACAACTAGTTAGGTTATTCCTGCCTCGATGACTAATCGGGAACTCAGCGAGCCGGGTGGGATATCTCTAGCCGAGTGGGATATCTCTAGCCGGTGGGATGTTCTGTCATCACCCAATATTCTGGGTATGTCAGCGATGGTAGAATTAGCGAGGTCTATAGAGCTAGATTTGGAAGCAGGAAGGTATATAAAGGGCGTCTCGACCACCCTGTAGAATCACTCTTCACACCATTGAGACTCTAACATCAATCAACACACTGCATTATATACTTCGCTTTACTTCACCATGGCCCTCCGGAACATCGTACTTGCAGGTGTACGTATCCCCTTCTATAATCATCATATATTTCTATATTTATTAACAAAACCAGGTAAGCGGCAACCTTGGCCCCGCCATCCTCACTGCCATCTCCTCCTCGCCATCCTTCGCAGTGACCGTCTTCACCCGATCAGGCTCCTCGCCCACGGTGCCCTCCGGCGTCAAAACAGTCGAAGTGAACTACGACTCTATTGACGACCTGACAGCCAAGCTGTGGGGCCAAGACGCAATCGTCTCAACCATCCCTCCCACCGCAGCCGCTGCGCAAACGAATCTCATCCACGCAGCCGTCGCTGCGGGGGTTCCACGCTTCCTCCCCTCTGACTTCGGGGGGAGATTTGGACAACCCGATCAACCGGGCGGCGCCAACCTTTGCTGCTAAGGTTGAAGCACAGGAGCTACTAAACTCCCTAGCTACGGAAGGGAAAATTACCTACACGGTTGTCTATACCGGATGGTTCCTGGACTGGGGATTCCGGGTTGGGTTTCCGGTTGACCCGCGTAACAAGACGGCTACGTTGCATGATGGTGGAGAGAGGCTGTATACCACTACCACCCTAGGCGGTGTTGGGAAGGTTGTTGTGGGCGTCCTGAATCATCCCGAGGAAACGAAGAATCGGGTCGTGAGGGTTGGAGAGGCCGTCACGACAATCAAGGAGCTGCTGGCCCTGTCGCAGGAGCTTGTGGGAGGTGAGGGGTGGACGATTACTAAACCTGATACGGCGGAGGAGGCTGAGAAGGCGGTTGTGAAGATTAAGCAGGGGGTGTTTACGCTTGATACGTTGATGCCGTTTGTTTATAGGGCTGCTTGGGGGAAGGACACTGGGGGTCATTTTACCACCACGGATAATGAGTTGCTTGGGCTTGAGGTGCTCGACAAGGCGGGTCTGAAGAAGCTTATTCAGGATATTGTTGGTGGGAAATAAGTTTTTGGGTTACATGAAGACCAAATTCCAGGTAGAATCAATGAAGGACTTGATTTATAGTATCGACCAAGCTGTATCATGTGTACCCAGTGCGGAGTTTACTGTTTATGCGCCTCCTTCACAACGCGGATGATATCATCAGGTCCCAACCTCTGCGCGTTGATCTGCTGGTACAAGCCACCGTAGTCCTCCTTGACAATACCCATCATGCGATATCTCGGGGTGAGCTTGCGATCAAGGAGGTGACTACTAAGACGCTGGCCATGGCTAGTCTTCTGCGCTAGGATTAGCCAATGATATACGTAGCGACGTGTGGCGTAAGGTGTGATGATTGGACGAGTATGCATACAAAAATATATCCATAACGTCAAAATGAATTAAACAGAGTGAAAAGGAGAGAGTTAGTTAAACAAGCATTCTTACGTAAGTCAGCCTGAAGAAACGTAGACCACAAGCTGGAATCCGATCGTAGGCAGTTTAACAGTTTTCGTGATATATGAGTCCGTTATGAAAGTGGATCTATCTTCGAAAATTTACGACTTCTCCCGAGGTCTTTAGTGGACGACCCTAGAGGATTGTGTCAGCCGACGACCGGTCTTCTACGTGAGTCAGGTTGTCAGCAGTTGTATCCTTAAGGAAGACTTCGTCGCAGAGTTCAGGTTCTATTGGAAGGTCCGAGTCAGTATATGGATAGGTCTGGTGGCTATCGTCTCGTGGTTGGGAATCAGAGCTGGTGGTCAGTATTCGAGGTCTCTTTATTGGAGTTATTGGGTTAGTATGACTGTTCTATCTATCTGCTTGCTTCTGCTTTCCTGCTGACGAGGTAGGTGTTACCGGAGCTGCCACAATGGAGCCAATATTTGGAATAAAATAAACGTTATCTATGCCAATTTTAAGCCAAGGTGTGTTAGTAGTGATACTGAAAATCTGCCTGACGATAAATATACGGGACTGCCTAGTAAGAACTTATCTATCTGATAGACCTTAGAGCCGGGTATAAGTTTTCCGTATGAGGAAAAGATATATCTCTTGATAGCTTCAGAAATAATATCCCCGTATCTAGCTATGGACGCTCGTATATGTGAGCTGGATATCTCTGGGGAAATGCGTCAGAAGCCACGGCCCGAGTCTCTAGCTCGTCGTGCAGGAAATCTAGCGTTTGATTCAAACTGTCCTGGAACGTCCGGAAGTCTAGCTTTCTTTGTTTTTTGACCGCCGGGCGCAATAAGGTCGAATACCGTCTTTTCTCTATAGCGGGTAGGGATGGCTGTAAGAGGAGCGACTGTTGTAAGGTAGGCATTGGTATAGGAGGAAAAGGGCCTATATGACGGTCAGAGTTTAGAAGATCAAATGATCGTGGAAGACGGGAGAGTTAACTTTCAAGTACGGGTTCTCCAGTATTGCGAGGACGCTGAAAGGAATTAACGAAGGGGTCAAATGTAGTTGTACATAAGCGGCCATAATCAATTGGCGCTTGTATAATAGTTGATCTTCTGGATCGACAATCGAAACACCGAATCACGCGAGATGGAGCCGGAAAATGGGTTCCACAGTCATAACAAGGACGACTAACGAAGAGAGGTCGAGGAGGTGGCTGGGTTCGACAATGGCCGCAGTGAAGATCGTGCGAATTTGCAGGAATCGGAACGCTGCAGCCTAAGCAGGGACGTGATTGGAATAGAGGCGGCAAAGATGCTAATCGACAGAAGTAAGATACCATCAACTTTTTATTAGTTTGATAGTTTAAAGTTAGGAAAGAAAGAGGGCAGGGGGGTAGAGGATATAGATCTAATAAACCCTGTAATAAAGACACTTATTAGTATTACGATAGTTACTTAACTCTACGACAGCACCCACTCTTAAACCTAAGCTAGCGAGGATTATAAGGGTGCTACTAGGCTAAACCTAAGCCTGCTTATATCTGTAGTTATATAGGTAAAACTACGTAATATAGTATATACCTTTCTCTTGTCTAGCTTCTTTTATATTTCTTCTAGGGAAATCTTTGGTTGAGGATCTAGCCAAAAAAAAATTCAGAAATAGCAGACTAGGCTTACGCCCTCAGGCTCTTCTTTTATACTATTGTAGATAAGGAGAACGCAACACATTGCAGTGGGTGTTTTTACCCCTCTTACCCTATTCTTATCCGCTCTCACCCCGTTCTCATCTCTCTTATCCTAGTCTCCAAAATTCTTACCTATATCACCTATACTCACCCTAACTCAGAAACGGACGCTATTTTAAGATCTAGGGCTCTTTGGCTATTGACTGCATTTAGTATGTGGCTTAAGTACGGCTGAGCGGACGGGAAGCCCTGTTCTCCACACCCTATGGTCGTATGTACTAGACACAGCTGGAAAGGGGGATATATGGTATGAGAACATGAACTTGAAGATTTGCTACAGGTCGCTCCAAGCTTCCCACGGCGCTGCTATAATTCCTCTCCAAAAGTACCCTTAGAAGGTATTTGGTCATTATAAAGTTCCTCCACCTGCGTAACATCTTCAACGAACGTAGCACCATACTCTCTCATAATCTTTATCTTCTCCTCCATACTCATCGCTAGACTCATTCTCCCAAAATCTTTTGGACGTTGCCACCCACTCTGATATCTCAGTACCCACACACCTACTCCATCCGTCGGCCAACCAAACACTATCACCTTCTCTTCTTCCTCCGTCATATGCCTCTCACCCAACATTGCATCTATCTCATCCTCCCTACTCGACCACCACTTCGCACCAGTCCTTCGCAAGAGATGACAGAATCTATCTTCTTCATCGACATCACAAGTACGCTGCAACTCATGAGAGCGAGGGAGTGAGAGAAAAAGCATGTCGAGAAGATCAGCCTCTTTGATAAGAACACCGCCAGTGGAGGGGTAGCCGTAGATTGTGCATCCTCTCCGGCCGAATTCGGTCCGTTTAGTCCTCGGCAAAGGAGGAGATACGTGGCACGAGGGTCGCTGTAAGTTGGGATCGTCCACTACCGGTCGATGATAGAAAACATTGTGGTCAGCGTTGATGGGAAGAAAGTGGCCGATTAACCGATAGTTATAGATCATGGCGGCGATGGAGACAAGTGCGAAGAGGGTAAAGAGGGCAAGGCCGATCTTGCGTATGACGTGAGTAGACATCGAAAATTGAATTTGAAGCTCATGAGCGCGCTCTCGGGATCTTGTAGATGACAGTACTGGTGTATGTAGGAAGTGGGAGATGCTGCCTTCGGCTGTTGGGACAGGAATTTTGACATATAAGTATTGGTGTCCTTGGCGTTACTGTAGCTCTATCCAATCGGAGTTATGAACATCGTCGCTAACTAGAGCAGGGTCCAAGAGGCTCTAGTCGTGGGGCTAGTCGAATTGGGAGGAGCCTACGATCAGCTAGCATGGATGAGGAATGGTAGAGATTGCGATTTGGGGCGAAGAGTTGCTGATTGGATGGAAATAGGCGGAACATAGGAATTCGCTTCGGATAGGAATTGAGTCTACCTAGAGGGAAGTAGAAAGATTACATAGAAAGGACAAGAGTTTATGTACTAATCAAGTGAGCCCCACTTGGTGCACATAGCTGAGGGCAACCGACCCTGACTTTATACATCCATCCATCCCCCTGTTGCCTATTCATGGATTCAACACATGCTACCTAACACTCGAGGAAATAATCGTCGTTGATTCATTTAATGACGCAACACTCCGAGGAAGCAGGGAAACCGAACCTCCCAGGCTCTCGCCGCTCCATCCTCAGCATGTTATCAAATGGTATAGCGAAATGCCTTATCCTCGACATCGGTACGATCCGAGTCCACAGAAACCCCCATCTGACTACCGCGACCATTCCCCTCAACCCTATACTCAAACAGACCCTGATCCGCCTTGCGATCACGAGCCTTATTCTTAGCCTTGACGATAAATACATAGATCACAAAGACCAGAATCAAGCTAACCATCGCTGCAATACTCAAAATACACCCCTTCGTATAACGAGGTGCATCATCCTGAGTCCAGGCCTGAGGACTAACGATGCACCCAACACAGTACGCGATAAAGAAAGCCGCCGAAACAATGCTCTTCTTCGTGTTTCCCTTCACGTTACTTGCGATAATACTCGCTGCACTGCTTATCAAGGCAGAGCTACAGCCGCCAAGCCAGGTCGCTATCACAATTCCCCATTCCGCACCTTCTGCTGGTAGGGTCATGAGTAATAATGCTCCTAAAAGGGGTACAAAGCAAAGCCCTATGGCCGTGTATGCTCGAGTTCCTGGGAAGAAACGAGGGACAAGGGCGCTGATCCAGGTTGTGGTGAAGTTGAAAGCGCCGGCAGGGGTTCCGATGAGCATTGTCTTGAAGGTAGAGTATCCGAATCCGTGTATGACAGTGGAACTGAACTAAGTGGATTCGAGACAGATAAGATATGTTAGCCACTGGTAATCAAAATCAAGACAAGACAAGAGGAGATATATCTTGGAAGAAACTTTAATATACCTTCATTATTGGGGTCGTGAGGGTGATACAAACGCCCATCAAGCAATAAAGCCACATCATAGGCGACAGAAGGGCCTCTCTAACCTGGGATTTATTGAATTCTGCACGATCTTGGGTCGCACGATCGATAGCCATGCGCTGAGTTGCTATCTCGCGTTCACGGGGATTTAAAAACCAACAGCTTTTGGCATCTCGGGGCATCAGGAATATGAACAGGAGACCGGTGGCACAGGTTAAACCGCCACAAATCAAGAAAAGAGTGCGCCACGGGGCCAAAGGGAAATTTCCTTGTCCAATACCATACATGATGAGGGCACCTATGATCTGGGATATACCATTCATTGAAACCCACGTAGCGACTCGGATCGGGTGTTCGTCGCGTTTGTACCAGATACTCGTAATTATAATGAATGCCGGCGAGACAGTTCCTGGTCAAATATTAGATCTAGACCCCCTAGTACACCCTCCAAGACTGAGGGTAAGTAAGTATCTTACCTTTGGAGAATCCCAAGAAAAACCGTGCAGCTGCTAGGCCGGAGAAAGTCTGGACTGCGGCGAGACACATATTAACACCGCCCCAAAGGACGATGGTCACTCCAACATAGATAGTAATGGGAAGTCTAGAGAGCAGAATTGCAGCTGGGTACTCTGAGCAGAGCTGGCCTAGATAGAAGAGTGAAACAGCCCAGGAATACTCTTCGCCTGATAGTTTGAGGTCATCGCGGAGCCCGAATATAGCAGCTTGGTTGATAGCCTGCTTGTCAAGGTCTACATAGACGATTCGAAACAATTAGGCATGTCTGTCCATGAGCCCAAAATGTTGACTAACATTGGAAGAAATAGACCAATGCCATCAGAGGCATGATGGCGCAGTCAAGTTTTGTAACCACCCTTTTCTCTTCGACAGGGTCAATCACGTAGGATTGAACGTCGTCGACTCTCTCAAACTCCTGAAAGTCAGGGTTGACTTGATCCTCAATGGGTTTATTGAGCCTAGGCTCTGTATTGGACTGGAACATATTGCCTTCGAGAGTAAAAAGAGACAATGCGTATTTGATGTAGCGAACTCTGGGAGAATAGGAATGCAGAACCAGATTACCTTACAGCTGTACAACTAGAGAGAGGACTTAAATAGTATCCCCCCGCAGTTCGGAAAACGTTAATGAGAGCTACATTATCCGCCCCGTGGGGTACTATACGGGGCAAACCGGTAGATCAATGGCAACATTTTCTCCGAATTTCAACCGTTAACCGAGAGGTCCAATTGGAAAAATCCCTAATAGCTGATAAAGGCTGTGAGACCCGGTAACCCTGGGGGTGGGGGTCTATCATATCGGCAAAAAGGGGGAACTTGGTATCGGCGAAATAACACGATGCCGATATAATGCATATTCAGTACTTCGCTTCCAAGCAGACTGACTAGACTAGTGCATTATCCTGTTAGCGGGGTAGCCATTAGCGATTCGTGAAAGTTTCCGCATTAAAAGGTCGACTTTGCCCTTACCAGAAACCCAATATCCAGAAAAAGCGTCCCGATCTCACGCCACGACAGAGTCATGTTTATGATAAGACCATTCCATCGCAGCATATGGACTGCCCGATTCTTGTTGAAGCCAGGTCATTCTCAAGTTCGATTGTTCAGCTCATGCAATGCAAGAAAAAACAATCATTCCTTACCCAATGCTTCACCCCCCTTGCTCAATAAATCATACAAGGGTTTATCAAACCCTTCTGCATTTTTATTTTTGGCCTTTGCCGCCATATTAGGCTACGGTGCAGCAAATTTTGTCACTACTACCGATTCCAGAGCCATACTAGACAATGGTAGACTACCAGACGTCAAGTATGCAACAATGAGTGACATGGAAAAGGTAGGTAATCATATTGCTCCGAGCTAGTTCAAGTCTTGCATATGTGTCCCGGACCCATTCTGATCTTACCTACTTACTCACCTTTATCTATCTATCCATCTACCTATAGGGAATTGCCACCATCCGCCACCATCTAAAAGACCCAGACATAATATCCACCGACTCAGAAGACCTTCTAGCACATGGGTACTCAGAGTGGTCATCTGTGAATGTAGAAACATTACCCGTGGCCGTTGCCTACCCGAAAGACACGGAGCAAGTTCGCACTATTGCGCGGATCTGTCACAAATGGCGGATACCCATTATCCCCTTCAGTGGGGGGAGTAGCGTGGAGGGGCATGTCTCTGCGCCTTTTGGCGGAATTAGTCTTGACTTTACATTTATGGATAAGATTGTTCGGGTTGATGAGGATGATATGGATGTCGTTGTGCAGCCGGGTGTGTGTTGGTCGGATTTGAATCGGGAGTTGGAAAGGATGGGGAGTGGGCTTTTTTTCCCTATTGATCCTGGTGCGTTTTAAGATGGAGATTCTTGATGGAAATGAAAAAGGGAAAGAAGAAGAAGAAGAGGAGGAAGAAGAGGAAGAAGAAGAAAGTGCTAATATAACATCTCACAGCCCCAATCGCAAAAATAGGCGGAATGATCGGCACAAACTGCTCCGGAACAAACGCCGTCCGCTACGGCACAATGAAAGACTGGGTGATAAATCTAACGATCGTATTAGCGGACGGCACCCTCATAAAAACGCGTCGACGGCCCCGTAAATGCTCAGCCGGGTATAACTTGAACGGAATACTAGTTGGATCCGAAGGCACGCTTGGAATCGTGACCGAGGCAACACTCAAGCTCGCGGTCCGGCCGCAGCATTACTCTGTTGCCGTCGTGCCATTCAATGATCTGACTTGTGCTGTGTCTGCCGCTGCGGATGTCATTCGAAGTGGTGTGCCTGTAGCGGCATTGGAACTTATGGACGAGGCGCAGATGAGGATTGTTAATGATGGAGGGGTCACTCGACCGCGGGTATGGCAAGAAGTGCCGACTCTATTCGTTAAGTTCTCTGGTACGGTGGCGTCTGTTGAGGATAATATTGACAGTGTGAGGGAGATTGTGCGGGCGTATGAGCCGGGTGAGTTCGAGTTTGCTAAGGATGAGAAGGAGCGGGAACTGTTGTGGTCGGCGAGGAAGGAGTCTTTGTATTCGCTTTTGGCGATGAGGAAGGATGGTGAGATTATGTGTAAGCTGCCCTGACCTTTTAAGGCTGGCCTCCATGTTGGACTGTGCTAATGACAGCGGAATCAAGGGAATACCGACGTCGCCGTTCCCCTCAGTCATCTAGCAGAAATCGTACAAGCCAGCAAAGAAGACGCAAAGAGACTTGACCTAAACGCTTGCATAAAGGGCCACATTGGAGACAGCAATTTTCATGAGAATATCACCTACGACCCCTCAAATCCCCAAGAGGTTGAAAATGTCAAACTTGCCGTGAAGAACATGATATCTCGCGCCCTGGAAATGGATGGCACTTGTACCGGTGAACATGGAGTCGGGCTTGGGAAGAAAACTGCACTTCTTTCTGAGGTTGGAAATGATACAATTATGGTGATGGTGAGTGGCGATTTGTGCGAGACAAATCATGATCCTACCCTAGCCGGGGCAGTCTCGTGGCCTGGGCACTGGCAGTCCATTTCTGACGAGTTCTGTCTACTCTACCAGCGTCTAATCAAAGGGGCCCTCGATCCTAATTGGATAATGTAAGTTTGTCTGAACCTCGAATTTCAAGTTGATAATGAGCTGACAAGAATGGCGGGCTTATTAGGAACCCAGGGAAAGTGTTTGATCGCTAGGTCAATTCGGTGTTTGGCTTTACCTGTTGGGTAGAGACTTGTGATATCCTTATCATTCGCCAGGGGAGGATGAACGGTAGAGTAGACTGGAACGACCAGCCTACTACTATTCTCGTGCCGCTCTTGCTGCTGGTCTAACGTAGTCCATTGCAGTTGCACTCCCACTGTAGCTTACGAGTAAACAGAAAATAAACAAAAATTGTCTCCGAAGGATCCATTGCATAGGTATATACAGGCGAAGACACAGAAAGTAAAAGAAACAAAAAAATGAAACCAACCATCTTATTTACGCCGGAGGAGATTCCACAAACGAGGGAGAAATAGAATATGACAAGATGAATCAAAAGAAAATGAGAGCCAGCCAGCCAGCCAGATCGGGAGGGGCACAGCACAGCATACACTCCCCACTCCAAGCCAAGCAAAGCAAAGCACCGCAGTACCAATGAAGATGGCAAATAAATAGTAGGGAGTCAAAAAAGATGAAGAACAATGCTAGGTCATCACAGGGTCCATGTCCAAGGAGAAAAAGAATCCCGGACCAGAACAGAAGGGGTCATAACGATGCAGTAGCTGCCAAGAATGTATGTGAGGGACGAGGGGAAAAAATGATTTAACACTTTTGTTTTGTCTGTCATTGTTGCCTTGCTTTTACCTCGTCATATCCCAGTCCGGTTTCAGCGTGGCCATCAGATCATCCTTAGTGCCAACCATGTCAGGCGGGAGTCTGCTGACGCGGTAATTACCCATGCGCACATTGTTCTGATGGATATTGGAAATACCGGTGCGGTTACTGCGGATACTACCTGAGTCACTGGCGGGACCGCCCTCGTTCTTGAACCGCGGCGGCGGCGCAAAGTCCAGACTTGTGAAGGTGCCGGACTTGCGGAGCATGTGCGGGCTAGGAATGGCGGCAAGCTCGTCGAATGCTGATGCCAGAGGCGTGTGTGCACGCATGCCCGGGCTGTAGGGGCCGCATGCCGCCGGTGGGAGTCTCGGGTCGGCCGGCAGCTCGGTCTCTGATGGTGTGGGCGGGAGCAAACTCGTGCGCGAACATGTCGTCCTTGAGCATGTGGGGGGTCGGGAGCACTTGCAGAGGGGCTGGGGGTGGCATTGGGCGGCGAGGAGCACGGGGACCGGCCCCGAATGCGCCAGAGGCAGATGAGAATGCTCGTGGGGGAGGCGTGCCGTACCCACCGTACCCGCCGCCGTATCCGCTGCCGGACGAATTGGTTGCCATATGGCGAGCGGCTCCTTGGAAGCGAGGAGGGGCTCGAGGGGGAGGAGTCATGGCGCGACGGCCCATAGGCTGGGCGAATGGCATGGGTGGAGGTGCGCTGGTATCATAGTAGTCTCCGGTAGCTGGGTCGTAGGCGTAGGCACCGTCATCATAGTACTCGGCGCCGTAGTCTTCATAGTAGGTAGTCTCCCGCTTGCTTTCATCAAAGTACTCCTTGTAGAAAGATCGGATCCGGTTGGCACGCTGCTCGGGGTTGTCAGCCGGGTCCTCTGGTGGCAGAGGGCGGACACCGAGAGTCAAGCGGCGAGTATCCCGGTGGGCATCATGTGTGTCCAGAGTTTGCGGTGTCTCTTCTGGAAGTTCCGGTAGCTTATTATCCTTTCCTGGTGTTTCTTCATGCGTCTCGGTACCGTGAACATTGACGGCAGGGATCATCAGGGATGATCTGCGCTCATGTCGGTCATCCCCATAGTCACTCGTCACGTCACTAGACGGCAGAGAAATACGGGGAAGTTGCACGGTCGAGGACTGGGCATGCTCTGCGTGGGTGTCTGGCAGAGGGAAGTTGGGGCGATCTTGATGAGTGTCATAAGAATGAGGGTCGGTATCAAAATTCAGACTGGCGGTATTCGAGTCGGGGTACGGGAGCGCCTGGCCCTGGGAGTGACCGGCAGAAGCCGCTCCAATGGCCAGGCCACGGTCATCATGCTCTGAAGGAGTCGGGTTAAGACCAGGCACGGGGCCGAAACGGTCCTGGGGAGACTGGGCATGAGAACGAGTAGATGAATCGGGCGAGGGGCTCTTATAGACGGGAGGAGGCGAGGAGCGGGACATGCGCTGAGCGTTCTGCAGCAGACCAGACTTGGGTTCTTCGGAAGCACCGAAACGAGACGTCGAGCCAGCAAAGCTCGATGAATCGTCACGAGGGGGTCGAGAATGGGAGCGAATCGAACGATTGTCGGGGTGTGCGGCAGCAAAGGCACCAACGGCTGATGGGCGATACTTGTCATCGTCGATTGACCGACCCATCGAGTGCAAGGAATCCTGGGAGCCATGGAGTCCGGGGGCATGAGATAAGGGTGCATCATGTCGATCGACATTCCTCCCTTCGTGTGGCTTGGTTCCATCATCTGGGGCATGCCATTTGGACCCGGGGGGGGCGTTTCTCCTTCTTCCTCCACGGACAGCATCCATATCCATACCAAAATCGAGAGACTTGTGCTTGTCGTTGGCGTCTTCACGCATGAGCTTCTTGACATGACGACGGTGGAGGAAAATGAGGACAATGATAGCACAGAGAATGGGGACACTATTTGATGGTTAGTGATGTCAAATGGTATTTCTGCACGGCAGATCGACATACCCTGCACCGAGTACGACTGGCAAGACGGTCGTGGTCATGTTGCTGGTGGGCTTTTCCCCGGTACTCTCGGCAGCGGGAGCTCGGGCGACTAGAGACGGGGCATGGTGGATGGTATCCGAAGGAACGAGGAGAGGCAGCCTCGCGGCGGGGACGACCTCTCGTCGGGCGTGGGTGTGCCTCAACGCCATATTGTGATGGGCGTGAGGCATGGTGGCAGGTGACCACTGTTGGTACACAAATAGATAGTCGATAAGGAATCAGAATCTCCAAAACAAGGCGATCGTAGGCAAAGCGATTGATTATTGAAACATTGAAGGACTTGGCTGGTGGAAATCGAAGGTGGTTTGGAATGAGGGGGACGGGGTCGGGTTGGTTGCAAGTAGAGAGCGTGTGTGTAGTGTGTTTTGAAATGAGTGAACGGACCAAAGTCCAAGAACGAGTGGCGGCCAGCAGCCAAGGGAGGGTGAAGGAAGGACGAGATGAAGATGGAGATGAAGATGAAGATGGAAGTGGAAGTGAGGTGGAAAAGAAAAGAGGAGAAGGGGAGACACGCTAGTCTGTGGGAGGTGCAAGTTGATACGGCGTCAGTACGACTCCGCATCCCCTGAACTTTTACTTAGTACTTTCTCTTAATTTAGAACACTCTCCCCTCCCCTATTCTCTTTCTCCGCTGTCGTTCTTGTTTATTATGAGATTAACACCCCTTGAGTATCAACATCAGTATGAGTATCAGTATCCATGACTACTCCCAGTCTTCTCACACACACACACACACACAACACCCTTCCACCACGCAAGGATATGAGACTGTGGATGGGGCCAGCCTTAGTGTCAGGAACCCGCCAATCTCTCAGCCAATCAGCGACCAGCTGCCCCTGAACCGGAGATGAGGCGAACAGCTCTGCTCCCAAATGTAAGGGCAAGATGGTCAAGATGGGGCTGTGTTTATTATCCAAGTACACACAATACCAAATACAATACAAACAATACCCGTTCCTTCGAACTGGCTGGACCTGGCCATACACACACACACTCACACTGTGTCTCCCACTGTCTCTCTCCAACGGTGTTCGGACGATCCTTCTCCCCTCAACATGAGACACCGGCCGCCCTCCCTCATTTAACGCCACATTCCCCTCCCCAGAGTGCTCGTTTCAAGTTCGGCGCCAAGAACAGCAAGTCACCAAGCAAACCACCAAGCTAATCCGAGATTTACCCTCATGACCCTGCTACGAGTGCTCTGTCCTACTATACGATTACGGGCACAACATAGCTGTGTAGCTGTGTACCTCACCACTGTCTTTATTCCGGAACATGCATGCAGCCCTGAGATGGCCTCATGCAGGTTTTGAATTTGAATTTGAATTTCCATTTCCATTTCCATATCGGATCCCCTTTCCCGGCCGCAGGTGGGCGTCTGTGTGTCTGTGTCTGTGTGTCTCTGTGTGGTTTCTCCGATCCGACCGTAGAGTTTTCCCTGTCATTTGGCACTGGCACTGGCACTGGCAATACGTGAATGCCATTGTCAAAGGTTATTCTTTCCCGCTCCTTTAATAGTATCGATCGACGATCGGCTGCCAGTGTTTATCAATAATTGTTCAAGTTAGTTCTATATGTAGCCCCTAGCTGTGGCCTTATCTTGCCCCTGCAATAAGGTATCTGTCACGTGCTCTCGATATATCACATAGTATGCACTTCGTAGTAGGTAAATTGTCATATTTATGTACGGAATATTTGGTCCAGGGTCTTTGGATCTGCCTAGTGTCTAGCCCAGGTAATCTGAAAGTGCGGATCGGCACTTTTACCGCTTCGGTACTCGACGAAGCCCTGTCGTTTGAGATACATGAGGCTGCAAACCTTTATCTCTGACACTGGACCTGTCTTCTGCATTAAGAGCCCTGGAGCTTGAGTTGAGTAAATCCGATCGAGCGCGGTAACTAGTTGCCTTGCATAGCACAAACACCTGAGTAATGCTACCTAGGTAGTAGTAGTAAACTTTGAGGTCGTGTCGGGCCAGATGGGCAGTTGGTCCCGAGGTCGGCACATTGGTTTAATATATATACACAACCTCGAGGGCTTCAAGTTGAACTTCAACTTCAAATTAAATTGGATTTCAACTTGAATTATATACTACTACTACTACTACTACTACTACTACTACTAGTACCCCTATGAAGAACTTGAACTCTAGAGATCCTGAGACAATCATTTTCTATTATTCATGTTGATAGACCATTAGAAATGCTATCCGAGCCACGCCCGTATAGAAACAATATGCATGACATTCAAGTTGACCACTCATCGTTCATCGGACAGCCTTTACTTCAGGCATGTCCGCAAAAAAAAGGAAACATCATCACAGAGCAGATAACACTCCTCGCGACCGCCCTTTGAATTATTACAGCGCAATTATGAAATATTCACCGCGCAAATATGCAACAAAATGAAGGGAAGGAGGAAGAGGAATCAGGAACCAAACTCAAGGAAAACGAGACATGAAAAGAGGAAAAGAAAAAGAAAAAGAAAAGGAAAAAAGGGACAACTTTACCCAAGTGCTCATACAGAACAGAACAGCAGAACTCGGGTGCAGGCTCTCTCTCTTGCACATATGAAAAATAATAATAGATAAGGAAAAGGCAAAAGAAAGGAAAAAGGTATGGAGCAATGTACAAGGAAGAAGGTTGTACAGACAAAAATGCAAATGGCTTTTAGTGTCGCCTGACTGGAAGGAAAATATGTCATCACTCTATACGAGCTTGAAAAAAGAAAAACGTCGAAGAGGGAGCAAAGTCAAAGGTAGTAGGGAGTGAGAATAAGAGGAAGGAAATTCTCATGGGTGAAGTTGGAGTGCAATCATTAAGAATTGCCTGGTCGGATTTGAAGATGATGCTGTCGCAGGAGGAGGAAGTGTAATATTATGCCAATTAGGGCGGGGGTATTTAAGATCGAAAGGGACTTTTTTAGTGCATCTCGGCCAAAGCGGCTTCGAAGCTTGCAAGGTCGTCATGAGAAGGTTGATCAAAAATTCGTCGGAAAGGTGGATCGGAAGGAAACATGCCCTGTGGGTTCGGGTCCACGCCTTCGGCTTTGCGGATGACTTCTTTCAGGGCCCGAGTGACTACCCCGGCGCGGACAACAAGGTTGCGGAGCGAGGATGTGTCAAACGGGAGCTTTTGAGTACGGGACGACGGCCGTAAGTCAGGCAAGGTGGCTGATCGGTCGTGACCTCGAGTTGGCTGCAAAATATCGAGGACAGATTTCGACTTGGGTGAGCTTTTAGAGAGTTGTCGGAGGGGCTGACTATATGGTTGGTTATTGTTGGTTGACGTTTCTTGCCAGGAGCCTTCATTGTCACGTTTGGGTTGCCTCAGCGGTAAGTTTAATGTGGTTTCTTGTTTCGCTGCACTTCGCCATGACCCATCGCTATCGCGTTTCGTCGACGGAACGGTCAATCCCTCGTCATCGGAGTCGTCAAAGCTGAAGGTAAGCGATAAAGGCGAGCCTGGAGGTGAGCGCTGATTTTCCTCGTCATCGATGGTGGCAAGGTTGACAATACTCTCTGCTTCTTTCCAGAGCTCGCTTGATGGGCCACCGACAAGATCCAAGACACTGGCCTGGTGTCGAAGCCGTTTGAGCTCCTCCACCAGTAGTGTCAATTCTTGTACTTGGCCGTACTGGCCGCGCAGGCTGGCTTGGCGTTCGAGAATGGCCTGGGGAACCGTCATGCTTTGTGCCGGAGCTTCGGACTCGGTGCTCTTTGTCTTCTGGCTGGGGATATCCTCCTCCTCACCGTCATCAAAGTCAAAGTCACTGTCCCAGTCCTCACTCACGCCCTTGCTCCCCAGGCCCCAGGTACCGAATTTCCCAGATGTCTGGCGAGAGTCATTCGGGGGCAATTCCCTAGCGACAGGTACACTCTGGCTGCGAAGGTGAATGCTGGATGGCACCTTTCGACAGGCTGCACGGCTTCCCCGATCGATAGCGTTTTGTTTCCCATGCACGGTACTCGGGCGGGCTTCGGAGTCGGACTGATCCCTGTCCAGTCGTGTCTGCTCTGACCAGTCAAAGATGTTCATTTTCTGGCTTGGCTGCAATTTCTCGGCGTGAGAATCGGCGAAAAGCATGGAAGGCGAACTAGGGCCAGACAGCTCTAGGGGACTAGAGAGAGGGAAGGCCGTGGGCATCTGAAGTGAAGGACCATCTCGTTCACCAGGCAAGGCTCCGATCATACTATGACTGTCATCATCGTCATCATCAAAGAAAGACAAGTTATCATCTGTGCGAACTCGAGTCACAGCAGGGAGAAGAGAGTCGGAGAAGAGTGGAGGATCCTTTTCCACGCGGGAGGCAAACGAGCCGCGCGGAAGGAGATCTTCCAGGGTCGCGACTTCCTCATTTGACAGCTGTGTGCCTGCCTTGTCGAACATCGTCTCGATCCGCAGGCCATTCAACCCACTCAATTCATTCATTCCATCTACTCCATTCAACCCATTCACTCCTTTCATTCCGCTGCCTTGTGTCCCCCGAGTACGGATGGAATCCCAATAATCCGTCATGAAATCAGTTTCGTACTCGTCGCCAGAGGTGAAGACGCGAGTATCATCAGAGCCAATGATAGTCGAGGCCGGATCAGACGCTGCAATGGAATGTCTCTTAGGCGGCGCCGGAGAGAAGAGGGTGCATGACTAGCTGGTCGATTGCAATGCGGCCAGGTTGAAAGATCAACGGCATCGGTGGTTAAAGGACGGTGATGCCGTAGGCCGATGTTGTAGTCGTGGGACACTGATCGTGGCAAACCCGCCGATTGCCCGTTAAAGGTTGACCCAGGTAATTCAGGAGATGTGAGAGGCGGTGGTCGACGGAACACAGCTGGATCAGTGATATTGCGCCGTTTCGGAGCCGAAGGCAAATTTGGATGCACCTTTTCTAACCTGGAAATTTCCGAACGAGGTATAGAGAATGTGCGTCCCTTGACTCGCTTCAGAGATCCGCCACGAGGTCCAATAATCGGGGCGCCAGTCGCTGTCACCGTGTTAACGACGATCCTTTTCGGTACAAGATCATTGAAAGAATACGAATGTTTGTGAGCAGGTTTCTTTGGGGAGGGAGGTAGTGCTGGCGATGGTGGTGCTTCTGATGGGGATGTTTTTGGAGGTAAAGCTGATCCGGATTTTGGTTCAGGTTTTGATGTTGGCAGAGGACGAGGACCAGGAGCAGCATTTTCGACTGGTGCCTGGAACGGGTTTCGGAACTGAGCCGGTTCTGCAGGCTCGTCCCGAGGCACAGCGGTCTTGTTTATTATAGTGGTTGCTGAAATCAATGCGGGAAGCGTATCCGAGTCCGAGACAAGACGCCTCACACTTTGGGCTATTGGAGCTGTTGCAGTGGAAAGCCTCCGAGAAAGCTTCTCCGAGAAGCCCTGTGCCTTTGGGAGCAAGAATGGTTTCCAATCCTCCTGCGATTGGAATTCAAACTCTTCAATTGCTGGGGAATCAGCACGAGGAAATTGTTGTGAAAATCGTGACTCGAAATCTGGAGTTATGGGAGTTTGTAATCGCATTGTCTCGGACCGCTGGTAGCTGGTCGCAGGCCGGCGTAATGCTGACCCGGGGGATACAGCAGTATTGACGAAAAGAGAGGGTGGTGGCGTTGGAACGTCTTGTCGAAGGGCGTTTAACGAGCTTGTTCGGAGCTCGATGTTGGCTAACTGGGCGGGGGAGGATTGGGCTGGCTGATCCATTGAAAGAGGGCGTGACCGGGCTGTTCGTCGACGGGCTGTCAGACTGAAAGGAAACGATAGATAACCGGCGCAACCAGCTTGTTGACGGCCGGCGCGAATGCGATTCCGCCTCATTTGATTCTGTAGGGGCATGTTCAGGGATTCGCAAGGGCGGGTTGGTCAATGTTTGACCGCGACGACGGTATCTGGCCGCGCCAAAGGATAGCGATGCACGGCGAAGGTCCGGCTCTTGGAATTGATTACCACGGGGGATATTCCCTCCCTCGGTCGCTGGTTCCTTTTCATTGATCGTCCAGTCCACGGCCGCTAAACTGGGGCGATTTGATCGAGATGTTTTGGGCCGGACATCGACCGGGGTTGCCTCTGGAGGTGTAGGAAGCACTGGGGGTTCGTAAGGGAGGGTTTTCCGGCGAAATATCTTCGGCTTCGATCGTTCGACACGACCGAGGGCCAAGCCGGTGGGTGCGATTCCTACCGTGCTCAATGCACAAAGCTGATGAGGGGGGGGGTAAAACGCGTTAGTCGGAGATATCAAGCATCGGCGCAAGCAGGGGGCCAGAGCAAAGAGGAATACTCACTGTTGAGACGTGATCCATCCTCAGAGGTCGCTGAGAAGAGTGTCAAGCACCCTCCAGCTTAACTCCACAGGGTGAGTCTTTGCGAGTGACATCCCATTTGGGGTATTTGGGGGGAAGATACGGAGTAGAAGGAAGGAAATCGGGGCAATCGGAGGGCGGAGGGCGGATGGCGGAGGGGAGGGGCTGGGGGTAAACAAGATCGAATCGAATATGCACAGGCGGCCTCCCGATGGGATTTTCGAACACTCGGGAATAACGAAAGAAAGAGCGAGAGAGGAGAGATCTCTCGGCCAAGCCAAATGAAAGGAAAGTTCCGAAAGAGAATAAAAAAGAGTAAAAAAAAAGAGAAACCCAGAAAGCCCACCAGGGCTGGAAGTCGATGACGAGGAAGATGGGGTCAACAACAACAAGGAGGAGGACAAGAAAGAGGGGATCAGCGCTAAACTCAGCTGGCGCAGGGTAAATTAGGCACGCTAGGAGCTCAGTGACTATTTTCGCCCTGGCCTGCAGGGAGAACAGGAAAAGTGACAAGGTGACAGGTCGACAGTTACTTTACGTTCCCTGGGAAACTCTACAGTTACAGCTACAGCAGAGTTACAGAATGTGTGCTCTACTCGTATGTGTACTCGTCTATCAACCACGATTTAGCCTACCAATTTGAATCTAGCATGAATCTTGACATGCATCAACTCCGTCCGCACACTTACACTTTGACTTTGGACCTACTGCGGCTGCCACACGTTGCAGTGGACCAAAACCCCCGACATCTTGCAAGTCATTTCAATCCTCCACCACTCTCAACCAAGTTCTGCTGCTAGGCGGCCCACTCCCGAGTCTCCCCCCTTGCGGCTCACATTTGCATTTGCATCTGCTCGTGTCCAGACGTTCTAGCAGCCAGCATCCAGCATCCAGCCTGGAACCAACGACTGGCCGGAGAAGTCCGCCCAGAACAGACGTGGCTGAGTGGAGAGCGCACTGCTGAGAGGAGCAAAACAAGCCAGCAGATCCAGAATTCCCCACATATCTCGTCTCGGCTGGCTGGGATCGCGTCTTTCAGCCCCCTTTAGCCTTGCCCGGATACTTCACTCACCCGATCGCAGGGGCCCCAGTGGTCCAGTGGCCCAGTGGCCCAGTGCGGCCGATCTGTGTCCACCGACTGGACAACGAACCGTTCCCGAGGTAAAGCGCCTGCTTCTTTTAGCCTGTGCATTCGCTGCACTCAAGCTGACCTGCTTCTGCCCTTCTGCGAGATGCCAACTTCTGAAACATTACTCGTCCAATCCCCAACCCGTCTCTACGTTTTTATGATCCTGCCCCCTCAGGCCAAACACACCGCATTGAGGGGAAGTGGAGTGGACTGGGCAGACCAGGTTAGACACGTTGTGCTCACCTTGCCCACCTGTGCCATGTCGAGCATCTCTCATCTTGCGTCCGCCACATCTTCCATTCTTCGAGAAGTTCCGTCGACATCCACTCGTTCCGTTCTTTGTGAGTGCTGATCACACGGCGAGGGTTCGATATTTTGCTTTCATCTCCGTTGCGAGCGGGTCCCGTTCCAACGGAGTGGTCGAGAACCACTCCTAGGAAAAAAATAAAAACACTGGGGACAATTTGATGACCACAAAACAAACCTGGCATAGGTTCGATAGCACACAGATCCCTATCGTCATCGGCCCCCCCACTCTTGTAAATGAAAAGGAAACCCCGTGGGTCAGACACGAACAACAATCGGTTCTTGCTACCGAATCGGTATCGTTTACCTTTTATCAGATAGGGTTCTAGCTCAAGCCGATTACATAGTGTACCAGAAAGAAGCTTGCGAACAAAGAAAGGTAAAAAAAAACGAAAATCATCACCCTCGTGGTCCATTTCATTTCTTTTGCCCCTGGCTCTCACCTCCCAGCTTCCAGGACGACGATCACAGCCGGTCGGGGACACGCCGAAAAGCGCGAACCCTGTCACCTTCGCTGGCGATCGACATGACCAGTCGTCGCCTAGGGAAGGTCAATAATCATGTTCATTATACAAATGATTGACAGGGATATCCTTGGAATCAGGCGCCAGGGTTGGACCCACAATTGATCTTGTACCTTATGCAAATGCTCATCTTACCAGGAATTAAGCGACGTTGTGTGTATGGAGCATGGAGTATGGAGTACGGAAGACGGAGTATCCTGTCCTCTGTATTCCGAAGCAATTAACGCGAACGGGATCTATTCTTACCCATCGTTAGCTTTGGCGTAACCAATAGGATTACCACTGAGAGCCTTGTCGATATCCGTCTTACCGGTTTCATCTGGTCCCGGCCGAGGGATGTAGACCAAATTGAGATATCTTTTGTACCGTCGGCTGGTTTTCCAAACCTCCAATTGCGCCATTGGGCCGTCTCTGCAAATACTAGTACTAGTCACAATTTATGCCTTTTTTGCCGTGCCGCTATTGATAGAGCAGGGCCGAAATACTCGGGAAAGAAAAAGTTAATCACCATACATTACCCCATAGCAAACCAGCGAACGAGGAAAGAAACAGCGTAAATGAATCTAATATCATAGGTAACCGAAGGCCCTCTGCCGTGCAACTTACTTTGTACGCCCTTACAAACACAATCAATCCCGATCTGTCAATAGATAGTCCTTGATCCGTGAGAGAATTGCAGCATTGAAACACGCATCTCCTCCTACGCCCATATACGTAGGTCATCAACAACAACGAGCACAAGACCGAATGGGAAAAACCAAAACAATATCACCGAGATTATCTGCAAGTACAGCCTCAAATCACGATTCGCGTACAAGACAGCTTTGCTGGCACTGTGATCATCATTGCAGCATCCGTGACTCCAATGGAGAACCGCAGAAGAGCTCACTTCGTATTCACCAGCTGCGACTAAAATGTCTTTCAGGGCGATCAGAGGCGGTCTCGTCACGGGGCTGCATTGTTTCGAGTACAGTAATTCTCTACATAGTGTGTATTGCCCAGTAGGCTTTATGGCGAGTCAATCTTTGCTGTAGGCGCTGTAACCATGTACATACATACTACCACCCCGCTTTGCGATAATGAGGTTATCTAGAGTCTGAGCCTATGTACCCTACCTGCCCTACCCTGGACTTGTGGTAAGGTTGGGAGGCTTTGTGTAACGGCTTGGTGGTGTTATGCTTGTTTCATGCAGGTCCATTCACAGCAAACGCCATTGTGATTTGAAATGCACCTGCCATCACATCGGCGGTCAGCTTGGCGAGCCTGACAGCCTGGAGAAAGTGGCTGTTTGGCCAGCCGGAGAATTGTGTAGATCGGGTGCGTGTAGCAAGACTGGCTAGATTCAAGGCCTACGAAAAAAAGCTGAATATTTTAGCCATTGAAGATACCATCTAGCTGGATTACTGCTATGCTGTTACAGCAGTACTAAAGTACTTACTAGTAATACTGCCTTATATGAATGCTCCCAATTTGGAAAGAGGGCGGTGGACATCACATGACCTTATCGATAACGCACCTCGAAAAACACGCCCCTCTGAGGTCGAATTACCCCAGAAAGCGCCTGGACCTTATTGAGTGGACGCTTTGCTGATCCTGAACCGGGATCTTGGATTATTGACTGCAGTGTCCTGAAATTGACTCACTTGAACAAGATGGAGGGCCAAATTCAATCTCAGATTCCCGGATTGGACCGTGTGATCTCCGAATACTCGGTGGTATGTCATGTCGCAAATATGTCCAAGAACCATTGCCAGCTCTGCGCAGAAGCTCACACAAGATAGGGATACTTGACTCACGCCTCCCACCAATACGTCGAAGATGTCAACGCCCCTTCCCCCCTGACCGAGGCGGCCGAGTCCGTCACCGAGCTGCTCGTCTCTGCCTCGGGAGATTTCTCGGACAAGAATCGTGACGCCATTACCAGCCTGGTGGAGAAATTCATTACAACGCTCAGCTCCTCGAATGGCATCGACATGGAAAGACAGCAGATGCCCTTCGCGGCGAAGAAACTGGACCAAGCCATCAATGTTGGTTCGCAGCGGAACATGTCTTCGACTCTGGGTTTGACGAGCGGTAACGTGGACTTGGAATCTGCCAATGCGCGAAAGGTTGAGTCCAAGGTTGATAAGAAGAAACTTGAAAAGGCCGAGCGCAAGATTCGCGCCAAGCAGGAGAAGAAACAGATGAAGAACGTTGAATATGAGTCTTCTCGCCTGCTTAGCCAGCCCGATGAGACCATGTCGTACGAGGAGTTCTACATGGCTGTTAACCCTCTGCAGCTGGGCTCCGATTCCGCGGCCAAGAGTAAGGATATTAAGCTGGACAATATCGATATCTCTATTGGTGGTCTTCGTATTCTTACGGATGCTTCGTTTACCCTTGCCTACGGTCGTCGCTATGGTCTTGTTGGTCAGAACGGTATCGGTAAGTCTACGCTGCTGCGTGCGCTGAGTCGCAGAGAAGTCGCCGTGCCTACGCACGTTTCTATTCTTCACGTCGAACAAGAGGTATGTCATGATGTTTTGAGTCCCCCAATTGGCGAAGGCTGGTTGTTAACGATTCATATCAGATTACTGGTGATGATACCTCGGCAATCCAAGCTGTTCTGGATGCAGATGTGTGGCGCAAGCACCTTCTTAAAGAGCAGGAGAAGATCACATCGCAATTGAATGTTCTTGAAGAAGAGCGCTCTCAGCTGGCAGATACATCTAAGGATGCCGCCAGACTTGATAATGACAGAGAAGGTTTGGATATCACCTTGTCTGATATCCATTCCAAGCTTTCAGAAATGGAATCCGATAAGGCAGAGTCCAGGGCAGCCAGTATTCTGGCTGGTCTTGGTTTCTCTCCCGAGCGACAACAATATGCCACCAAGACCTTCTCTGGTGGTTGGCGAATGCGTCTGGCGTTGGCTCGAGCCCTATTCTGCGAGCCCGATCTTCTGCTTCTTGACGAGCCGTCTAACATGTTGGACGTTCCGTCCATCACTTTCCTTGCCAACTACCTCCAAGGATACCCCAGTACTGTCCTGGTTGTTTCTCACGATCGTGCATTCCTTAACGAAGTTGCCACCGATATTGTGCACCAACACTCCGAACGTCTGGATTACTACCGGGGTGCTAACTTCGAGTCTTTCTACGCGACCAAGGAGGAGCGGAGGAAGATCGCCAAGCGCGAATATGAGAAGCAGATGGCCGAGCGAGCCCACTTGCAAGCCTTTATCGACAAGTTCCGTTATAACGCTGCCAAGTCCTCAGAAGCCCAGTCCCGAATCAAGAAGCTGGAAAAGATGCCAGTCCTCGAAGCTCCCGAGAGCGAGTACACCGTGCACTTCCAGTTCCCCGAGGTGGAGAAGCTCTCTCCCCCATCGTCCAGATGTCCGAAGTTTGCTTCGGATATACCAAGGACAAGCCGCTTCTCAAGGATGTCGACTTGGATGTGCAGCTGGACTCGCGTATCGGTATTGTCGGACCTAACGGTGCGGGTAAGACTACAGTGCTGAAACTGCTCACGAACCAATTACAACCCACAAAGGGATTGATCTCCACCCATTCCAGACTGCGCATTGGATTCTTTGCCCAACATCACGTTGATGCTCTGGATATGAACGCCAGTGCTGTCACTTTCATGGCTAAGACTTATCCCGGAAGGTCTGATGAGGAATACCGGAGACATCTGGGCGCGTAAGTTCAACCCCCATACAAACGCATGGCTATGAATGCCGTCCTCGCCGAATTGATTAAATGCTAACATACTATCTCTCATAGGTTCGGTATCACCGGTATGACAGGTCTGCAGAAGATGGAACTTCTATCCGGAGGTCAAAAGTCCCGTGTGGCATTTGCCTGCTTGTCGCTGACGAACCCTCACATCCTGGTTCTTGATGAGCCTTCTAACCACTTGGATATTGAGGGTATGGATGCGCTTTCCGAAGCGCTGCAGCGATTCGAGGGTGGTGTTGTCATGGTTTCTCACGATGTGACTATGTTGCAGAATGTCTGCAAGAGTCTCTGGGTCTGTGACCAGGGAACTGTGCACAAGTTTGACGGTGATGTTAAGGCCTATAAGAAGCAGATCACCGCTCAGGCTGATGCGGCGGGTGTTGTGGCAAAGCACTAGGCTTAGAGTAGATAATCAAAAGTGCTGTCTATATTTGAGTCTGTGTATGAGCATACGTCTATAAAATGCAAAATAGAAATCGCCAAAATGCCCAAAATTAAAACACCCCCATACATGCCCAGATGCAATCGGTGACGGTGACGGTGACGGTGACGGAAAAAAGGTCAGGTGGGTCCGCGGCAATCCAGCTTATCGGCTATCGATGCTTCGAAACCCGGGGGCACCTGCAACATTAGAAGCTCCTGACTTTCCTTCCCCAGCATAACAGTGTCACCCATGAAGCTAGGGCTCTAGAAATTTGGATGTTTCACAGAGCAGAGAGTCACGCACTATGAACTCTCGCGAGGAGGCAGACCAAGCCGGTCCCAACGCCCCACTGCTCACTTCAACCGACCACCATGACCGGGACCTCTCTCCCGATCCGGCCGATAACGTCGATCTCGCGCCTGAGCTGGAATACTCCGGCGGATGGTTCATATGGATATTGACAATTTCTGCTGGAATTAGTGGTCTCTTATTTGGATATGAGTGAGTAACATACATACCACATACCTGCTCGCAGACAATGGTGGGAAAACTGGCCGGCAGAGTGGCTAACGAGAACCATTGTTTCCTGTGAATTGTAGTACCGGCGTTATTTCCTCTACCTTAGTGACGATCGGCTCCGATCTTTCGGATCGACCTTTGACGACTCTGGACGAGAGTTTGATTACTTCTTGTACGAGTTTGTTTGCGCTCGTCGCTAGTCCGTTTACTGGGGTGCTTGCGGATAAATATGGTCGGCGCAAAGTCATTCTTGCTGCGGATGCGCTATTTGCGCTGGGGGCTTTGGCTCAGGCGTTTACAAGTCAGGTTGGGGGGATGATTTTTGGTCGCAGTATTGTTGGGTTGGCGGTTGGTAGCGCGAGTGCTATTACGCCTTTGTGAGTTTGGGTCCTCGATCTGAGTGATTCGACACTACGGTTTCGACTAATGTGGTATCTTTTTCTTCCAGGTATATTTCAGAAGTGGCACCGACACAAGCAAGAGGCCGACTTGTTACTGTCCTGATCCTTGCTCATCACCGGAGGTCAGGTGGTTGCCTATATTGTTGGGTGGTTATTCTCCGAAATGCCCGGAGGCTGGCGCTGGATCGTCGGCCTCGGAGCAGCACCCGCTTTTTTACAATTTGCAATCCTCATCTTTCTACCAGAGACACCACGATGGCTTGTACAAGCCGGATCGGAAGACAGAGCGGCGAAAGTACTCACTCACATCTATCATGGCTGTCCTGATCGGGATCAAGGAGTCCGCCGGGTCCTTCTCGGTATCAGAAGAGAAATCGAAGAAGAGGCGGAGGAGATGGGCCAGAGTGAAATTCCAGATGCGAATATGCATTGGTTCCATGATACGTCTCAACGAGCCCATGACTTGTTCTATGTCGGTGGGAACAGGAGGGCCCTGACGATAGCAATGATGCTTCAAGGGCTCCAGCAATTGTGCGGGTTCAACAGCCTGATGTACTTTTCAGGCATCATCTTCACCGCGCTTTCATTCTCTTCGCCAACGCTGACATCTCTCACGGTGGCCGTCACCAACTTTGTTTTTACTCTTTTTGCATTCGGACTGATTGATAAGATCGGGCGTCGTCGCATTCTCCTTTATTCGATTCCAGTGATGATTCTCGCGCTGGTAGCTTGTGCGGTGGTCTTTTCTTCCATGGATATCTCGTTTGAACCCGAGAGCACACAAAAGACAAATCCGAATGCGAACTCGAACTCTCCTCTATTGGTTCTGTTCTGCCTGGCAGTCTTCGTTGCATCCTACGCCTTCGGACTCGGAAATGTACCATGGCAACAGGCCGAGCTTTTCCCTTTGAATGTCCGATCTCTGGGATCATCTCTGGCTACAGCGACAAACTGGGGATCGAACTTCGTCGTCGGTCTCACCTTCTTACCCATGATGCGGTGGATTTCTCCAACCTGGACATTTGTCATATACGCTGGAGTGTGTGCCGTGGGCTGGGTGGCAGTCCATGCAATTTATCCGGAAATGAGTGGGATGGGCCTAGAAGATGTCAAGGGCCTTTTGGCGAATGGATGGGGTGTCGAGGAGAGTTTGCGACGAAGACGGAGCATGAAGCATACATAGAATGCACAGCGGCTATTGATTTTGGATTTGCTTCGACGACCTATGGCAAAGTTCAATCTGACATCTTGTTGGATTCTCTGAAGTGATCACCATCATGAAGGCCGGGCGCATAGCCCGACCTAGAAAGGAGAGTGGTTGAGAATGTCGATGATTTCGGAGTGATTATTGGATCTGCCATAGAAATGGTTGCTCCGGGCAGGGCCAGGCGGCTGCTGTGCTTCTCGCGGACTGTCGCATACGTACGATACCTTTCACTTCATCGGTCGCTCAACTTGAAGTGAGTCTTCATTTTTTTCTCAGCATATACAACCAATACTATACAGCACATACATTTCATACTTGAGCTCAGTCTACTTTCTTTTTTTTACTTCCCCTCCCTTGACATTCCACGGATCTATATTTCGAATTCTCATTACATGGCATACAAAGGACCTGAGTGTTCAACTGCGAAGGTTGGAGCTCCAAGCTCGCTCCCTCGCAGTTTCATTCTGGATGCCCCAAACGAGGTAATTTGAGTTAACATGAAGCTTATCTATGCATTATCCGTTTGAGATGGCCTGTTAATGAGTCTAATAGATCCTCCATCATATCGCCAGCTTTCTACCGACTGACAGGGACGTTCTCAATCTATCCAGGTCTTGCAGAGAGATGCATTCCAGAATTCTAGGACCGTCGACCGGCATCTGGAGGTCTCGATTCGAAGCGAACTACGAATTACCCGCAGCAAAAAGTATGGAAGAGTTGGAACATGAATACAAGTCTCGTGCCATTATTCTCTCACGCCGGATGGACTTTCGCGGGCGAAAGACAAACTTGAAGGAGCAGGCGTGGCTGGAAGTCATCCATACCATGCTTGTCGAGTCCTTGACAATCCCTATCCAGCCCAGTGGCCCAAAAACATACAACAGGTTGCGAGAAGTCATGTCGCAGTCGAATTTCTTGAGTCGTCCAAAGAAGCAAAGGTCATGCGAATTCACCTGCGCCATCCAGTTGGTAAGCTGGCAAATGGTAATATCAAGGAAAACGAATGAAAACTAACAAAAGGTTACTTCGATATAGTCCCTCACTTCCCTAGCCTTACACCGAGAAGTTTCCGAGCCCTGCTCTCGATATGACTATGAGCTCGCTATAGCTTACTCCTTCGGAAGTGAGGCGAATGGTCCCTACATCACACATAACAACCTGGACCTCATCAAGCTATTGCACATCCGCAGTTTCTGGCAGCGACACCTTCTGGAGCCCGAAGAGATGTCTTTTTATCTCACATTCAAGGATCTGGCCGAAGACCACAAGCCAAAGATGCGGAAGGGGTACGGCGCAACTGAATCGGAGCTGAGCTCTTCGTGGATCGGCTATTATTGTGAGTTTTTACTTTTCACTTGGACCAGTGACATCTACACATCTTCTCACCATATTCATCATATCCAGCATGCCTCCACCCTATGCCCCAAACCCGGACCCAGCTGAACAAGAACCCGGGCCAGACTTGCGCGGATATTGCCTCTCACTTAATTGACATCCTGGTATGGAATTTCCCATGACTCTAGCACCTTCCTGCCCTGAATCAATATTTGTAAAATACTAACGGGAAAGCAGTCCTTGGACTTGCAGACGACCGGTGACGAATTCTGGCCTGTAGAATGCAACAACTTTATCCCCATGAGCGAGGACCCGGATATTCACCGCGTCTTCTTCCAGGGATCACAGGGTTACTACGGCCAAACGAGCGATTTGAACCCGGTTTTCGGGTTTAAGGAGGATATCTCATTTCCTTATGGGGGTATCCCGGGCTGGGCGCGAATTTGCTTTGCCATTATTGCTACGGGGCAAGATATAAATTCGTCAGACTGGGTTCACGGGTACGAGGCGATTCTTCTTCCTGGTGGTAGGATCATGATGGGGCGATGGTTGGATTTGAAGGAGCCGAGTGGTCGTGGGCCGTTTATTTTCTGGGACGTGGAGGTGCCGTTCTACCTCTAGAACCTATTCCGTGGCTACCAAGGTACAAACGATTCAGAACTGGTACGGGTGATCCACAGGCATTTCATTTGTGGGAATGGGGATTTGAAAGGGGAATGGTTTTATTTGAGGAAGGTTGGAGGATTCTCATGAGGTTTTCGTCTTGGGGGAAATTTATAGCGATAGAGGAGAGAAAAAAAGAAAGGTCTTTAAGACAGAGTATGGGATGGACAAACAAAGGGAATAGGCAGGACGAGACAAATGAAGAAATAAATTACTCCTCAATGTCCTTCACCTTCTCCCACTGGCCCTTGAGGTTCTCCTTCCACAAGCTGACCTTGTTGTCACCACCGCTGACGGCGAGAATGTTACCGCTCAGACTCCAGCTCACGCGCCAGAGGACGGTGTCGAACTCGAGTGTTTGGCTCGTCCACTGGCCCGGGTTAGATGCGTCGGAAGTCCAGATGCGGACGGTCTTGTCTTGCGAAGCTGAGGCGATGTAAGACTTGGACAGAATGCTAGGGGACCAAGCGACATCGCGGACCCAGTCGGAGTGGCCTTCCAGGGTTTGGGTGAGGTTATAGGTCTTGGACTCGGAGCTGGGGGGAAAAAGTGTTAGTATGGAACGGGCATGCGGAGGGGTTATCGCATCTATAGTGTATCATGAGCACATACTTGTAGTCCCAGATCTTGACCAGGTTGTCACTTCCACCGGTCACGAAACGTCTCTGCTGGCCGGGGCCGGGGTTGGAGCTGATCAAGCTACCCGCAAAGGCAGCGGGGGCCCAGCTGATCGAGTTCACGCCCATTCCATGGGCATGGAAGGTCTGGTGGGTCCAGTTATTGTCACGGAACTCGAGCACACTGACATGGCCATCGGAGGAGGCGCAAGCAAGGAGACAACCGCTCTCATGAGGGGCCCACGATACCATGTTGACGGAAGCGGTGTGGAGGGAGAAGTCGAAGACCTTGGTCCATGTGCTGCCACCGACGGGGGAGGTGGCATTCTGGGGTTGTTCTCGCCAGATCAAGACCTTGCCGTCATAGGAGGAAGAAGCTAGGATGGTGCCGAACTTGGGGTGAGCCTGCGAGCGAAACGAATCATTGTCAGTACACTTGCGCTGGGGTCCAGATAGTTGGCATTGTTTTGGATATCCCACTTACCCATGCGACACACCACACTGCACCTTCATGGCTAACAATTCAGAATAGACCAGATCAGCTTTCAAGATCTCTTTTCGCGTCCCGTTGCTTTGAAGGCGATGCTCACCCCTTCAGGGTCTCCACCAGGCGGTGCGATTCCCCTCAATCTCGAAGATCTTAATCGTTTTATCGGAGGAGCAGGTAGCTAGCCTGCGGCCATAGTAGTCTAAACCGGCATCATGCTACAAACAGAATCGAATTGTCAGCTCAACTCAATCGCATTCATCCACGACGGAGACGTTGAATATGGACCATCAACCCCCCAGCTCAACACAACGTACAATCATGTCCTCGTGCCCCGAGTTGGAAATCACCTGAGCGGCCGCCTAAACATCCATTATTAGCATAACCACCACCATTGGCAATTGAATAGAGCACACCATTTTGTCAGGACCGCGTGGGGTAATGAAAGTCGCAAAATAGAGCTGAGGGAGCTGCGCGAGGGCCGACGTAGCCAACAAACAACCTGGCCGCATTGCTATCTCTTATCAGAATGACTAAGCTGGTCACGTTACCCAGGGCACGTGCCTCGGCCCATCGGTAACCGTGGGGTTCTCCGCGGTGCGGCGACTCTCCTGTCTTGTACACTTCACTTCTTCCTTGTATATTTGCAGTCATCGATACCCTTTTTTTGCTTTCTATTCGTGTGATACCTTGGTTAACAGAAGGTGCAGCTATCCCGAAACCGGCCTGTTGCTTGAACTGCCTCTATCTTGCGTCTTGACCATCTACACATACTCGACACCATGGGCGATGCGCTATGTGGCCCGTCGAATGCGCTTCAGAACTTCCAGAAGCATACTTCTGTTGATAGGACTCTTCAGCAAGACCGGCTTACATCCAGACAACCTTCCGCTCAGGTATGCAAGACCTTCCAGTCTAAAGATTCAAAGTACTAATTCGGACGATCAGGGCTTCCGCTCTCAAAGCCCCCGCGATGGAATCCTCGACCCCGAGTTTGCTGCATTTGAAGCCAACCTCGGAGGACCCCAACTACAAGACATTCAACATCCAGCACAACTGCAACATCCAGCACAGCTTGGCGGACCAGCACAACTTCACCATGCGCAGCACCCGAGTGCCAACTGGGCATCGGACTTCCAAAACCTAAATATCTCCGGCCCATCCGCACCTCAAATACACACCCCGCCTGTTGCGCAAGGCCAAAGAGGATGGCATAATGAGTTTATGAACCAGCATCAACAACCCGCCCCAGCTCACCATATGCAAGCCCAGCCGATGGCAAACCGCGGATTCCAGTCGTCCTTTGCACCGAACTATTCGATGTACAATAACTCGATGAATATGCAGCAAATGTCCCATGCGCCTCAACAGCAACACCAAGCGCCCGTGGAGCAATTTGACGAGTCTGCGTTTGAGGCCGCATTCGACCAGGCCCGGGCCAATCTAGAGGAGCTACAACAGCCCGAGGTCAAAACTGATAACGAACTGCCACTGCACGAAATTAGTCAAGCCGACCCAGGAACTGTTCTTCCAGACCTCGATGATCTCAGATCCGAGACTGCCCGCATTGGATCTGATACTATCGCCCAGTCCGACAAGCAAGACCCACTCACGCGGGCTCATGATGCCGATGCTCTTGCTCAGACAGCAGGGCAACTTCTCGACACCGTTCGCCACGAACAAAACCAAAAGTTCCAGCAAAGCAATTTCCTTGCTTTGATGCGTCGGATTCGTGATCGTGAAGTAGAGGTGGAAGGGGATGAATTTCGCGAAGTCAGTAGCAACCCGTAACGGTTTGGCTGTCAAGCGAGGCGTGGCAGAAACTCCGGTATCATCGTGTCAATCTATACCGGCCATTGTCCTTACTGATGTGATTACAGACCGCGCAATCCCTTCACCCGGGTGGGCCTTACTACCCAGGTCAACCGATTCCTGACCAGGCCGCGCCCTCCGACACTACGAGTAAGGAGACTTCCCTCCCCGTCGGCGGGATCTAGTATCACAACAATCAATGTTATTATATGAGCAGAAAACCTGACGCTTTCTCCGGCCAGAGGAAACGCCAGTGATTGCTCAACAGACCCGTCTGGCTGAGGAAGAACCTGCCCAACCTGGTGCCATCGCAACAGGAGCCGGGGACAGCAATGCGCTCTATGAAGGATTATTGCATATGCATGGACCATTTGACCGGCGACGGACTCCAACATTCTGTTTCCGCGGCGAGGGCGAGATTTGCTCGTGACCAAACAAGGCATCCATATCCGGGGTACAATAGGGTCACGTGCACCCATTGAGGCCCGAAAGAACAATCAACGTCCACCCATTGAGATCTCAATCCGCCCTATTCAGGTCTATTCAGCCACCTGCACAATAGTACCTCATTAATTGATCAATGGTGCGATCGGGTCCACGGGTCATTACCGATTGGACCATTCCTTTTTTTCCTGATTTTTTTCCCATAGCCAGCGTGATGATTTCGCAGTACATAAACCCTGCTGGGATGCATGTTTCCCTCAGAACCATTAACCACTTTGCTTGCATGAACAATACCACTTCTTTTATTTAAACTCGCCCGGAATTTCCCTCAAGACTGCGTTTGCTTGTTCATTATGTCTCCGCCAGACCCCCTCCGCCACCTACTACAAAAGCTTATGGAAACCCAAACAAACCGCAGCAAATCTACACCCCCACCTCCACCACCATACAGCACCAACCCCCTACCTCCTTCACCTAGAGCCACAATGCCAGAATTGATGTCCGACATTGTTTACACGGACGAGCCCAACCCGCTCGCAGTAACCATCGACGCAACCATCAACGTAGTGGGCAACAACAACACTCTAGCCCTAACATCGCAACCTATCTCGAAGAAAGACCCGGCGATAGGCCAGACTTCCGAAGCCGAAAATGAAGTCAGTGCGTCTCTGATTCGGAAACAGGATAGAGAGGCAAAGGCTGCAAGACTAGCCTCTGTCATCCTCAAAGCTCTCCAACAGGCTGATGGCCTGACAGATGATCAAGGTCGCAAACGCACTGTTAGCGTTATGCTCAAGTGTGGTATCAAGGTGGAGGGTTGCAATAATGAAGTGATCTCTGATGAGGATGTCAATGGGTTAAGTTCTTGTTCGTTACGCGTTTCGTCTGGTGGGAGAAAGCGTGCTGCATCGGTATGTTTGGCTTCTCTTCATTGGGGTGGGGTGTAGGAATTTCTCTTCTTTGAAAGTTTTCTTCTAACTCTACTGTGGTATTATAGGAACCCCCGGCTGCCATACCGCCACCACCGAAGCGTGGTTGTCGCCTTCTATGACTGGCGATAAAACCGTATTTGTTACCTTTGCTCTTGGTTGGCCTTGGTGTTATTATGCTCGTCATTGTTTGCGCTGTGTCGGAGTCTGTGTTTTTCTATCTACTGTTTTTTACGCGGAATCTATGACTCTTTTCTTATCGTAATTTGATTTGATAGTCATATTGTTCCTGAATATACTTGATCGCAGAGTACCTCTCTATTTAATTTTATCTCAACCGTAGAGGCCAGAGACACAATTGGGAGCAAACTTCTTAGGAGCACGGAAGAGCATGGGCACTCGGGAGGGGTTCTCAAACCAGGCTGTCTTGTACCACAGGCTGCGCTCGCTAAAAATGTCACCGTGATCATCGGTGAAAGCAATGATTGTATCCTTCTCTAGACCAGTGTTCTTGATTAACTTGAGCAGCTTGCTAATATGAGTATTAATATAAGTTCAGTGGTAGTGTTCTCCGCGACATCGTCAAGGATCATATCGAGTTTGAACGGGTCCCCTGGCTGGAGAGCAGATGCGAGATCGGTCTCAAGAACAAGAGCTATGAAATCCCAGCCATTTGTGTGTGGAACTTTCAGAAACTTGAGCAAGGGATTCACGGCCAATTCTCGGTAAGACTCTTGGCTGGACTCATGGTCGTCGATATAGCCATAAGCAAGCAAAGCATTGTACTTATGCCTGCCCAGGCATGCATGAAGGCCATTCGAGCAGGAGCATGAAAGTTGGTGGGACGGAACTGGTGGGGGACGTTGTCATTTGAGGATCCGCTCTTGACGAAAGGCTTTTCAGAATATATTTATAAAATGTGATCTGTGTAGATGAACCACGGGCTCCTTCGCCGCTTCCTTCAATCCAAGACTTAATATTGGAAACCTTGGAACTTCCGAACAGCCCACACGTTGCAGGAGAATACTAATTCGGTACCGCAATAGCTTTTCTCAGAGGCAGGAAGTGTTCTTCTCGGAAACGAATTGTTTGCACAGCTATAAGTGGTTCGCTCAGGCCTTTTTATAACGGATGTAGTCTTGAAGGGGGAAGACGATCACACCATGACCTCCCTCCTCAAAGGCGTCAAGGTCGACATAAAGTCTGGCGACCCCGGCTCCAATGGAACGGCCAGAAGGGGTTCCGGAAATTGAGATGCCAGATAGTTGTAGGAAGGATGAGTCTGACTAGGGTTGGATTGGTATTTATATGGGAGATGGAAGTTGGTAGGGAGGCTGCACTCGCACCTGCCAAACACAAAAGATAAACAAACCAGTAGCACCTGCCTTATACCACGGCTCCCTTCGTTGCCTCCAAGAAGGCACCGATTTGTGTTTACAACCTACACTCCGACATACTTCCCAGGGTTGACCCGAAGAACGCGATGGCGATCTACCACAGACACCTCACGAACCTTACCCGGGGTGCCGTTCAGAGCTGTCAGAGAATGGAAAGATAGCCCATGACCTGGAGCAGAGGTAGCAGCCCCGTTAAATGATTCAGAGAATCCCGCTAATAACTGCAAGGCCAATGAAAGCGAGAATGAACACAATGTTGAAACGAACAGTGCGCCCCAGGCTGGGCTTGCATAATCGCGCACACGGAAAGAATACGATGAGAGTATATCAAAATTGCGAGAGAAATTAAGCGGGGTCAAAAGGTGATTCAATGCAGCGCAAACTCAGTTATGTTGCCTGCGGGACGCAGCCTGGAACTCCCTCAAGGTGGAACAATCCGGAAGATTGCATCAACACGTTTGCCTCACGTTTGCCAAGAGAGCCTGCTATAAGAAAAGTCACGTCGTGATGATCTTGTCAATGAATTCAAACGAGGATATTACAAAGGCATCATTCTTTCAAGCCGTCAATCCTTCCAAGACCCTTGTCTGCCTGGGTTGGTTTGTTGACAGTGAGACCGCTTTCTCGGCACCAGAAGCCACCTGGTAAACAAGGCATGGCAAATGCTACAGGAACATTCCGAGTAGGATCATACCTTCTCTGAGCTACCCCCGCGGCTGACCGACACGCGGCCGATTCAATGCGCAATGCAAGATACCAGTAGTGTATTTTGGCCCTCCAGTCCACTACCCAGCGTTGACATTATGGATTACGACCATCAGACTCTACACCGTGAAATTATGCACGACCTCTGCGCCATTGATCCAGTCACTGCCAACAAAGTCCTCGACAAGTGTACTGCGAAAGCTATATCTAGTGGATGGTGCCGCGGAATCGAGCTCTTGCTAGCGTGTGGGATGTATGTGGAATCTCGCAAATACCAATACCGATGGCCAGGCTCCAAGATTGGTTGCGGGTTTCGCCATCAAAGAGCTGCGGCATATGTCGACGAGACGGACACGCGGGCTTTCAATTTCTACACCGGCATCTCGTTGATTGCTGCAACAAAGAGTTCAGAGCAAATTTTAAGAAGCACATTGGGGAACAATGCTTCAGAAGTCGTGCATTCCAACTGGTCATGTCTGTCATTTTTACCGCGCTCCATTAGGGCCACGAGCTCGTGGGTCGAAACCACGATACTCTGGTAGATGCCAATCAGTCGGGAATTGTTCTCAGACTCTTTTCTATGCTTCAACTTGTTTATCAAGAGGATGAAGAAACTTGTGGCCGCTTGCGAGCAGTCAGGCAGCCTGTTTTACCAGTCCGGCACTGGTTACATCCAGGACCATATGGAAGGAATCCCACAAAGGCTGCTGTATCGCTTTCTTCCAAGCCAACCCAAAGCTTTCACGTGAAATCCAATCTACTCGAGCAACCTGGAGCTGAGAAAGAACAGCATAATCTCGACTTCTATGAAGTCGTTATCGATGCAACTGGTGAAGACATCTTGGGTAGAGCTGCACGAATTGAAGCGTGCAATTGACCAATTGACCGTGCTACTGGCGCTGACCCCGACGAGGGAAAACTGCGAGATCTACTCGGTAATTTTGATAGTGAAAGAAATCATCCCATGCTTGTGACAGTTTACTGATACTATCTATTCCAGGTCAACCTGCACAATACATGCTTCGGACTGAAATACGGGGTTCTGGCCAACTACGAGACAATCTTCGTACGCCAAGTGCGAGACCAGAAGAACAGAAATTGGAGACTGCGTCGGTAATCATGTGGAACAGTCTCTCTCCTGAGCAACGTGAAGAATTTCGGCAAGTTCGCCGTCTGGGTTGTACCAATTCTGCGTGGTTAGCATGGAGATCTGCATGCTTGGGATGAAAATGAGGGCGACTTGGATCTGGCTCCAAAATTCTTCGACAGGAAGAAAAGCAAGGTAGCTCTAATCACATGTTTCTACCATTGAAGTAAAACTGACGCCGTTGCAGTCCTGTCAGAAAACCCGCAAATACATACCGGACATGGCGGGAAGAATTGTCAGCATCGGTGATATCACCGACAGTGAAAGTTCTAGCAGAGCAATTTCTGGGCCGCTATGGCATTTATATAATGATCGCAGAAGCCCAGCGCACACAAGTACTCAAACGAATTTGATAAGGGGGATGAGTTACGAGCAGACAACAAGACTCGCCTCCATGGTCGGAGGAATTTGGTGTCACGACGCCTACGTCCTACAAAGGGTATCCCCCAAACCCACAGGACTGCTCATTTGTTGCCCGGAAGCGAACACTGCATTGAAGAATGCGAAGAAAAATACGGGAAGCTCGTCGACGCAAATGCCTCGAAGCGCATCCCGTTGGAAGATGCACCTATTCCAGCCGGATTCTGCAGGGCAAATGGGGTTTCGACACAAAAGCCGATGGCCAAGGAACAACCACCCAGTACCGCGCACGATGGGTCATCTGCGGGAACTGCCAGAGGCCTGGTTACGACTACGATGAAGCTTACGCCCCAGTCGCTCTCGACCCGTCAGTGAAACTAATTTTCGCGAAACAGGCCCAGACAACCTCGGCGCATGTCAGTGGGATATTTTCAGCTGGACATGAACGAGTACGGGACCGCAGGCTACGAAGACATCTAGTGTGTTTGAATTTCGGAGGAAATAAAGTTTTTAGGTGCAGGAGGTTAGCCAGACTTGAAATATGGCTAAAAGCTTTCCATTTGAGCAATATAGGAGACGACCTCCTCCAGGAAACAACATTTTTCACTTGGGGGTCATGGGGCTTCCATGTCGCGTATGTGGGAGGCTGGCTAGACCAAGAAAATGCCAGCCACTTTGTGTTAACTCGTTTCCAAGAAAACAACATTTGTCACTTGGACAACATGGGCCTTCGATGCCGCGTGTGTGGCAGGCTGGCTAGACCAAGAAAAGGTTGGCCACAACATCCCGCGAAACGACAATGTCATTTTTCTCGACCAGAAGTTTGAAATAAATTTCATGAAGTGCCTTGGAGGCTCTGTGGCTTTCGCAAGTTGGCAATTGAAAACATGAAGGAGGACCAAACCTTTGAAATATTGGATTGGAGCTCCCCAGATTTTCGCACGATTGGCTCAACAAATTGTGCAGCTCATTGACAAGCTGGCAGCAGTTCAGCGTGATAGATATCGATGTACAGCAATCGAGCACAGCATCCGGAATTTTTAAGTCGATAGCGGAAGGCCAGTCAGCAGACAAAGTGGCCTGGATTGAATCCGTTGCTGTTTTGACACTCATGTAGGAACCACGTGTGTTGTAGCCCTTAGCTAGTTCTCTACACCCGAATATGACGAGCATCTTCGCCCTTATCACCATAATCTACGTATCATGTAGCATTCAGTCTTCCTATCACGAGCCATGTGTGGATAGAATCAACCAAGCCTCTTACCACCCAGGCATGAAGTAACATGCGTTTTGTGAAGTGCCTGATTTTGAGCTTTTCGGAGCTTTTCGTGGTGGCTTCGGTCTTCGGGGGGAGTCTTGAAGACCCATCCCGTTCCTTACCACTTTGTGTTCATGCCACTAGCAGATAGCTTCACCATCAATACCAAAAATTACTCAAAGAAACAAGTACTAGTAACATCTATATTTTTGTGAGGTAACTAAATTTTAGGATGTTCCCTCTATTTATATAAATGTAGGGTTTATGGTCCTTGCGGTCCACTGTGGATATTGAGATATCAGGACCACAATTTCCAGTCCTTAAAAATCACTCGCTCAACCACACCGCTACGGTCCTATCACAATCTAAATGTAGACAAAAGAATTTAAACATATTTAAGCAGCAAAACCAGTGGCAATTGGAGAGGTAGAGAGAGCGGTGGCGTGAGCGGTGTGGCATTAACATAATTCGTCCCCTGGCCGCTAGTTATCATCCGCCATATATCTCCCTCTCGATTCTTCTGTGATCTTCTTTCTTCCATTTGTCACCCGTGGACTTCATTCGTATTGACCCCCAACCCGAGGCATCTGAGAGAAAAGGGCCGAAATTCCCGTTCCAATCAAAACTCCGTCTTCTAATTCAAAATTAAAACACCGACACAGATTCATCTGACCCAAGCGATCTCCACCAAAATGTTGGAAGGGTTTCTCGCCTCGGTGCCACCGTCACCTGAGTGGGCTACCTTCTGGGGCAGTCTATTTGAAGGCGTCCTATCCGCTTTCTCAGTCTGGCTCATTGCTCAAATCGGCATCACGAGGACCTACGCTATTCAATTAATCTGCTCGCTATGCATCCATCTTGTCCTATTTCTTTTCGCTATTTTTTTTCGCTTACCAAGATGGATGGCCCAAAATGGCTATAATGGAATGCCTTGGGAGAACGATTGTTCTTTCTGTGTTTGGGGCAATTAGCCATAAATACTTTTATAGACAGGACCGAACACGTATGTATTTTCATTCGCCGAAATGTTAATTCTTCTACTGACTTTTACCTACAGAGATAGGAAGAAGGGCAAGTCAGAATGAGAAGTAGGCGGAAGGATATCAATAATGCCGTGAAGTATGAATATTCTTTCAAATATGATCATTTATAGGACCACTCAAAATTATCTTCACCTCTTGTTTTCTCCGTTTCCTTTCCCTTGGGCTAAATATAACTAGTAGTAATAGGTGTGGTTTAAACCCCTGGTTTTAATAAGGCAAAGTATGAGTCGGGTGCGCAAAGTATGTATGGGACTCGGAGATATATATTTTTAGGTACGATTCCAAGGTTTGTACCTAGGTAGACAAATTCTTGAAACTTGCTCAGCAGCACGCCATCATGATGCTACTAGTAAATCTGAATCTCTTGAATCATGTTGCTTTGAAAGAAATTGTGTTATAGAAGCTATCATAATGCAAGATGGTCGCTTATCCTTCCAAGTCTTTAGTCGGCCAATCCCCATGGCTGAGTACATATTCCGTCTCGGAGAATAAGTGGGGTCTCGGCATTTGGGTTGAATCCTTGTTCACTAGATCCCGACATCTACCACGGTTCCAATGTCGGAATGATCTTTATGTGTTGACACCATACATAAAACCATGATACCTCAGAATCCATCGGTCGGCTTCTCCCATTCAAAAGCTAGGCTTGAATTTGCTTTTTCCCACGGAAAGGAAATGTTTTCCGAAGGGTTTGTAGCGCCTTTGGATTGCCCCGCACCTCCGCCCAATATGGACTGACGTTCTTGGCCTTTTTTCGGAGATATAAGGAGTCAGGACATGGTGTCATTCCTAAGATTGTGCACGCCAATCAATCATCCGCTTTGGCTACTTTCACTCCTGATTAGCCTGGGAATTGCATTCACGCAGTCTGTTCGAGGCTCATCTTGAATCTGCCCCCGTTGCTCTCCCTCTTGTCTCCGGTTATCCCAGCGCCGTGAATACGAACTGCTTCCAATGTTACGACTCGAACCAGAGAATTATCCTACCTAGCTCTAAATCCGAGTCTGTCTTGGCTCATCTATCTAGAAGTGTTCTTTGAGCGAAGAGAATTGAATCGGCATGCCGGAAAATAACGTGGCTGCTGATCCCTCCGGGGATCTCGACGCAAATGCCATTGAAAAGAACATATTCGTCGATACGACCAACCTTCGATATGAAGCGACGCCAATCGATCCGGAGATTGAGAAAAAAGTATTGAGGAAGATAGATTTGTTTCTCATGCCTGCAATGGTGATTGGTACGACTCACCTTGAAACCACGCCTTTTGTGCGGGAACTGATATCTTACAGGCTATGGTTTAGTCTACTATGATAAAGTAAGCCTTCTCTATGGCTCTACAGTTAATACCAGGGACTAATTGAGCTGCCCTCAAGGCACTTCTTGGCAATGCTGTTCTTTTTGGAATGACCGCAGACCTTCAACTCTCTGTCATCGATACCTCCGTCAACCCCCCCTATAACCGACACTTCTAGACTGAGCTGGGCAACTTCTATTTTCTATTTTGGCCAATTGGTAGGCTCGTATCCTCTGACATACATGCTGCAATACTTCAACACAAGATATGTTCTTGGCCCAACAGTTCTATTGTGGGGGATCACATGTGCCGCCACAGCAGGTGTCACTACTTGGCAAGGCCTTTTTGCACAGAGATTTTTTCTAGGTACGAAAAAAAACCGGCAGTTAAATTCTCATTTTCTTACATCGCTCCTTGCCAGGTTTCGCCGAATCAATTATTCCGACCTGTTTCATGGTAACAGTCAGTGGTTTTTATACCCAGTCAGAGCAGGCCCTACGGCAAAGCTGGTGGTGGTCAGGAACTGCCTGGTTCACCATTATAGGGAGCGCCATTAGTTATGGGTTCGCTCAAGTGGAAGGCTCATTGCATCCGTGGCAGTATGTCTTCATTCTTGCTGGAGCGTTGACGTTCCTTTTCGGAATTTGGTGTTTCTTCCTCCCAACTTCGCCTGTTAATGCATGGTTCTTGGACCCGGAGGAGCGAATCGTGGCTACAGAGCGTCTAAGAACTGGTCAAACTGGATTGAACAACAAGAAAATCAAATTATCACAAGTCAAGGAATCCGTGTTGGACATCAAGCTTTGGCTGATATGCATAACGATGATCTCTGCGTGAGTTGGACAATCCGGCTGTTAGGTTTTGGTCTAACATGTGAAAAAAAAGATACACCGTGAACGGTGCGGTATCCGGCTTTGGCCCACTGATCGTGTCAACGTTCGGATATTCTACCTTGGAAAGCATTCTCTTCCAATTTCCCCTGGGTGGTATAGCAGGAATAGGAATTATTGGCACCGGTTGGCTATGCTCCAAGTATCGCAATATCAGAGTACTGTCCTTGGTTATATGCTGCCTGCCAGTAATAGCCGGATTCATCATGATCTGGAAATCAGATTGGGGTTACAAACCGGCTGTACCAGTCGCCGGTTATTCACTGCTTGGGTTTTTCGGCCCCGTTGTGGCTCTCACCATTTCGCTCGGAGCTGGAAATGTTGCAGGTAGTACAAAGCGCAGCTTCACGGCATCGGCTATATTTGTGGCTTATTGCGTGGGCAACATTATTGGTCCCCAGTTGATACGCAGTCAGACTAAGGATCGGCATTACCCAGAGCTTTGGACCGGTTTGATTATTTGGTCAGTTATCCCATGCATTACTCAATGTTTACTTTTATTGATAAACTAATATTAAACAGCTACTGCATCACAATAACGTCTGCATCTCTTCTCTATGTTCTTTGCTCGCGCGAAAATAAACGTCGGGAGTCGCTTGCTTTGACAGAGTCCGAGCGGGTGCGATTAGGATTTGAGGATTTGACGGACAAAGAAAATGTTTATTTCCGATATGTGTACTAGGCTTGTTTATTTCAAAGGGAAGTTTCATGTACCAGTCCAATATAATTTGTTGGTCTTGAGCTTCTCTTACCAGTTAGTATAGACCACTCTCCATTGATATGATTTCAAAAGCAACTCCTTACTTAGATGGCTCTTTATGAACGTAAACTATTTCAATTAATTGATGCCCGCTACTAGTTGTATGTATGATGTTGGACTTAAGTGAATTTTTATAGTGGAATGCCGGAATCGAAAGAAGGGAATGTAGATCGTGATACCCCATAAATAAATAAGAAGCCCCCACGGTTAGTGTAGGTGTGTCGAACAAACCTCTTTTACCAGAATTTTTCTGCCTGTCGAGCCTCATTTTCAGAGCTCTTGGTAATTCTCGTCATGAATATTATAACTCTTGTCTTAATCGCTACCCTTGCGCTTCTCACAAACGCCGCATCCACGAATTCGGGTGCCCAATTCAACACCCACAGTCCACAGGAATCATGTATAGCAGGTATGCTACCTTGAAAAAAGAAAGAAAACCCCAGTTTTCCAAAAACGAGTCGATTTCTCAAAACATTTAATAACACAACCATACGATACAGTTGGGGAACCCTGCGAGGCGGGCAACGAATGCTGCAGCCACAAATGTATCAATGCGAAATGCGGAGCGGATGATAATCAAGACACTCGCTGATTCCAACTTTCGAATGTATAATGTAATAGAATTAAACTTATTTCAGATCTACTAGTCTTAAATCTTCCCTAACCAACGAACTTCCCATGGACCTCGGCATCATTTGATAACCGCTGACTAATCACCGAACGCGGGGATTCGGCTTTCTCCAAGGGGACTCGGAATGATGAGTGATCTCCTTTCCAAATTATTCCCTGCCAAACTAGCATTGCGAACCATAGCTCTACTCTGGCTCAATCCAATCTAAAGACTAAAATGGCGGTGCCACAGATTACTCTTTATGTTGACATTGTCAGCCCCTTTGCATACATCGCGTTTCACGTATTAAAGGTAAGTTATTTTCCTCTTCTCTCCAACTTCACTCCTTGATTTGACTATGACGTCTAACGCGAACAATTAGAACTCGCCCACCTTCGCAAAATGCAATGTGGCTTATGTCCCGATTTTTCTTGGGGGGGGTTGATGCATGCTTGTAACAATACTCCGCCTATAAATATCAAAAGTACGTTTGGCTGCCAAGCACAGATTAGTTCTCTGTCTTGGAATCTCATACTTATCCCCTTCCTTTGATTACTGTTTCTTACTGACAGCTCCTACTAGACAAGGATAAATGGATGGGTCTAGAGCGCATGCGATGGGCAAAGTATTTCAATGTCCCGATGACAGAGAAATTCCCCGAAGGATTTCCCCCGAAAACCCTCGCGATCCAGCGCGCTCTGTGTGCCATTTCTCAAAGGTTTCCTGAGAAGCTCCCGGCTGTCATTGAAGCGGTTTACCGTTCTTTCTGGGTCGAAGAGAACACCCGGATCGGAGATGTTGAGGGATTTGCCCCCGTGTTTGAAACGGTTCTTGGTCAAAAGGCGACACAGGAGGTGCTGTCAGCGGTATGTTTCTCGATTTTTGTTCTATGTTTTGGTTTCTTGGCGGTCTTTTTTTTTTCTAACGTTGTTGCAGATGACCCAAGGCGAGGTTAAGGCTGCCTTGACTGCTAATACGGACAAATCGTTCAAGGAGGGCGCATTCGGTCTTCCGTGGTTCCAGTGCACGAATGCTGAGGGCAAGACTGAGGGATTCTGGGGTATTGATCATCTTGGAGTCGTGGCTGACTTTTTGGGATTGGATCGCAGTCGTGAGTCGGGCTTTAGGGCTCTTCTCTGATTTCGTTGTCTCAAGTTGTATAGTAGTACGACTAATGCCAGCGGCCTTTGAGGTCCCTGACTCGGTTTCTTCCGCTAATTTGTACAAGTGTCAAAATGTTATATTGTATACATTCCCAAGAAGTAGACCTATCCTACAAACAGTCCCAAGATCGCTCAGCGAACTGAAGCTCCATCCATGCAGGGACATCATATATTCATAACCGTAATATTACACCACCCCTCGATATCCTTTAATTTTTTGAGGGCGGCGGCTTCGTGCTCATATGTTTCTCTCGCAAGAAGTCGCAAATGCGTTCGGTATCTAACCGGTCAACACGCTGTTGTTCAGCAGCGTCCACAGTGGGATCGATAGCTAGACCATGGAGAGAAAGATCGTTAGCAATGCGAGACTAGTCTATTTAAAGCAACAGAAAAGGTCGTATAGTGTACCATTTCCGCCATTTTCATTCGTACCCCGGTCAAAGACCGTATTTGCGCTTGTACGGTGTGAATCGCCTCCTCCGCAACGGGGAGAACAGTTTCCTTCGCGCCTTGGACCTTTTCGCCAGCAACAGATGAGACTTCACTGCCGATTTCGGATATGGACCGGCCACCCGTGACGGAGTTGAGCTGTTCTTTCACGTTCGCAAGGACACCTTCGGACTCGGATTGGTGCGACTCCGAGTCAGCGGGCAGGACGTCATGATTTCTCTGTTCGGCGGGGCACTGGGAGTTTGTCGAGAATGAGTCGCTCGAAGAGCTCATAGTGGTTCTGATCGGGATATATTGGTAAAATAAATTAAAAGGAAGAGAAAGGAAACCCTATCCAGAAGATGCAGCAAATGCTAAGGCGAAAGGGGATGATGATAGGGCTGAGTGGACGTAGGGCTGACGGAACTTTAGTAGGGTGTAGGCAGGCAGGACTGGGGTATGACATCGATGCAAGGCGTGGGCCAGGGTTTTGCGACGATCCATTGATCCAATTACTAGGCAGAAGGAATCTCTCATCTCGGCTGAGATCATGGCGCGTGTTTTCCTAGGAAGACGTGGAGACGAGAGGATCTCGCAAGGCCAATGTGCCTGGCGATGACGTCGTTGGACCCATCGGGCACAATCTGTGGTTAAAAGGTGGCCATGTTTGTGAAAACTGATCATCTGCAGTCGTGTGAGAGTCAGGGAGGTGATCTGAGATCTATTGGCGACGGCGAGAGAGGAGAGTAGTTCATTTCCTTGGAATTCTGGTTGTGTGGTGGTAGATGCGAAAGGAAGGTCTCCATGCGACGCGGGCAGAGGAAGAGGGACATACAAAGAGAAGGCAGATATATCTACCAGGGCACAGGGCCATTGATTATTATTAGTATTCTGATATCAATATAGTCTGAATATATTCATTCCATACTCGTATATTTATATTTATATTTAATTACTTAATACTCCTATACTTACCTCAAAAGTTGTCCTCGTATACTTTGTGCCCCACCGCCCCCGCCAATCCGTCCCCGGTGTATCTCTGCATTTCCGCATTTCTGCATTTTCAACCTCCAACACTCCTACACCCTCCGAGTCCTCACACCCATCCTCACCTCCACCATGGCCCCCATCCCAGTGACAATAGTCACCGGCTTCCTAGGCTCAGGAAAAACAACCCTCCTCCTAAACCTAATCCCCCAACTCCCACCAACCTACCGCCTCGCCCTATTAAAAAACGAATTCGGCGACATCGCCGTCGACTCCCAACTAGCAACAACGCAATCAATCTCGGGAGTCCGCGAACTCCTCAACGGCTGCATCTGCTGCAATCTCGTCGGCCAACTGAGCGATGCGCTTGAACAATTACGCACCGAGGTTACGCCAGACCGAATCGTCATCGAAACGAGCGGGAGCGCATTTCCCGCAACTCTCGCTATGGAAGTGAATCGACTCGCGCGCGAGGGACCCTCCGCCGGGCACTTTGTGCTTGATGGTGTTATTAGTGTGATTGATGTTGAGAATTGGGAGGGGTATGAGGATACTTCTTATACGGCGAAGATTCAGGCGAAATATACGGATTTGATTGTTTTTAATAAGTGGGAGGTTGTTCCGGAGCAGAGGTTTGATGTTTGTCTTGATCGGGTTGGTGATTTGGAGATTGAGACGCCGTGGGTTAAGTCCATAAAGGGTGTTGTGGATAAGGATGTTTTGCTTGGGATTGACGGGGCGTTGTTTGCGAAGGAGAATGGTGAGAAGGATGCTGTTGCGCAGAATGGCGATGGTCATGGTCATGGACACGAACATAAACATGATCACCAGTCAGAGGTGGAAGTGTTGTCGGTTCTTTTGAAGGGATCGACTCCCGGAAAAACGATTGATGTTGAGGCGTTGGAGAACCTGCTCTCCACTGTGCCGAGGGAGGAGGTTTATCGCATCAAGGGTATCATCCGCTCCTCTGGGCAAAAGCCGCCGGCTGAATCTTCGGATGATCTCCAGATGAGGAATACCGGTGATGAGGCTAGTCGGTACTATATTCTCAACTGGGCTTTTGGGAGGTGGACTGCGACACCGTCGACTGTTGTTGCGGAATCTGCTGATGAGACGGTCGTTGCGAGGTTGACTCTCATCTTGGCTCGGTATGAGTCAACTAAGTGGAAGAAGAAGCTTGAGACTGGCGGTCTGGTTAAGGCTGTTGAGGATGGAGAGGCTGAGTTGGTTGTGAACCGACTGGTCTGAACTGGAGCTGGCTCCGATTCGCATTTACGTGTTGGGCAGGTTGATGATACCAGGTTCCTAGAATAGATGATAGACATGATGATGTACAAAGACATGAAGAGATGGAATATAAGAGAAAGCAGGCCTGTCGATAACTAGGCCATCTATTTGACATACCCTCTCAAAATAGACTGAAGGCGAGAAAATGCCCAGGTGCTCCATAGAACCTTGAACAGTCTAGCTGTTCGACTAGTAGGAAAGCTCATGATTGAATGCATATGGATGCTCTACTTGGAAGCGAATGACCGGCGCTGAAAGAGTAAATTCTTAACGCAGCGTAGAATCTAATCTATCGAATCTCCAAGAACGTCTATGGAGGGGAAGCAACGGCAACGCTGCGGTGGACGCGTAAAGCAAAAGAACAAACACTTGATTAAGAGCGTTGGGAGATATATCAGAGCCAAAAGTATTTTAGGCCAAAAACATGCATAGCGAATGAGAGCGAATGAATGACCGCAGTAAATGCGAAGGCAGAAACGAAAACAGACCAAATGGTCATGGGAAGCGAAGACCAATTCAATTAGATTAGTAGTCAAGAAGCGCCGAGGCACCAGTCTCGCTCGAGATGTAAATCACCTCGTGGTTGTCGGAGAATCCATTGAAGCGAGTGGCACTGCACTTGGTGTAAGCACCCATCTCCTCGAAATACAGCCAATCGCCGGTGTTCAGCAGACCGGGCAGATCAATGCGCTCGGTGATGACATCGATGCCGTCGCAGGTGGGGCCCCAGATGGAGTACGCGATGGTTTCCGAGTCTTGCGACTTCGGAGAGGCGTTGTCTGCGGACAGGAGGACCTGAGCAACGGGGTGCTGGTGGTCGAAGATGATGTTCGAGAAGTTGCCGTACACACCGTCATTCAGGTAGAGCATGTAGGCGTCGCGTGAAGGGTCCGCGGGGTCAGGGACATCACGACGAGCGATGACATTGGCGGCCAAGGTAAAGGCATTCGCAACATAGTAACGACCAGGCTCCGCAATGATCCGAATGTTCGGCGGGAAGTACGTTTCCAGAGCGTCGCTCAGGATACCGGAGAACTTCTCGAAGGTGTCACCGCTGAAGCCACCGCCCACGTCCAAGGTGTGCATATCGTGGCCAATTTCGGAGGCTTGGTCGAAAACCAGGCGGGCATCCTCGACAGCTTTAAGGAAAGCACGCGGATCCTCGGCACCGGATCCGACGTGGAAGCTAACGCCGACGACCTTGAGTTCGAGTTGGTGGGCCAGCTCGAGCAGCTGGGGGGCGATATCCATGGATGCACCGAACTTCATGCTCAGACGGCACAAGCTGGTAGAGTCATCGGTCAGAATACGGAGGTACAGCTCAGCCTCAGGGAACGTGGCCTTGATCTTGTAAAGCTCGTCGGCGTTGTCAAAGGTCATCTGCTTCACGCCAACCTCCTTGGCATAACGAAGGTAAGACTTAGTCTTGCAGGGCTGGGCGTAGATAATACGGCTTGGATCGATGCCCGTCTGGAGGGCGAGATCGATCTCCGCCTTGGAAGCGCAGTCGAATCCATTACCCAGCTGGGCCATGAGACGAAGCACCTCGGGGTCCGGGTTGCACTTCACAGCTGGAGAAAGATGTTAGCAAGAGGGGTTCGGCGATAAATACATCAAGATGTGGCAAAAGGGTCCTACCATAGAAAGGCTTGACACGGCCCAAATTCATCTTCCAGCGCATATGCTGGCGGTAGACCTCCCCCATATCCGCCACATAAAACGCATCCTCCTCTCCAGGGTCGCAATTGTCCACATCCACCTCGGCGGCCCTCTTCTTCAAGATTTGTAGGACAAGATCCTTGGCAGTCAACTGAGATTGCAACACATCATGCCCGCCATGATTGACGAGGGCGGAGTGATCACGACGAAAGTCGTTTTTGATGGTGCATATTTCAGCAGGGGAAACACATGCGGTTGGTGCCATCACTGTGCAGCTGTGACTGAGCACGATAAGTTCCTTTTTATTAAGAAATAAAAAAAGAACTAAGTTTGGTAGGTTTCAACAGTAATACAACTGCGTGTTTTAGGGAGGACGAAAAGTGTCACAACCGTAGTTGACTGGACCAAGCCTCCTAGACCCTTCCTCCTTAAGAGGAAGAACCTGCGAAGAAGTCCTATGCGGCAGCTCAAGAATTGAGGGAATAATCTCAGAGGGCGTCAAGGTGACGGAAAAAGGCGCACCGGACGGAAGTTTAGAAAAGGCAAGCAGGAGGTGGAATGTTGTTAAGAGTGTCGCGCTGACGTCGAGTGGAGACAATTTGGCTGAGAAGTAAAAGCGAGGCTGCGGGAGCCGTGGTGACCTTGGAGTGCCTTTGAAAAGACCAAAGGCAAGGTCAAAGCTAGAAAATTGGAAGAAGTCTAGTAGTCACCGGTCCAAATTAGCACCAGAATCACAACCAGACGGGGAAAGTATGAGTGAAAAAAATGGACGGTTGAGGGGGAGGAATTGGGCTCAGAGTTTTAAGTTGGGGGGAGACGAGGGCTTATTAGGGCACGACGTCGTTGGTTGTGGGAAAAAGGCGCACGGGCACAATTCCCAATTGAGGGAATACCGTAGCAACGACGGCAGCAGCTGGAACCAGAAATCACTCACCTGGGGAACCCAAAAGGAAGCTTGCGGGAGAAAAAAAGAAGAGGTAGAGGGGGGACTTGTTCTCCGGGGAGAAAACGGTGCGGGCTTGGGGCGGTGAAGAGCGGAAGAAAAAAAAATGCAGCGAGAGCAGGCTAGGCCAGGCCAAACCCAGCATAGGCAACTGTGACTGTAACTAGTACAAACATGTACATCCCGCGGCCTAACCTTGATATTATGCGCGATTTCCAGGTTCCAGCCATCCTACCGAGTAGTCTAGGGTTTTGGTTACTTTTGGACTTTTGCATTTGATATGTTTGCCTCTACTCCATACAGCTTCCCCCCCCCGGCAACATGCATGGGATGCGGCAATTGTCCCTGCGGATCACCAACCATACATCTCAGATAGTGTCCGGTTTCTTTAAGGTTCCCTGTAGCTGATTCCCTCGAAATATGCGGTGTGGTGGCCTCACAGCTGTCGGTGGCGCAGGTCAGTCCCCACTCAATCAAAGGATCAAGCCCTCTGGATGTGATCCTCTTTCTCTTTTCTTCCCCCTTCTGTCAAAGCGGACCGTACTGGATTCTGCGGCCAAAATGGACGAGTAAGTGGTTTTGTGCCTGCAGGATTGGCAAGCTGGAAAAGGCCCCCGCGATGACGCACGGTGGACACAATTCCGTGCAGCACGGACCAGTCACACGAGCCTGTCGCTTGTCTCCCAATGGTCACCGCTATGGGCACCCCATTACCCCTTCCGTTCTATTACCCACATCTACTCGGCCCGGCGCCGGTAGCTGTACATTTGAATCTCGTCCGACTCATCATGTTGGGTAGGTAGCTTCACGTTTGCCTGCTGGGAAACAAAGCCGGCCGTTGCCATCAATTCGAAAAACACAGCCTCGCTCTCGTGTCGACGCTTCAGAGCCACTAGAATCAGGGCGTCCGGGGAACTCCGAACCAGTCGCTCCAGACAGGAAACCAGGGCTGGCTGGCTATCCGAGTTATAAGTACAGTCGGAGACCAGGATCAGGTCCAATGGCTTGTCGCACAGTTCGGATGGCGGCTCAGCCCAGTCGAGAGTCTGGAATTTCGCGACCGAGTTGGCCTTGGGCTTGGATTGGTCTAGGTTCCGCTGAACAATCTCCTCCGCTTCAGGCATATCTGTCAAGAGAACTTCGCAGTTTTCTATCATCGTAGTCAACCCGATACCTACCATTCCGCAACCAGTGCCCAGCTCAATGACCTGGAGTGGCGAGCTTCGAGGGCTGGTGAGAAGCTGGTTGAGGGCAGGCATGCCGACGTCAACACCCTTGGTCACATCGTTGAGGAACATGATCGACGCGAGGGCCGCATCCCTGATCCCGTTTATTTAGCGAACAAACTCGAACAGGCAATTCATACATAGTTTTAGCAACTTGAACATACGTATGTAGAGCTCAGCGGAGAGATAGCTTACCAAAGGTGTCGCGCAATGCTATTACCCGTCTCTTCCCAGATCTTAAATCGAGTACTCCGCTCATCACCAACATAGAACTGGCGCTCAACCAACTTCGGCGCAGCCTTAGACTTAGAAAATGGCGCACTGAATCCCGCAACTACCAAAGGAGCTTTATCGGTCTTGAGTCGATCTTCCCCAATCTCGAGAACCTGGGCCTTGAAACAGGCCTCGCCATCACCGACCATGTTGGCCGTGAATGGACCCATGATGACGGGCAATTGGCGCGAACCAGCCTCCCAGTCATCCAGCTGCTGGGCTTTAATTTGAAGCTGGGGATGGCGCACCCATGTGAAGCATAGCTCCGCATCCTCGGCGAGAAAGTCGTTGCCCAGGTCATTGGTGATGGTGATCAAGGCGATTATATAGTATTCGTACCCGCTGCCTTTCTTCTTCTTCTCCCATTTGGGAGGCTTGAGGTATCGAACGTAGTAGACCATTTTGCTGGGTTGGTTTGTGTTTATTTCTTGGATCGCGGAGTTTGGTTCAATCTGTATTCCCTTTCTGGAACCCCACGGGCACGTGCCTCGCCTGCAGAGCGGGACAACCACGTGATTATGGAGTATAAGAGGGTTCATTCTTACATTTTTGTCAGTTCTTTGGATTAGTTGCTCTAAAGTTGTTGTTGATATGTAATAAAAACTATTATATTTAAGAACTGTTTTGAAGTAGCATACTCGCAATCTTGAATATCGCAATAGAGAAGACTTGTATTTGCTTTCTGAGCTGGCGCCCGAACATGATTATTGATGCCGATGACAATGTTGTCTTCAGCAGAAAATGTGATAAATTCTCCACCAGATAGAGCGTCTGTGACGATCAGCAGCCTCCTGTTCAAGTAAATCATCGACATGAAAAATGCGACATCCAGTGACCAAATCCATTTCATGCACTTGAACAATCTTGGTTCTATACCAAAACTTGTACGATCCATAGAGAAACAAAACCACAGGCGCAGCCAAATAATAAGAAAAAAAGGTACTTGCTCGAGAACTCGCAGTCATCTCACCATAACCAGATGGCCAAGCCGCAGTCCAAAACTGTGCGATCAGCACGAGGCAATTAAAGCCAAATCCGACCCAAGATCCAATCACGCCAGACTGAGAACGAAATGGCAACTCATCCAAATGCCGGCCCCGGTATTTCCAAGCCTGTCGAAATCGGACATGACACAAGCAAATAGAGCCCCAGACAAAGATCTCACCGAGGCCCACAATTGCCATTAACCACTCGAAGACAAGTGTCTGCTTCTCCGATGCGGCGAGGAAGCAAAGCAATCCAAAGGCGGATGTCAAGGCTATGGCCAATATAGGGCGGCCCTTGCGGTCAATATATGCCAAAAAGCGAGGCGCTTGGCCCTGTTCCGCGAGAGAAGATAAAGTGCGAGATGCACCGTAGACGGAGGAATTGCCAACAGATAAGACGGCAACCAGAATTACCACATTCACCACGGACGGGAGGCTAGATATACCTACCAAAGGAGTCGAGTTAGCTTTTTAAAAAAAGTTTTAGAAGAATCGAAGTATACATACCCGCATCCTCGATCGCAATGACAAATGGAGAGGCATGTGCATCAGCACTAGAAGATCCACTAACAAGTCTTGAATCTGTATATGGAACCAAAAGTCCGATTATAATGAGCGAGACGATGAAGAATAACAATATCCTCCAGAACACTTGCTTAGTAGCTTTTGGAATGGCTTTACGAGGATTTTCGGTTTCCGCAGCTGTAAGCCCCACGAGCTCAGTTCCTGCGAAGGCAAAAGCGGCCGTGACAAAGACATTGCAAAGACCCTTGAAACCATTATTAAAAGCCCCAGGGTTATACCAGTATTGACCACCAATATAATGACCCTGAGGCCCACCGCCACAATTCAGAATGATTCCCAGAATTCTAGATAGCATTAGCCACGCTCATGGTCGATTGTAGGTAAAGGGTAGTGTTGATCTGGAAAGAACTCACATAAATCCAATAATCGCAATAATTTTAATTATCGAAAGCACAAACTCGGCCTCGGCGTATCCCTTAACGCCAAAGAGATTGATACTGATAATCACCAACCAAAATATAGCGGCCCACACAGCACTAGAAACACCAGGATTCCAGTACTCGATCGTGATTGACGCGGCGACGATTTCCAATGGCAACGTAACTAGCCAAGAAAAAACGTACATCCAGCCCATAGCGAACCCCCAAGCCGGATCCAGAAATCGGGTGGCATATTGTGCGAATGAACCGCTGACAGGGAAAATAACCGCCATCTCGCCAAGGGCATTCATCATGCAGAATAGCATGCAGCCGATTAGTGTATAGGCGATGAGGATAGAAGCTGGTCCTCCGGTTGCTAGCGTACTACCAGAGCCCACAAAAAGACCAGTCCCTGAGGCTAGTTAGTGGGCTTGACAATGGAGAAAGGTACCAGTAGCTGTGATTTTTCTTCTTACCAATAGAGCCGCCAATTGCAATCATTTGAACGTGACGGGTTTTAAGACGGCGTTGGAGCGGTGGCTCTGGAGCATTATGTGGCCCATTTTCAAGTTCATGAGTTTTATCCAAATCCTTTGTGAATGACTGGGGATCTCTTCTGAAACTGTCGATAATACGTTGGCCGAATTGTGGTCGGATTGATGAAGAGTTACCCTCGGAAGCGACGACAATGGCGTCTCCTGGATTTATTTCTGGCTTCGAACTTTTGTCCGCCATACTGGCCAGCTTCGTTATAAAGTATAGCGTGAAAATTTGTGATAGTATGTTTTGAAACAAGGAAATATGACTTGAAATATTGATTGATTATATGGATCACTGAAGGCAAAGTGAAAGATCAAATGATAGCAAAAGCCCCAAAGTGCTTATAGATTGGGGATTTTATTACGCAAGATATCGGCAATGAAGATGAAATCACTTGACCCCGCATAAGATAAAGCTTACGCATTCTGGACTAGCCCTCCGCATTTGAAGTTTTAGCGCATGTAGCATTCGGCTATTTCCCGCCGGGCAGCGCCTTATTGAAGGGCCTGTGCACCCCAAAAAAGCTTCTAGCAGCCAAATTATGACTCAGGGGAACTATATTAGGTACTAGGCGATTGTCAAATTTATGTTCCTTTATCTTTGTATCTCAATATGGAATAAAATCTAGCCAATCTGCGCTATTTACCTCGTCTATAGATCCACCCATATGCTCGTCAACGTAACCTACAATTGAAGGCCTAGAGCGATCATAGACCTCCCACCGTCGTTCCAGAATCTCCAGTGCTCTTATGATGTTGCGAATGTGTAGAGTGAAATATAATTCCTGGAGGAGCTCTTTGACGAGTTTCCTGTCCTGACCGACGGCCTCGCAACTGCAAACTTGGTTAGTATTTCATGTAGAATGCTCAAATTGATCTCGCTTGTATTCGCATCTAAGTCACTTACCCGGCAGTAAAGATAGGTGTGGTAAGAAGAATCCAAGGTGAAAGCGTGGTTACCGGAGTGATCGCAGATACAGCATCCAGAATTGCTCTTACACAACCCTGAACTTCAGAAGTGAACGAAGGGAGACATTTTACCCTTCGATAAAGATGTATGAGACTTGCGTATTGATAGGCGGTATTGCAAGCTTGAAATTGAACAGTCATATCAGGATCATGCAGCACATCGCCAGGAAACTTGAGGCCAAAGTCTGCATCACGGCGAATCATGTACCTGATTGAGGTTTCGAGCTGATCCGACTTCTCTTCAACGTCACTAAAAGATTTTCTTGATTCGGTGTCGAGATCCGTAGCCTCTTCCCGATGCATCAAAAGGCCAATCTCCATAAGTACTATATTGAGGTCTGAGGAGTATCCGGTATACGTATCAAAGAAGTAGCTTTGATCGTCTTCTCGGATGGCGGAATTCGCAGAGGCCAGCTCCGACACTTTTCCCACCTCGGTGGTCGCGGTCAAAGCCTGTATTGACCAGAACCATCGAGACCAGAGCCAGAAACTGTATTCCGACTCATTGAAGTTTATCCTCGATGCAATCTCATTGAACATAGCTCCTGCACCGTTGACATGGACGCGCCAGGAGGAATTGGCGCGACCGGAAAATATTTCACAATGGCATAATGTCCGGATTGTATGGAGGAGAGGTTGGACTGGATAGCCAGGCGTCTCAAGATCTCGACGTAGACATCGCATGCTTGAAGCAATCAGATTTGCAACGAGATCTTCGGGCATAAATTGAGCCGGAAGCTCATTCAGCAGGGTATAGCGATGGAGAGCGGCGAATGCCATCGTAGCATAGAGTAGCGAGTCGGATTGGTGAGTCATTGGGAGAATGGTCTGACATATTTGGTCTCGAATATGGGCGGAGCTTGATATCTTTGACGTTTCGGTGATGAAGTGATGGAGGAGTTGTCGACTCGTTTTGGTCAATGCTGGGGAAGGCTGTTCAAGTTGTAGGTTGAGAGATGGAGCAGAGGTCTTGCGTCCCCAGCTCTGCTCGTGTAGTAGTACAGACTCATACTGAGAAGATTTGCCAAAGCCGCTTTGCACGTCGAATGTGAATTCATCTCTTCCTTCTTGGGAAGATGATTTTCCCTCCCTTGGTACGCGGCCATTCCATTTCAAGGTAATCTTATATTCACATGACACTTTGGCATTTGAACATCGCCCGCAACTCGGCTTCTGTTCATCGCATTTTTGACGGCGACGTTTACATCGAACACATCCGTGATATGAGCGTTTGACTGGCGTGGTCATCTTCAGGTTGAATTGGACACCCCGATAAAAGCTGGCCCATACCCCGCGTGCCCGCGTAGTTCGTTACCCTATGCACGAGGTAGTATCGGCAGATAAGCGGGAATCTGCGATAAACGCTTAAGGAATCCCGAGGAGAAACAGTGAGGGGTGGAAGGGTTGATGGATTGTGCGAGAATCTGACTCGAACATATCGCCCTGGCCTACCAAAGCGGGCTAGACAGGACAGACTAAACTTTAGCCACAAGTGTTTTTGTGACCAGATCGATAATGGGGAGGTCGGCAGATGGAATCCCAAGGCTGTTCCTGCATCTCCTCGACTTCCTAAATTCGGTTTAGCGTTATCGGCGTTGTGCGGAGTCGGCCGGCCATGGCGATGAGTAAAGAAAGGTAAAGAAAGATAACTAAAGAATTGGTGGGTGATCACCCCCAACCCCAAAGCATTTCCGACCAGTAATGAGTTCCATTATTCATTCATCACACATTTGTCGGCTTTCGAAAAGCAACCCTCATCTCCATCACCTGCCATACAGGGTTTAACCATCAATGAATGGGTCCTGACCCGCCGCACCAACTTCCACAATATTGTACGCTGCCCTGTTCTTATCAATGGTATAAGATGATGTGTTTCCTTGGAATATCTGTAACTCACTCTGACACCTCAAAGTACATATTTCAATAAAACACCCGCGATCATGTATACACTTTACCTATTGGTAATTGCATGCATTGCTTATCTTGCCTCAACGATATTTAGAGCCATCGCAACCAAGGTGCCTGGGCCATGGTATACGAATCTCACCAGTTTCGTGTTGAAGTACTATGAGTTTCAAGGGAAACGTCGAGTCTGGATTCACAGTTTACATGAACGCTATGGACCTGTTGTTCGTCTAGCTCCCAATGAGGTCGCATTTGCCAATTTGGAAGGAATGAAAGAAATCTACCAAAGTGGTGGAAGTGGCTATGACAAAACAGAGTTCTACAATCTTTTCAAGCAGTACGGTCGCCGGTAGGTTTTGTGACACCCATGCAACAACGTTGATGCTATACTAATCAATATCTAATATAGACCCATGTTCGCACTCTTGAACAAAAATGAAGTATGAACTACTACCCTGAAACAGACTGTATATCAGGATGAGTACTAATGAAAAGCAGCATTCGCAACGAAGAAAGCTATTTGCGGAACGATATGCCATGACCAACATTTTGAACTCCACTATTATCCAGGGAATTCAGCAGAATGCTGCCAAGGTTGTCCAAAAATGTGCTGCTTCTGCTGGTAGTTATTTAGACACTTATGTCGGTGACATTGAACATCTACTAAGATCCGATTCCGCCTTGCTGACTACTACTTAGACGGTACTTCATTGCTATGCCCTTGACTGTGCTTCGCATGCTCTCTTCAATCCATCTGGCACAAAGTCCCTTGATGAGAAGGAGGATTATGTATTGATGGAGGATCTTTCATACGACGATCGGCTCCAAAGTAAGGACATTATCTGTACAATTCAAATCTACATGACTAACTTGAAACGCTTAGGCAGGCTTGTTCAGCATCACTGGCCCGTCTTGGCATCTATTCGGTCTTGCTTCACCCCTAAACCTATGATGTCTCTGTCCCATACGTTTGTTCTTAACAGAGTTTCCAACACAAAGACGGAAGAGTCAGCTCTGCTCCATAAGCTGCGAAGCAAGGCCAACAATATTGAAGAAATTCAGATGGCCGCGGAATGTATGGATCACTTAGCTGCGGGAATCGATACAACAGGCGATGCGCTCTGTTTCCTCATGCATGAGTTATCCCTTCCAAGGTCACTTTCGGTCCAGAAGCGTCTCCACCAGGAAATCATTGACAACCCGAACGCCAAACTCGACGATTTACCGTATATGGACGCTGTTATCAAGGAAGGGCTAAGACTTTTCCCACCGATCCCAATGAGTCTGCCTCGATATGTCCCCAAAGAAGGGAGAGATATCAGCGGTTACTCACTTCCTGGGAACTCGATTGTTAGCTGTCAAGCCTATTCGATGCATCTGATGGATACATCTGTATTTCCTAATGCGTCGGAATTCCTTCCGGAGAGATGGCTTGAGAAGGAAGGGGAAGCGGAGAGAAACAGACTTTTCTTTGCATTCGCCGCTGGAGGTCGAGGATGTATCGGAAAGAAGTGAGTGCCCTTTTTCAATTGAATATGCTGCGCTATACTAATTTGTCGCAGCCTTGCCCTTGTCGAAATGAAGACGCTTCTCCGAGACATTTATGGCAGGTTCACGACAAACATCGCACCCCAGATGTCTAGTGACATGTCGATTGACGACCAGATTATCGCATCACGACCAAAGGACCAAAAATGTCTTCTCACATTCCAAGAAGTATCGGTTTAATGTTGTGTTTATTGTTTGTGTAGGCCACTGGAGCGAATGATTTAGATAGATTGTTGAGAAAGCATAGCAAAATAAGAACAGAAAATCAAGCAATATCAGAGGCTCAGAGCCATAGCCAGTAGGCTGCTTAAAATGTATAGTAGACTGCTATTGAATAGTGCTTCCGCAGTTTTATACATCGGCTTTCCCTTTTGGGAAGCACCCAGCTACCCCAGTTTCACGTGCTCGCTGACTAACCCAATGACATCGTCGCCAACCGCTCGTTGCTCCATCGCTCACCCAACCACCCAACGCGCCGATGAAGTAAATTCGACTATACCAGACCCTCTGTCACTGGTCATCTGAGACGAGCTTCAAGATGATGCGACCGCGTGATCCGCGCTTTCGGCAGCGGATCAACCAACTCTCCCACAACTTCGAGACCGCCAATGAAACCGCCCAAGAGGGACTCTACACCTTTTCACAGAACTACATTTCCCCCTGCCTGGCCGCGGTCGGCAATTGCGTCCAGACTTGTACAGACCCGTGTCTTCCAAGTCGAGACGACCATCTCCGTCGCCGGCGACGCGGGCGTGCCGAAGACAACTTCGATTTCTATGATGATTGGGACAACGAAGAGACCGACGAGACGTTACTAGGATGGGGCACCGGCGAGCTGGACCGTCTCCTAGCTGGTAGTGGTCTGGCCAGGGGGAGTGCGGAGCAGCCGCGTCGCCCGAGGCGTATGAGTTATGGTACACGTCACACAAGACGGAGGAGCACGGTGCACATTCCAGATAATCGCAGCGACCCGACCGTCATTCCCAGCTCGTCACTGATTGGATTTCTTGAGCGCTTCCCCTGGAGGTTAGGTGCGAAGGGCGTGAAGTACCGACCGTCCGCTGCGGATCTACAGGAACATCCTGGTAGCTTGAAGCGACATCCCCAGGAGGATGAGCCTTTGATGGAAGCTACCGAGGACGATGGTGATCAAATAGCCTACGCTTGGAATGGGCGGAACCGGAGCTCCACACAGTCCTCGAAAGGAACGGCGAATTCTTTGAGCTCGCGTGGTGATTTATTTCCTAGTGACGAGGAGGAAGATGCAGTTCCGCTGGATGATGAATTTGCGCTCGCCTTTGGCCGCCGGGGAACTGGCCTGGAATCAGATGACCAGTCTGGAACAAAATCAGAGATGGTAAGGTCGGCGTCAGGAACGTCCAGCCTTGCTGAGGCCTCTTCTAGAAAATCCAAGAAGAAGAACAAGAAGAAGAAAAGGCGATCTTCAACAAAATCACCAACGAGTCCTGACTCTGGTGTTATTCACGGCGTCAATGCCTTGTCGATGGATGATCTGAAAATGGAAGAGGAACGCGCAAGACTAGAAGAAGAGTCTGCGATTGAAAGAAAGCGTTTGGCTGCTCAAGAACTGGCCCACCAACGGGGTCTTGAACTTGATGACGCTCATGCGGTATGAGTTACCAAGATTGTTTCCGAATGGTACTTATACAAATGCTAACTTGATTTCCCAGCCTGCTCAGCACTCAAAATCGACAGAGCAACCACCTAACAACCTCGAAAGGCAGGCCTTCTATTTAACTAACGAAATCAAAATCCCCAAAACTCGTACTAGAAAGTCAAGCGATTCATCCGCTCGCCAGTTGTCAGATGACCAACATGAGCCGTTCCTGCATTTGGGACAGAAAGCCCAGCCACCGCAGAATCTCCGGGTGAGACAGGTACCTCCCCTCGTCTCGGATCAGTGAAGTCATCAGATGTAGCTCTGGATTTGGCCCAGAAACCGCATTCTCGCGACGCAGACACGCTGAATTGATATCTGGCTGCGCCGTACTTGATGCTGGTTGCCTGACAACTGCCATACTAGCTGTACGATATTATGACTTTTTTTCTCATGTACCTTATACCCCGTCGATAATGATTTAATGGACTGTCGACTGCGATCGCTTAGATGCGAATACGCGTTTGCAGTGTGAATTGATAACGCTGCCCTATGTTGGCATCATTTGGACCATACACTTTCCCTTAAGTACTAAGAGCTATCTCGGCCTTGAATATATTTCGTATGAACATTATTTCATTCAATTTTGTATGTTCAAATTTATGCTACCTGTATCCAACCCCGGGGCATCCCGGCGGGCGTAAATAGTACTATTCAAAGCTTCTAGCTAGTAGTCCTATCTCCGAACAGGATCCACCCGCTGCGGGGGCTTTGTCGTCAGCCGTCGCCGACTTCCGGGGTTCCTCGAACAAGCCAGCAATATACCGTACAAGCCCTGGAGCTCCCGAAGATCCAACTATACAACTTGAATTACTGCCACCTATCTATCATATCTCACACCAGCAGGATACCCCACTCCGCCAGCAATCGCACCATGGCCAAGGCCGAGAACGATCTCCAGAGTATGCTCTCCAAGGGCCTGGACCCGAAGGAGCTACCCTGGTATGAGCCGACAATCGACGAGGTTCCAGAACCGGCGAAGACTATACTGGAGAGAGTACAGCAACATCCCGTCAGATCAGGTTCTGCAGCATGTTGTAGACGTGGTGAGCTAAAGAAGGACCGCGGTATGCGTATCGTCCGATGTGCTAACATATGGACTAGAGGGAACGAGCTTATTCAGTCGTAAGTCTTATCCTTCAAGATTCATTTCAAGAAGGAATTTATCTTAGGAGGTAACCACCCAAAGAAATCCCGTAGTTAACAAAATCTAGTTCCCCTACCCTTGCATTGGTTCATTCCGGTTTCTTGATCTGAGCATCCCCCAATCTCCAGTCTATACCGAGGTCCTTCAACGACTCAAGTCCGGCGAGAAGCTCCTTGACGTAGGCTGTGCCATAGGACAAGAGCTTCGGCAACTCGTCAGTATCAGCTACGCCTAGGCCCGGGTTGTCGAGGAAAAGTCGAAGCTAATAACTGTATCCCAATGAATAGGTTTACGACGGAGTCCCATCAGAAAACATCTACGCCTCCGATCTACGCCGCGACTTCTTCGACATCGGGTACGATCTATTCGCCGATCGCGAGACCCTAAACTGCGACTTCATAGTTGCAGATATATTTGACCCGAACTCCGACCTGGTGAAGAAACTTACCGGAAAAGTAAGCATTGTCAATGCAGCTTCATTCTTCCACCTCTTCCCTGGGAAAAGCAGGTCGAGGCTATCAAGCGAGTTATTACTTTTCTTCGTCCTGAGCCTGGGTCGCTTTTGATTGGGAGACAGGCTGGAAGGACTGATCCTGAGGACCCTGATGATAAAGAGAATGCGCCGGGGAATTACCGGCATGATCTTGATACGTGGAAGAGGATGTGGGAGCAGGTTGAGATGGAGACGGGGACTAGGTGGAAGGTTGATTCTTGGAGAGAGGATTGGCAGGGTGTTGATAAGGGGTTTGATAAGTATCATGCGAATGTTGAGTCTTTTAAGCTTCGATTTGTGGTGAGGAGACTAAAATGAATTTGGCTACATGATGAGCTAGAGATTTAGAACGACTCGGAGCTGCTTCAACGAAATATTCATTGGATTTCTACTGGCAAAGAAAGTAGTTGATGTATATGAGATGGCATATATTCGTTGAAATAGATATTTACAGATAAAGCTCCCCACTATCTACATGAGACCATTGTTATGTGATTGATGAGGCTCATTACCGAATATCCGATTAAGAGTAGACGGCAATGCATCCTGCATGGCCTCTGGAGGTGTTCCCCACTGGGCACTAGCCGCGAACTGCTGAGCCGGGGTTGGCATAAGGCCCGAGCCATAGGCGACGGATTGTAAGCCGGTCTGTACAGGCTGGACTTGATGTGTTGGAGATTTCTGGGTGTGGGGAAATGCGGAATCCTGGAAGAGCCAGGGTGGGTTTGCGAGGGACATGATTTCTTGGTCGAAGATAGCCCAAGAATCGTCTGCGTTGGCGACTGGGAATGCGAGGGCGGAGGTTGTGTCTGGTGGAGTGTGCATGGCTTGCATGCTTGATTCGAGACGTTGGGAGAGAACGGTGTGGACGCTTTCGGAAGATTGGTGGGATCTTTCTAGGCTGCGGAGATGGGCCTGGATTAGGTGGAGGTCTGTAGAAGGGTCAGTCTCATTCATTATCTTCCAGTTATAGATGAGGGTTCTTACCGTCTTGGTGTGTCATGCCGTCTTCCACGCCGCGGAGTAAGAGAATGGCAGCCCAGGTGATCATCTAGGATAAATTAGCTTTTGATATAGCAATAAAGAAAAAAGACAAGGATGGTCTTACGATCAAGTCCCAGTTCGACCAGATGCTGGCATCGTCCTGGCGTAACCTCAATACCGCACGGGCTGATACGAGCAGCTCATGTCTTTCGACGGGGGTGATATTTGCCGAACTCAAGTCAAACCCCCGAGCAGGGTGATAGATAGACAGAACGTATAGTTTATGCAAATGATATTGCAAAAGTATCACGATACCCTGTCTATCTGAAGGAGATGGCTCTAGAACATGGCGTTGTGGTGTTAGACCCGAATTTCCAGCCATTATATAGTAAGTATGGTAGTGAAAAGGAACTTACGAGATGCCCCATTATATTTAACAAGCCAATCGTCAATCTTCCGCGCCCAAAGACGGATAACTTCAGAGTCCTGTTCGGTAAACGAGGTCTGGATGACAGGACTATCAGGAACATCGGCATTGATTGAAGACCAGATAGTCGGTAGTCCCCTGCCCACAAAGTGGCTGAGACCGTAGTGCATCATATCAGAGAGACTCTGGTATGCATTCCCCTGATGGTTGTCAACGCGCTGGATACCTGGCGTTGGAGGTTGCCTGGGCAGCATAGGATAAGACATATGCATAGATGCATGTTCGATATCGATAACCTGAAAACTCATTAACCCCTTAATCAACAATGGCTACCGCATGTGCCATCTTACCTGAAGGCCGGAAAATAACCCCCGCCATTCTGGAGTCGTGGCATCTATTTGAGACGGGCAGTGATCCAGCCAAAGGCGGTATGCCATCGCTATCCACGAGCCAGTAGCATCAATATAAGCCTCTGAGCTCAAACTCGCCATGATAAGGCCAAGGATATCGTTAAATGCTCTTCGCTTCGGTGGTAAAGAGTCGGCGGAATCATCAGTTGTATGGCTTTCCCGTCTTGGAGGAAGACCAGGTCTGAAGCTCGGTGTAAGTAATTCATTTATAGCGCTGCAAGTGGCGGCAAAGTAACCCGCATCAAATGAGGCCAGCTCAGATGATCGGTGATGAAGAGCAGAAATGTAGAGAACAGATGCAAGCAGTAATGGTGTCGGTGATACGAATGCATCCCGGTCGCTTAGAAAATGCAGCAGGGGCAGATTGTTTAAAAACCTTAGTCACGCAAATTAGGAGCAGTTCGGGGCTATAAGCATGCTTGTCCGGAGGAATACTTACGAGCTCCAAAGCTTCTTGATAGTGGGACGTGACCAGACCTTCTCATCTGGCACCGGCCGAGTGATAGATCTCAAGTGAGCGACAGCATTCCAGACGCCCTGCAATGGTACGGAGTCTACTTCGTCGTCGATACTCATATCCTGCGAGACGGATCCTGTCTCGGAGGCGTCTTGGGTGATGCCAAGCGCAGCTTCGATACGATCTAGGCGATCGAGGATAGCTTGCTGATCAGGTGCCGTTGAAGTTCTGGTGATCAGCAGTTCATTCTGGGCCTCATCGACAAGTTCATGAATGGCAGAAGCCTTGAGAGTTGGTTAATTCAAGTTCAAGTTGACAACGAGCGAGGCATTGCATTGCATTGTATTGCATTGCGGGGCGTAATGATAGTAGAAAAAACAAACACACATTGGCACGAGGCTTAAATACACAAGCTGTTTGTGTATGCCTACATCGGCGACACGGCGGAGCCCCTGAGACCTCACATTTCATCTGTGGGCGGTCAATCGAAGATCATCCCAGATCCTATGCAATGCACATGCTCGGGCGCATACCTTTAATCGCCTACAATTGACTGGTCCCACACAATCAGTACCTTTCCGATCCACATGGTGGAAAGGGGGGGGACTCACCACATGCCTTGGTAGGCTTGGGGCCCAGGACCATTTTGGCCTGCTTCTCCATGGCGATTGGAGATCAAAAGGTCGCATCTTACGAGATCCAGGAGAAACCCAAAGTTGAGTCGGTCGTGATTAACAGAAGCACGTGATTAAGGCTGGAGAGGCACGGACCGATTTTCCGGGGAGATCCACATGGAACTATGGAGATATGGAGATATTGTGATATGGAGAAGATATTATTATTACGGAGGATTAAATTCATTTCTATATGCTACTCGTACAGCTTGAACTAATCAAGGCATGATTTATGTTCTCACATTTTTAGTCCGTCCTGCGTAGGCTGAAAAGTCCAGGGCGGTTCCGAGAAACGGAGATTGAAGTGTGCCTCGAGGGCTCACATTCTGCTGTTCTTGCGCTGCATCCCCCGTGAAGGGAATAGGATGCCACCTCTGCAACCAAAGGAGGCGGCTAGTTGCAGATGTGAGGAGCTCTGGTGTCATGGACACGTATAGATCTTGAAGCGCGGTGTATATGGGAGAGGGGAAGAGGGAAAAAAGAGGGAAAGGAAATGAAAGCCGAAGAAGAGGAGACCGGAGATTCATAGACAAACCGGACAGATAGTATACATATATGTACAAGGGGCATGCATAGATCTCGGAACGTGCCGCAAATGCAAAACTTAATAATACACGGGGGAACCCTGGATGGATATGAATATCCACTAAGCCGCGGGAGCCGCATCTTCCTGCTGGCCCATAGACAGCTTGCGTACCTCCCAGCTAGCGTCAGCCCAGTCCTTCTTTTCACCAAGGACACAAGTAGACTTCTGCGATCCATTGACAAGGAAGCGGTCGGCGACCTCATTGACATCCTTGGCGGTAACATCCAGGACCTGTTCTCTCCACTTCTGGTCCATTTCATGGGTGACACCGCTCAGGAAGTAGCGAGCACCTTCATCATCGACACTCATGGGAGCATCGAGGCCTTGGAAGATACCAAGCTTAGCCTCCTCGATCTCACGCTCAGACCAGGCGCGGTCTCTGGCGAAGATTCCACTGTTCTGGAAAACCTTGAGAGAGTTCATGGGGTTGGGATCCCGGTAGCTCATGAAGGTGAAAATACCCTTGATAGGTCCGTTGCTAGCACCGGCACCGTATGCACCGCCCTTCTCGCGGATCTCGGGGTGCAAGTAGTTGTGGGTCAAAAGTTGGGAGAGCACGGTAAGAGGAGCACTAGATGAGTCGACGAATGGCACAGTTTGGCTAGCCTGGCCAGAGTAGTAGACCTTGTAGGGCAGGTCATATAGTGCCTTGTCAACAGACTTGAAAGAGGAAGCAGATCCGGATCCGCTTGGGGAGAAAGTCTTGGGCAGCCCAGACAACCACTTCTGCAGAACGGACTCGTTCCGAGTAGCGCTTTCAGGCTCACAAACCATACGCACTCGCAGGTTGGAAGTCTTGGAAATGGCAAACGCTTGGATGAGGCGAAGCTTCTCAATCAACTCCTGCAAACGCTCTGGGGAGGACTCGGCGTCCCGAAGAAGGTTGGCTGTGGCTTGTAGTTGCTCCAGTCCAGATTGTTGCTCCGAGACCCACAGGCTACGAGACAAACTAGCAGCGGCGGCATTGACTGCAAATCGGTGGCCGGTGCCCGCAACAGAATCCAGCGCTCCGTTGGTGGTCAAACGCAGGAGCTCTTGGATCATTGCGGGGGCGGCAGGGCTGGTAAAGTCAGTCTCCATGACCAGAGCCGAGAGCATTTCCAGCATCTCGGGGATATTCTGGTCTAGAGCGAAACCGGTAAACTGCAGGCCCTCCTTGAACTGATCCAAGTGAGTTGGGGAGTTTACAAGGAAAGAAGAGGTGGAAATTCCACCGGTCTTCAACTTGATCAGGTCCTCCCATTGCTCCATAGATCGGCTGGCTGTGCCCAAGCGCATAACGCAGTCATTAAAGAGGGGCATCAAGAGGCGAAGATCATCAGGCAGGTCGTCAAAGGCGTTGACAGCCTGGAAGTAGGTCAGACCGTTGGTCGGGGCCTCGCGCCATACAACCTCAGTATCGTTGACCTTCGACTCGCGCACAGGCTTCCGCTCCTTTTCCCGCGAAATATCCTTTACGCGCACAGTTGGAAGGCAGCTAAGATCGGCATTGTGTGCGTCCTCTTGCACCTTCAGGAGTTGCAGTTCCTCTTCGCTCAACTTGGCAACGGCATTTTCAACCGAGCCATGCTGTTCGATGAGTTGCGACAATTTGGTTTGGCGGCGAACGGCCTCCTTGTCATCTAAATCCTTGTTGAAGGTAGGAGTTCCCACCATGGTAAAAGTCATACACTGGTCATTGAGGAGATACTTCTCTACCAGAGACTCGAGGTAACCGGGCTTCTCGTAGCGCCTCTTGAACTCTCCAATGACCTCATTCCAAGCCAACTCCTTCATGGGG